ATTAAAATTATAGTAAAACCAACTATTTTGTTTAAAATACAGAACGAGTAGTTGTTTAGGTTAAAATCAGTTTCAAATAAGTTTAACTAATATATCGCGTTTTAAACCGTTAAAGTGTTTTATTTAAATGTGTACTACTCGCGTAAACTATAGGCAGTATTTTAGGTTAAAACTATTTCAATTTAAACAATAAATTCTATAGATATGCAGTAGTCAATTTCTTTCAAAAATCATCTACTCTAAAGCGGGGCTTATGAATATTGAAATGTGTAAAAATGAGGACAATTTACTGCCTTTATCGCCGCCAGAGTCGACTTTGACTTCTAAACGGTCTGTGCGGGTGACGTAGCTGCGCACGCGTTGTTTTATGAACTCATTGCGTCATGCTCGATGCTCGTGACACAGCCTGTGATATTTGCTGTGGGGAAATCCTTAACATTCCTGATAAAATATTCAATTTTTTTTACAATTGATCACAGCATATTAATGTATATGATTTATCTAGGGTTATTAGTAACAAATGTTCTATTACCTCTAATAGGGTTATTACCTCTAATAGGGTTATTACCTATTACCCTTCAAGAGGTGATAGAAACGTTAAATGAGGTTATCTATAAATCACTAGCCATTAGAGCCGCAGGTATTTTTTTATAGATTCCTTTTCAAATTAAAAAAAAAAATCTTAAACAGTTTTAACAAAGGATACTGTTTGTTATGGTTATGTATGGAGATTAGTAATTAAAATATACGAAAAGAAAATAATTTTGATTAATTACATTTTTTACATATTATACGGGGACGAATTGGTACCTAAAGATATATTCTATAAACTCCTTGGAGAAGACTGTACGATTCTTGTTGAACGTACCTATCAATGCGTTAAAGAATGCTTTGCGATTTTTTTAATATCTATTATTGTATCTGACCGCCTCTGTAACCAAATGGTTAAACGTATTGCCTTGTATTGTGTTAAGAGCGAGGGGTCCTGGGTTCAAATCCCAGGGAAACATAAAATAGTTTCGGTCGGGCAGGGCACAGAAGTCTGATCAACTACTTGCCCGTTAAAAGGAAAAATCAATGTAACGAACACAGAAATGTGTTCGCCCCATGCCCCACGAGGGGGAAACGGGCTTTCACGCACTATTATTGTATCGTAGAGACTCCTCAATTAGTTGTCATTTTTTGTTATTACCTTCTACATATTATGTATCATCTAGAAAACCTTTGTTCAGATATATCTAGACGACACGATATCGCAGATAAGAAAAAATAATTTGCCTATAACATATTCTTATAATTGTTAGTGATAATATAATAAGTACTTGTACGACTCAAGAGATTACACTGTTATCAAACAAAAATCAAACTGAAATATTTACTTTGTTTGAGTGAAGTCTATTTGGTAATTTGTAAAATGAAATAGACATTAGTAATTTGCCAACTTAAATCAATGTCGATAAAAATTCGTTGACATATCCGCTTTGTAGGACGGAAGACTTACAAAAGTTTCATTGCTTGAATGCTAATTATCAATAATTACATTTTCTAATATCGAGTGGCTAATGACCTTGCCTCCGGCCAATCTCACGAATCTGATCGTACGCCTAGTTCCCCTTGACACCGATATTCAGAGCCGCAACGTTTTAAGAATTCGTACACTATTAAAACGTCCTGTACGACCTACTAAGTAGTAGTACAAAGTGTAATAGTTAATACATACATTTTGATAGTTCAAATTAGTTGCAAATAAGAATTCAAGCCCGTTCGTATTTTTAATACCGCTCATGCGCATTTACGGGCTAGCTCTGCCTAAACTAACCTCGACGCGATGATTTGACGGGCTCATTTCTATACCTAATGGTGGCAATGTATGGCTAATAGATACCAGGTCTAACTTCCGGCTGCGTCATGAATCACCGTCCACAGATGAAAAGCCGTTAAAATTAATTGCGTTCGGAAAAAGCGTGCATTTGTATTTGTTCTGTTACTTGATATATTAGAGATGTACCTACATTAAAAATTGTACGTCATCGAAGTTGTTGTTGAACTTCGATGTTCCACTGAACTCATCACACGAGTTCTTAGCCCGTTCATACTTTGGGAACGAAATATTGTTTCCTTTGAGAAGGACATCAGAGATCAATTCAAAATCAAATATTTATTTACATTTACATGAAACAAAGAAACAAAAATCATTTATTCGTGTATGTGTGGAGTTATGAACGTCAAAACAATTCGTTATTGTAACAGTGAAACATTGTTTAGACTAGAGATTCGGTTTCAGTGTTTTATTCAATACCCTTTTTGAATCTATACTTTTTTTATAAAGCTGAAGAGTTTATTTGTTTGTTCGTACCCGGTGAACGCAGGAACTACTGGTTCCAATTATAAAAGTATGTTTGTGTTGGGTGGGCTATTTATCAAGAAGCTTTAGGCTATAAAACATGCCCTTGGCTGCGACCAAAAGCGAGGAATCGAGCCGGAAAGGATTCGAAAACGGTTCAAGAAACCAAAAATATTTATTAAAGAATGATTCTTCTTTAAATGATAATAAACTATTTTAGGTACCTAGTATCTTTGGAGATTAACTCGCAAAAACGTGGAACGCGGACGATATCGTGGGTAACGGAATAATTTATAAAGCTGAGGAGGTTGTTATCTAAAATGTTGTTGTGTTGTGTTGTGTTCTAAAACTTCTTATGTACAAACGACGTTTTTCCTTTAATTTATGAATCTAGAACACGAACCACGCTCAGTCGAAAGATACTTTCTATTTATTAAAGATAGTACTGAGACACGTAGAAATCTATTCTCATACTTAATCGTGAAAGTTAAGAAACCGGACATTGGAACCTTTTTAACGTCAGCTGTTAACTAGGACAATGCCGCGCCAATTCCGGACAGTTAATTGTAATTAATTACAACATCGACATACATTACTGCATTTAGGGTTTCGATCTATCGTCTAATTTAAGATGGTAAGGAGAGATGAGGCTGCTAGAGGCATAGCGGTCCAATAAAAAATGATTTTCAATGAGGAGGAAAAAAATACGCTATTGGCGAAATTGAATTAGTACAATTATTTGTGTAATTTGTGATGTTAACAATTTTCGGTCACTGTGCTCTCGTGGATTAATTTTTAGATTATGAAAATATAAATAAGCCAAGTCATAAAATTACAGTTAGGCTACTCTGCCTTTAGCGGCCTCAGTTCACACCTAAAAAGTATGATATTATTTCGATTAAGAGTACTACAAATATAACTAAGTATTGTCTTCAGTTTACGAGACATTCAAATAAAACACTTTTACAGTTTAAAACGCGATATATAGTAGTTAACTTATTTACAATTTATTTTAACTACCGCCCAACGTTTCGTTATAAACTTTGTCGATGAGTACTGTCCATTTGGTTAAGCTATGTGTAATATAGTTGGTGTATAATATTAAAAGAAATATGTTAAAATTATGATTTTTTTTTATGTTATGCTCATGACGGCACTATATGAATTAAACATCGGTTATAAGTTGAAAAAAATTACGACTTGGGCAGGACTTGAACCGGCATACACAGCGTTCCGTGCTATTGCTCTAACCAATTGAGGTACCGAGTCAGCAATTCATTTCTATTTATAATCGATTTTGAATTCATTTGTTTACTTTATATTCCACATATTCATTTAGTTATTCTTGCTCATATATGACACAATATATAAAACCTTTTTACTTAATTATATTAAAAACTGATCTGTCAAATTTTATCTCGTTCCGTCAAAATGAACGACCCAAAAGAAATGTCTAAGAACTATTTTGATCCGTTTCGATTGTAAATTGACTAGTTTATGTAATTATGAAAGCAGCCGCACAGTTATTGGCAAAATTATTCGCTAAGACTAGCCTATTGAATATAAAATTTATGAATTGGAAGTATCTTATAACCATGATCATTATGTTGTTTGACTGGGAAAGGAACGTGTTATTAAATACTACGGTACAATATTTTAATTTTGTCTTTCAACTGCTGATGTATTTACCAGCTGTAGATGCGAAAACTTAAATGACACTAACAATAAGATATATTACAATTTTGTCTCTGAGCTCCTACATAAAGCACTATATTTAAATAAAACACTGTAACGGTTTAAAACGCGATATATTAGTTAAGCCGCGGACACGGGGAGACAGTCTCCCCGTGACCACGGCTGCTGCAAAGCATCCGAAACGTCGGGCCGAAGTTAAAAATCCATTTCAAATAAGTTTAACTAATATATCGCGTTTTAAACCGTTAAAGTGTTTTATTTAAATGTGTACTACTCGCGTAAAATACAGACAGTATTTACCTAAAGTTTTTCGAGAAAGCTGGAGACAGTATCAAACTTCCAAACTCTGGACCTCTGTTTAGAAAGAGTTTAATAACCGTACGAACAATTCCTCTAGATTGGATGCAAGGCCTCGTAATTAGCAATTAGACATTTCATATATTAATTCATAGCTATTTGATTAAACACGAACCACTTTCCCGATAGAGTGAACAACTGCGATACAATACTAAGATATGGAGCAGCTTGATAAGAAGTCGAAAAAAAATCATTTGTATAAAGGAGGACGTTCCCTCGCCAGAACCAGTTAATAAACTTAGTATATCTATAAATGGTAGTTATTGTGAAATGGAAAAATATTTTCCTCGTATATAACGTATACATTTGCATAAAAGGTACAAAATTGCGCGATAACTCAACGTGACTTTGAGGTAAATGAAAAAAGTATACATATTCCTTATTCACTACTGCTTTCATTTAATCATATTTCGATAGGAGGAATAATCATACGTTTTGCACTATTGCAATATTGTGTATCATAAGATACTCTTGAATGGTTGTATATCCCATGATAATAGCTTTAAAATACTTTTTACATGTCCTTTTGTACCCTAACACATTTCAGATATAAATGTCTATGTTGTGAAATGTTTGCTTACTATGTGGTTTTACTTGCCAACAGTACCTGGACATCGGGGAGGACATGAACGTACCCGATGACTTTACACAGAGTGAATTACAAACGGGAAAGTGGTGGCGCCATCTCTTGGCCGGAGGAATCGCTGGTGCGTTCAGTCGGAGTTGCACTGCTCCTCTTGACAGACTTAAAGTATTTTTACAGGTGAGCACAAAGATTCAATATTTTTATTACTTTCTTATGAAACAATCTTTGCCTTAAGCCTTCAATGAATATAATGTAACGCAACAAATAAGCTTGTTTAACACAATAACTAATTAAAGCGTAATTCGCTAATTAGATATCAATCTTATCTCAGGCGGAATTTGGACCCCGCGCAAATGTTCGTTATATTTGGTCGTACAATGGTCTTAATTGCAAATATTAAACGCACATTTTGATCTTTTGCCGTACAGGTGAATCCGACCAGAGAGAACATGGTGAAATGCTTAACTAGAATGATTAACGAAGGTGGTATTAGCGGCCTGTGGAGGGGCAACGGAATAAATGTGATCAAAATTGCGCCAGAGTCGGCCATCAAATTCGCCGCATACGAACAAGTGAAGCGGCTGATAAAAGGCGAGAAAAAGAACCATCCGCTCGAGATTCACGAGCGATTTATAGCTGGCGCGACGGCCGGTGCAATTAGCCAAACTGTGATCTACCCATTAGAGGTGCTAAAGACAAGATTAGCTTTAAGAAAAACGGGTCAGTACCAAGGTATTCTTGATGCGGCGCGGAAGATATACGCGAGAGAGGGGCTCAAGTGTTTCTACAAAGGATACATTCCAAATATCTTGGGCATAGTGCCTTACGCGGGCATCGACCTTGCGGTGTACGAGACTTTGAAGAAGAAGTACATTAGTAAATACCAAGCAAACAATTCTCAGCCGGGCATATTATTGCTGTTGGCGTGTGGAAGCGCGTCGTGCACGCTAGGTCAAGTGTGTTCCTACCCTTTGGCCTTGGTGCGGACCAGGCTACAAGCTCAAGGTGAGAATCTCTGAATTAAATCTATCTATATGCCGATCCCGACTACATGGGGCTAGATTACTGTGGGAGTTGGTTGATTTGTTTACATATTTTATCATTATTTATTATTGTAATATAGTAGTTTACTTTAACGAGGCATATTAGATCATCTATTGTTATGGTAATAGTAGATCTATTTACGACATTTTGTAATTATTGGGTTTAGAACCTTTCAAGACATAATTAAAAAATTTAAGCAGTTTAGAACTAATTAATAATTATATTTATAACATATTTACTCGTAAAGTGGTTGTAATTACATAAATTTCAACATCGTAATGTATCTCATTAAGTACTTGTACGATAATGTAAAAGGCACGTGTTTTTTTAAATAAAGTTTTAAGATACCCCGTCTTAAAGATGAATGGTTTTATGTCAAGAAAGTGGTCAATATTTTATGAATAAAATTAACTTTGGGAAATAAAATATAACAAATAAACATTTAATTCTTTAATTTTATTAATTTTGACAATAAATTACAACCACTTATCTATAAAAAAAAACACAAAAATATTAATTTACTATAGTAATATCGCCTCGGCTGTAATTTTCAACTTACCGCACTTATATCATAATGTACTATTATAATGGAACTATAAAAACAATTACTGTCACGTCATTAGACTCATGTGTATAATCGACAATTGCCTATAAAAAAAACCGAACAATACAATTAAGACTTAGGTGCGAATAGGGGTTCTTTAACATTTCAAATTATATTCGTAGAAATATATTGTATAAAGCAATGTGCGGTTCTGTGACAGTTATCGAGAAATAAACAACCTTCATAGCATCACTCTACCTGTTGTAGACCGATACAAATTTCAAATCCAAAACACCTACTTAGTTTATTATATATATTTTTTATTAATTTACTTTCAGTAGAGCAAGATTCGAGTTGTCTGTATAAAAAGTTTTCTAATAAACAAATGTTGGGCCATTCCAGAGAGATCAGCAAAGGGCGCCGAGGGCACAATGAGTGGCGTGTTCCGCGACATCGTCCAGCGAGAGGGCTTCCGAGGGCTGTACCGGGGCATCACCCCCAATTTCATCAAGGTCATACCAGCCGTGTCCATCTCGTACGTCGTATACGAGTACGCCAGCCGCTCCCTCGGAGTCAACATGACGTGATTCGATACGACAACACATTAAATCGTCTCGTCCTGGACACGCGTCCATTTGGCTTCAAGGCCGAACGCCTTTCACATTCTAATCCGCATTAGCAAATTGTGCATTTTAATGTATATAGCCCTCCTCTATTATAAGACTATTTATTTTGTGAATTTGATTCCATGTTTAAATAATGTCACTATTTATTGTTTTAATGGCAAGAGTGAAGAATTCATGTTTACATCACATAATTTATTTTATTCTAATAACAATGCTCGTACGTTTTGCTTGAGCAGATTAACATTGGTCTGAATTTGCATGCTACCAGCCCTGTGCTGGGTAAACATCTGTGATGGAAATAAACTGTATTTTTTTATTATTTTTTCTTTTCTTTTAATTTTTTCCTTGCTCCTATTGTTATTTTCAGTTGACAATTTTATTTGTGCGATTTCGAGAACAGAACATTTTGGTAAATGTGCAGAATCTCTACATTAGGAATTGGAAACTTTAGGTCGGTAAAGCTAGAAAACGCCGCGAAAATATTAATTCAATATGAGGAAATGTAATGATAATAATACATTTAATTTAAATTAACTTGAAATGTCTTTAATAACTTAAATGAGTGAATTAATGATTCGAAAATAAAATTTAAACACAGACATTCACTAGTCTTCATAAAATTCGTCTTATTTACAAAGGGGTACGTACATGTAGGTACTTCAAAAGCAAAACTACTTTATAATGTTCTGTAACAATCTATGTTTGTTGATACAATATTTTGTTTGCAATCATTACCGGACTTAGATAGCGTGTTTACAATAAATATACTTAGATATTTTATATTAAAAACTTACAGTACTTTGGCTTTGTATTAATTTGCCAATTTTATACTAGGTAGGTACTAAATAATATAACTCTAAGAATAATTGTTTAAATAATATGCTGGCATATAATTATATAAGAGCTTGGAATTAAGTAAAAACAATTTAAAACGTCGCTTAACTTGCCATCAAAGCTAGTAGAATGTTTATAAAACATTTAAATATTTCGAATAATATTATCACCTAAGGTCAAACGTAAAAAGATTATTAGATTACGACTTTGTGATTCTCCATTCTGTATTTTACTGTTAAATATTTCACATTTAATTATATAAATCATACATAAATCTGCTAGACCATGACAATTTTTTATCAAAACAATTTGTCATGGTCTAGGAGATCCAAGTATAGTCGAAAATAAGAATAAAATCACCAAATTAATATGCTGAAATCTTCTAATTAATTTATAAACTGTTTATTTTCATAAGAGCAGGTAGAATTTTAAAAATCGATAATCGTAAACATTTCTTTTTTGACGAAAGAGTAAGCTGCATCGTAGAGCATTGGCACTGTACTTTTGATGAGTACAGTATCATTTTTATAAATCGTTATTAAAAAGTCAATAGAAATTCAGCAAATATTTGCTCTTCGTCGAGTGGCTTAGTAAATTAAAAGTAGGCACCGAAGTGCTTTTTGTATAAGTAATTCGAAAGCGTGTCGTAAACCTACTTTCTTTAACACTAGTTCCAATCGAAAAGTCGTATGTTAAAATCCGTCAGCAATTTAGAGCCCGAAGATAATTCAATTATAGTTTTTTAATATTAACGAATTTTATGTAAAGATATTGTTTAAAATACGCCTGCCAACTTATCTTCGCAGTTGCTTTTGGCCGCTAAATGTACATTAAGTACTAGAATTATTTTGTGTTATGATAGTAATTTAAGTTGTTTTTGTAGTGGACCTAACGACTTAATTCAAATTATTAACAAAATCGTTTTCGTAGTAAGTACTTATACTTTATATTATTGATAGTTTTAGTTTAATAGATGATAGCTGTGAATTTTACTGCTCGGTGTATTTTCCTCGACAAGAATGCTTATTCAATAATAATTTTGAAAAGCTGCTAATTCCATTTATTATCTTGAATCAAACATTTGGAGCGGGAAAGTTCAAAGTGAAAGAAAATTTCTGAAGAATGTTTTGAAATGTAATTACCATTTTTAAATCAACATTATTGTATCACAAAAAATAGTTTAATCGTTCAATGATAATCTTTGCTATTGTCAGGGGTGTCAAACCTTTATTCCATTGAAATATTCCACCCCAAATATTGACACCTATATGGTCCTTCTTATATCTACTAATATTATCCAATAATTAATCGTTGCCTTGTATCCCATAAATAAATCGAATGCTATTAATATAACAGCTACTGTCGATCTATTTCTCTTAAAGATGTAACTAAAGTGGAATCTCGAGTAACTCAAATCTCAAAAGTGATAAAAAATTAAGTTAACGGGTGACTTAACGTGATCGTCGATATATTGAGGTTTTGACGCATAAAAGAAGCTATTCCTAAGTATATTTTTTATTTGTGGAATCGGGTTTTGAACAACTGCTCATTTAAGATTTTAAAGCATATATTTTTTTACATAAATTAATAATAAAATATTCCGTACCGTACATACAGCTGTGTTACTTCGAAAGTTAAATGAATCTGCCCATTCAATTCTCGTGTTCGGTACAAAAATAATACATAAGAATCGTCTAACTCATATGATTAAAGAAATTCAAAGTATGACGTCATTGAATTTTCTTCGACTAACTGACTTCCATGAAACCTTTCGATTTAACGAGGTTCGTGTATCGAGATTCCACTATATTCATAATATTTCAAGCCATTATCGTTAAGCTTTACTAAGAGAGGTAGTTAATATCTAAATGTTTATAAATATAATAACAGCTAAAAAAAATTTAGTCTCGTGATACTGTTACCAAGTGCTATATGAATACAAAATTTATTGTACCTAATACTAATACCATAAATATTGTAACTTATTTGTTGACGTACTTTAGTATTACTTACATATTTAAAGAATACTATTAATATTGACTGTTGATAAACTTATTATGAATAAATCGATCCTCTTCGATGTTGTGTTTCCATTATAACTTACGTCTTAGATGAAGTAGATATGAATACATTGGTGAAATAAGCAGACCAATAAATTATCCCATCAGGGTATTGGTTTTTAATATATTAAGAATTAAGATACCCAGTTTATTTATAGCTACGATTAGATTTGGATTGGGAAAAAATCTATTGAGGCTGAAAAAATAATAATTCTTTTTGTCAAAAGACACCGGTCAGACGACACTCAGCATTCAAGTTAAAAGTTTCATTATATTTAACAAAATGTATTGCTTTGATAATATTTATATTGGATTTGATATTGTAAAGATAAAAAAAATTATATTATAGCTTATTGCAAAAATCAATATCGCATAATGCGAGACTTTGACTTAAGGTGAAAGTGAATGGATTTTTACCGAAACCTACTAACAACTTAATTTTTTAAGATAACAAATAATGTATTATATGCTAAATATAAAAAAAATATTATTAAAATTGCATTTAATTAATCAGAAGGCATTTTTGAAATTCGTTTCAAAATCATATTAACATCGATCAGTTAATAATTTATTTTGTGATATATTCTATATTCTAGAATAAGATGCTTAATTTTGTACCTATGAAAAAAGCTACCACTTGAATTAGCCTGTAGAATCGCACTCATAGCATAGACACATTCTTAAATTGTCAAAAACATTTGACAGTTGACACTGCATTATTCTGTAGACTTCGAACACTGTTTACGTATTTAAATAAAAATAGTAAATTAGGTTTTAAGTATGCCTCAAATGGTCTGAAGATATTATGAAATAATTTCCCATTTCAAAATTATTAGTGTTGTGTTGTTAAATATATATGTGTTGCTGCATTCGTAAGCAGGCCATGAGTTTGAAACTAACGGCAAGTAAATATATTTTATTAGTTTTATTGTAGCTACTTATACCGAAATTCGTGACATATACGTGAATTTATCAATTGATAACTGACGAAATTGTCCACATTTGTCTATCGGCTTAGTAAAGAATTTGAGACAACTCAAAAAAACCGGTGTTTCCAAACTTATTTGCAGCAAATACTAGTTTCCTTGAATAAAATATTATCCTTCCTTTATAATATAAAAGAATGTATACAAGTGAATTAAAAAAAGAATATAGTATACTTAGTGACGTAGATGGAAATAATATATTACATATTATTATTATAGTTATACCTCCAAAATATTATGTATTGTATTAATCACTACAACAATGCAAATTCATTCATGCCAAGCAATGCTAAAGTATTTCATTGTTTGTTATTTAATCTTACGTAGTTTATGATAAGAAAGCAGTTGTAGAAATGTCTTGTATTGCCCCTGCATTATTTTTATAATTTAATTTTTATAAGTATTTAAAGAATTTTTTAAATCAAGGTCGACTGTTGTGTATTCTACCTTTCTGTTGTTCTATTGTAAGCATAATCCAAAAATAAATAGTTACTTTAACCCTGACAATATTGTGTAAATACTTTCAATTGTATTATATTGATTATACTAGCAATATTACTGTCATTTATACCTCTATAAAATTGATATCTGATAAATGTAATCTTAAAACTTTTATGATGCTAATCATTCAATTAGAATAACATGTATACAATATATTTAAGCTATACTGCAAGAATAGAGTGTTTCAGTTCTTTAAAGCTATAAAAAGTGCCAATAGACTGATGTTCTTTTTCAAATAAGTTAATGTAGATTATATTTATTAATTTACTTAAACTTGATGTGTGTCTATGTGTATATTGATTTTGGAAAATGATTTCCAGGTAAAGCAACTTAATGGGCAGAAGTAAGTTAAAAAGATGTTCAATATAGAAACGTACATTACACCGATCCTATTAAGCTACCTAGATAAATATGTCCAAAATTTTAAAGCAGCCGACGCGCAGGTAAATTAATAAAGACTTTTAATCACCTATTACTGTACTTAGTACTTACTTAGTAAAATGTTTGGATAGTTTCTATTTTTATTATTAACATTTATTTTTAATTTTAATTTCATGTTATAAATATGCACTGATTGCATATTTTGTATCTTATATCTTAGAGACATTTTGATGTTTTATTATTGACTGTATATGCAAATCTATTTATTATTGAAATTTTGGAAGTTTCACTTGAATGTGTTGTATAGTTCTTGAATATTTCTTATTAAAAATTTTACTGTACAATATATACAAATATGTACATTCTGTTGCTATACTTTTGTAACTATTAACTCTTTTAGGTGTCATTATGGGGAGGGGGAGTAACTTTACACAATTTGGTATTAAAGGCAGGTGTGTTGCAACAAGAAGTGGCATTGCCTTTTACATTGATCTCGGGCAGAATTCACGAATTATTGATACAAGTACCATGGACAAAGATTATGTCTGAACCCATAGTAGTTACTATAAACACAATAGGTATGTTGTATTGGGCACTTTATATGAAAACAAACCGTATCAAACTATTTGTCTACAACAAGATTTCTTTTGTAATTACAGAATGCATTCTTAGTCTCGACCCATCAATACCTGATGAGACTGTATTACAAGAAAGGCGCAGGTAATGCTGAAAGTTTGAAGCTCTTTAACCATGTATCATTCCTGCTGAAAATATGATTAACTAGCTGTGCCCGCGACGTCATCTGTGGAATAGTTATTTTGGGAATCAAATTTTTTTTTTGCAAACAATCTTGTCAGCTTTATATAATTATAGCTGCGTTACTCACGATGTCGTCCGCGTCTTGTCGTTCCTGCGAGTCAAAAAATTGTATATATACTGTTTCAGACGTTTTTTTGATCATATAGAGAGAAATCACTATCATAGATATTTTTTTTTGTTTCTTGAGCCGTTTTCCCCGTTTTTCTACATATATACTATTTCTTAATTCCTATTGGTTGCAGAGTTATGTTTTACAGCTTTTCTCGATAAATGGTCTAGCGCGTTAAAACAAACAAATAAAGTCTTCAGATTTTTTATATTAGTATTGATATGAATATCACGAGGCTTTTGTTTGTCCACTTCATCTTGCTTTCCTAAGTGATATATGATTATTTATTTATTTCAGAAGCCAAGTGGTTGAAGCCCCACCAGGCTACATGCAAGCATTAGTTCGAAGAATCGTCAGCAACATATCAGTGAGAATCAATTCCCTAATTGTAAAATATGTCCACGATGATATTGTACTATCACTGACAGTCAAGCGGTTAGCTATTGACAGCGTTGGTGGTGATTGGCAGCCTCTTTTTGCTGGTAAGGACCATACGTTTTCCTCAATTGTGAAAAAGATAAAAATAGACAAAGATAGTTATTTCATTAAGTTTTTTTTACTTTAGTGCAATGACTAAACTTGTACTGCAATTTTGTTAACTATATTGCACTTGTATATTTTTTAATAGCAAAGACATATGAGGCTGCTAGACGCAGAGTGGCGTAATAACATAAAACATAATTTTCAATAAGGAGGAAAATATAAATGCGCAATTAACTTGAAATGCGAAAATGAATTTGTTCTATAATTTGTGGAGGAATTATGTTAAAAATTTTCGGTCACTATGATCTTGTAGATTACTTTTTTAACTATGAAAATATAAATAATTCTAGTCATAAAAATTTTAGTTAGGTTAGTCTGCCGCTAGCGGCTTCATATATATTATGCATTACTGTTCTTGTACCTTATGAAGTTGTCAAAAAACAATACAAAGTTGTCATTTACGATATTTTCTTATAACAAAAATATGCTATAATGCTTTACAATATGAATTTCAGACATAGATCCTGCGGACCCTCAAATCAGACGTTTAGTTTGTTTAGATGACCTCACCTTATGCCTTGATAAAAGTGACTCTGATGGCAAAATAAGATTTTATCAGGAACCAGTTCTCTACAGATGCCAACTTGATCTAAGGTGCTATTGTGTTTAATATGAATACATAATCATTATTAATTACACCAATTTATATGGGTATTAACTGGGCCAGCCATTTTGCCCTCGTGGCATTGCTATTTTGGATATCCAATTTTATTGGCCTCCTCAACTTAATTAATTCGCTAAATTAATCTTAAAAGATAGAAAAATACTTTCGCAGACTTTTAGATAAAATAAATAATAGAAAGCTCACGCAACGGAAGTCCTCAAAAATTAAAAATCATCCCTGTGTTTTTCTAAATTTTTCACTGTTTCTTCACTTCTATTCTTCGCAATGTGATACTATAGTATTATTTAGTAGCCGAAAACAGTCCTCGATAAGTGTTCTATCCAACAATTCAATAATTTTTTCAATTCGAACTGGTATTTACTGAGACTAACGTGTTCAAACAAGCAAACTCTTCAGCGTTATAATATTGAGCATTATAATATTAGTATAAATTTGTATATTTTGCAGGGTATTAACACGGTTAGTTTCTGCAAAAACCCGCCGCGCGAGCAGCTTCGTAGTCCAGTTGCGTTCGAGCCTTATGTCATGGGGTGTGACTAGTGAGCAGCTTGAGTTACTACTGCGACTGCTCCGGGACAATCCTCTAGCGAACAGGAAACCTATGTCTCCAGCACCTAAACAGTCATTTATGCAACCTCCTTTACGTAAGTTTTTTGAGAATCTCCAAGAAATGTAATAAATGTTAGTAAATAAGCTTACTTGGCTGTCCGTTGTCGTCATTTAAAGTTGTTGTTTATTTTTCGAACTTAATTATAAACCGCGTTAAGCACGAGAAGTTCTCATATCAAATTTCGAGAAAACATAATGAAATGACGCTGAGATAGGCCATGGCACGGGCATTATTTCTATAAGTGACCTAAATGTAACAATTTAACTACGACGACACAGGTGTCACTAGCGTAGCAGATTTGACTTTGACATTAAAGACACCCTCCATCTTCAGTCCAGCCTTGCCTATGACTACAGCTATGCATTCGAAACATCTGGCCCTAGTTAAAAAAATTGTAAATAAGTCAACTTATATATTTTGCGTTGTAAACGGTTAAAAAGAATTTAACAATTTTGGGTTTCAAAGATCATATTAGGAATTATTTATTGGCATATGAAAATCGATGAAGATTGGGTAACTACTTGCTGGTGTACAGGCCGGAAAGATGTACAGGTATTTTATAGATTTGACGTCCTAAGGTACTAAACCCGGCATACATAAATCGCTAGACGGTTTCTTCACTGTTTGTAATTAATCTGAATAAGAATTAGTTATGTAAGTTTGTTAAATGTAAAATATAATAATTCTAGATTCAGCAGCTTCAAATTCAGCAGAACCAGTGCGAAGCGAGAGTTGGTCGCAGTGGGCTTGGTCTTGGCTACCAACATGGATGGATAGAGAAGGCTTCGAGGAGTCTCCAGCGCCGGCCGCTCCTATACCTCTCGCTTTCACGGTGTACCTGGAGCAAGTAGCGCTTGTTTTTAAGGTAATAATCATTTCTTGTAATGCATTGTATTGGATATTATTGAGATACCCGGGGTCTGTTTAGATACATATCTAAAATTCAAGTGGTCTTGGTAAGAAAGAGGAAAAAGATTGTCAAATAATATCATAGTTAACTATATCCGTTTATTACTATAATGTTAAAAAAACTAATTGCTAATTGGGTTCAAAAGACTATTTTTTTACAGCTTTTTTATTATTTATGGTATTTTTCAGTTTCAAGATATTTCTTAGTTTTATTTGGACCATGCTAACTTTTCCGGTTTTAAATATAATATGTATTATTTAAATTAAATGTGGTTAAAAAGTTTGATAGCTGTAAAGACGACTTACGATAACGCAAGAAATAAGACTGAGTGTTATTTTTTTTAGGTTTTAGAAGAAGAGTTTGGTCGGCAACGCAGCCGTAATATTCTATCCCTCTCAGCGAAGCACGCAGTTGTGAAGGGTTCCATTTGTTCACCTACATTGCTTCGAGTGAAGTTTGGAGCGAGGGACGTCTCGCTTTCATCTAATGGAAGGTGTGTTTGCGGACATGATAACATTAATACGGTAAGTTTTCTATGGTTCGTACGTGAAGTCTCCCTTACACTAGTTTTATCTGTTCACCAAAAGAAGTGATCAGAGCGTTGTATTCCAAGAACAACGTTTTCTCATAAGTTTATTGTTATATATTATTTGTAAAACAACTACTTTAAACTGTCCTCTATTGCTAAAATAAGTTTTTGGCAGTAGAGGACAGACAAGCAGAAAGATTATTTATATTTTTTTATAATTTTCGCTCTTTATTATTTCTGATTAGGTCATTTTATTTTTGGTTTTGGCGTTGTATTATTTATAAATAAACTGTTTCCCACTACACATTAATATCTGAAGTTAAGTCCAAGTTGTTAGTTCCGAAAACTCTTAAGAAAATATTTATTATAATCGGGTTTAATTTAATTTTAGATAAAAGATGAACCCACTGTGTACTTGGTTAAAACATATGTTGATGAAGATGACTGGAAATGGACTGATGAAGATTTTAATGGCCACAAAATTGAGCTTGGCGTAGCTGCTGATGAGCGGATGAGTGATTCTCCCGTTGACATGGTAACAATAGAAATATTTTTTTGAGCAACTGCCAGATAAAGGTTTACACTATTTCAAATTCACTTAGTATAAACCACATTTTCATGCCAAAATGAATTAAATAAATTAACGTAAATGCACAGATTCAAATTTCTTTACTTTGACATTTATATAAGGATATGATGAAGCAAAGTCAACGGCAATAGAAAGTAGAAGTGCCAAGCATGCACAATCGCTGAAAGCGTTACAAACGTTGAGTTAAATAATAATATCAATAAAGGTATAATAATATTAGTCGTCATAATAATATAAAAATAGATTTTGAATATCCTTTGTTTCGTATATAATAGATATTTCTTTAACTCTATGTCATCTGTGGCAACGACTACATATTTACTCTATAAACGGGCATTCACTAAATCTATGCTTTGAAATCGGCCTTATTTGTTTTGGTCTTTTGGCAATTTTGAAAAAATGCACTATAAGATATTAAAAGATTTAATAAAACGGTTGGTATTGGTATTTCTATTAAAAAACAAAGTGTGAAGTGTCGTAAGTATCAATCCTTTTTTTTTAACAGTCTGAAAATGCACAAGCGCACCCGGAATGTAGTCAACGACAAATGATGGCACAAACAAATGTAGCTGATGATGACAAGGAGGTGTTTTGGACTAAAATGTCACCTGTTTTTTATGTCGAACTGAGCCATGACAGAGCACCATCCGATCAGCTTGTTAACCCATACGACAATCCACCTAGGGATTTTGAGTACAGGTAAGTGGTAACTTGAAGTTAGTACATGGAATCTTAAGGTTGCTTTCGCCAAGGCCCTGTTTTTATAAACCCGCAGATTCTACTCTATTCTATTTAAATACTGTTACTGTTTAATACACTATATATATTAGTTAAACTTATTTAAATGATTTTAACTATGGCCCGACGTTTGCGATGCTTAGCAGCAGCCGTGGTCACGGCTGTTAGTTCAACTAATGTATATCGAGTTAAACCGTTAAAGTGTTTTATTTAAATATTACACTACTACTAAGAATAGTACACATCAATTAAATACAAAAAGAGACAACTATTATACATAAACAAAGTGAATATTTCTTTTATATAAAATAAGAAGGTACATTTCTTGCTAGTCTAGAAGGTTGTTATCGAAGTGTATATAATCTTTATAAGTAATATAATCCCTTAAGGAATTTTAAATGTTATAAGACTACATTTTACACAACTATGTAACTTTTTAAATTTATATAGTTTTTTAGTTCAAACTTTTATATAAATTAAAACACATAATTATTATTTTTACAGTGACTGGGTAGAAGAATGCGTTATAAAAGTTGTAACACAACCATTGTCTCTACAAGTTTCCGCAGACCTGTTACATCGAATGGGCGTTATTAAACAAATACTTGAATCGTCCTTATTTCAGAACCAAGGTGAGAATTGCAAAAATGTTGCAAATAAATTATTATTCGACCAGCATTCGAAATTTTGCACGGTTTTATTCGAATCTTTTGGTAATTTGTTATGACACTACGGACGAACAAGTATGAATTACTCGATTAAAGGTACAATATTCCAGCTATATAACATTAAACGATGATGTGATGTCGACCTAGTTTAGTTCTGTATAGTCTGACTTTCAATTTAAGCTTATTATATGTTGCCGTCCCAACTATGATTTCAAACTTTTGGATGTGTGGTCCAAAATTCGATCCCTAGTTCTTAAGTTTACTTTAGAGGTCAGAGTTAGCAATCGAAAGTGATTACGACACCAATGAAGGGCAAAGTGTGTTAGCTGTGGGAATTATTAAATGGCTAATGTTCCCGTAATTATTAAATTATATCTACATGTTTCATTTTATAGATCCACCTATGCGTACTCTAACAGTTGAAGAGTGCGAGGCACTATCAGATAATTTACCTCAACGCCGCATCGGCATTGAAATGAAGGGTATGCGCGTGCGTCTAATACCTTGGGACCATTCATTGACTGAGCGACCTCGCGAAGTACCAATCGTGTTAGATGTAGAAATACCGAAGGCAGTCTTAAACGTCGCTGCTCCACTCTATCCTCATAGGTAAATTATATATTTATGATTGTGATAACCAATTTCTGCCTTAAATTGTTAGCTTTAAATTTTCAAACAGTATGCTGTTAAGTTTAAGATGAGAAAATGTATCAAACTGTATAGCGGAAGTTATCGTTAACGCTCGTTAAGTAATCAATTACCGACATTGAAAATATTCTATTACCGATTTGAAAAGTAGCTTTATTGATAACTGTTACCGTCGCGACTGACAAATTAACAGTATTAAATAAAGTGTAATGACAGGAACGCCATTTGATAACGACAGTCACTAGAGAAATACGTTTTTTAAAGTGTTAGATTGTATAAAAGTGATTGTACTAATTACGTATGTGTCGAAATTTTCAAATTGAGAAATGACTGATATTTATTAATGATAATTGATTATGGTTCAGCACGATTGAAAAAGTGTTTGGTAAATTGTTTTAATACATTACTTTGAAATTTGACAAACCGTAGCTTTTATGGTTATTTGTCTTGTACTGGCGTATAAATTTAATACCATTTGTATAAATATATTGACCTGATAAGAAACGTAACTCGATGTTTGAATTTTTCAGGGTTTGCTCAGCAGCATGTCAGATGCCGTATAAAAGTGAGCCGTTGTGGCAAGGGGCGCGACTCCACGTTTCCGGGAATGTTTCCCTTGAAGCTCGTGTATGCTCACTTACCGACCAGCAACCGCGGCCGTGTCTTCGCGCTCAGCTCAATTTTGTAACCCATTCTCTTCTACATAAGGATTATTTTACATCGCGCAAGATTCCCGACTTCAACTATACAGTAAAAATACGTATGTATCTAGCTTGTGCACTGATTTATACTTAGAACAAGCAATCCTTTAATTACTCCTCGTGTAATGGTAGCAATGCTAATAATCAACGGGCCGTGGGTTCGAACCCAGCCGGGTCCAAATTTAAAAAAAAAATTGTTTTAATCAATTTATAATTTTTCTAAAACACATTAGATTTAGTTCGGTTCACGAGTCACTGTCCACAGATGAAAAAGCCGTCTCGGTTTCAGTCTGTGAATTTTCGAATTTTTCTGTGGTATAAATTATATGGGTTATTTCATTTACCATCAAATGGACCCCATACTTGTCTGTCGTCTGCTATCTAAAGAGGTCAATAAGATGTAAAGAAGAAAATTTACCACTTGATAATATTTTTTTAGGAGAAGCCAGTATTTGTGGATCTTCCGCCCGTCTACAGGCTTCATATTTAGTCCCTATGTCATTGCTTATGAAAGAAACGTGTGCATTATTAAAACATACTACGTTGGCTAGCGATGCCTTAAGCGATGAAGGTTAGTACATTTTAGTCTATTTAAAATTGTAAGTAAACGTATATGTCGGAGATGGTGAGAAATAAGGACGCTAAACGTGACGGAAGTTATAAATTATAAACCAGGCGAACCAACTGACTAACACGAGTCACAGTGCTGCCATCTATTACATTTAGCAAATTGACTGTAATTGGCGTAACACCTATAAGGGATATGTAAAACGTCTAGTAAGACTTGCGACTTGAATATGGCCGATATAGTGGCATTGACGTTTAATAAACTGTCACTGAGAGATGACAGACGGTTATTGACAACTTGCAATTTGAAATCACCTCGGAGTAGGGATTTTTGGTAATGGAACACGCCATAACCAGTCAAATCTGAAGCGATTGAGTCTTGTTCAGATTTAATATTTTAGTCAGGAACGGTCGGTCCCCTAAAAGTTACTGCAGCTGTATCGAACTTACTGCGTTTTCAAAAGTGTTCCGTTTGAATCAATTGTTGCGTATTTTGTGTAAAATATTGTAATTTTACAATTAGAACCAAATGAATCGCGGGTATTTAAATACTTGAACGTTTCTTTGAATCAACTTATATATTTAGAACAATAATAACTCCGGATATTAAATTAAACTAACAAAAAATATATTTAAAAGGAACCTGTAATTACCTTATTACAAACTTCCAAAAAAAAAGAATAACGTAAAATAACGTTTTGTTATATTACTACGACCTGGAACATTTAATATTTTAATAAGTCTGACAGTACTTTCTATAGTTTACGCGAGTAGTACACATTTAAATAAAACACTTTAACGGTTTAAAACGCGATATATATTTGTTAAACTAATTTCAAAATGATTTTTAACTTCGCGGGGTCGGCACGCAGCGTCATCACGGGGATCACGGCTGCTGCAAAGCACCCGAAACGTCAGGCCGAAGTTTTTAAAATAAGTTTAATTAATATATCGCGTTTTAAACCGTTAAAGTGTTTTATTTAAAAGTCTGACAGTTTTTTTTATTTCGGTTTTTACAAAATAACATTGTCAAAAAACTTCGATTGATTTAAATTTGTTCATACATTTTCAGAGGCGGTCGCTATTGATGTTGCATTTGAAGAGTTGATGGTGTGGGGCTACAAAACTAAACAGGTCCACACATATGTACTGACTCTGCGCTCTGTTAAGACCACGGCACACCATGCTCCTAGTAAGTAATGAATGGAAAGTTTTCTGACGTAACTATACGAGTGGGAGAAGACTTATCTTTTCAACCTATTTACTTCTATTTTCTCTCTCATTGGAGGGAGAGTTTAGGAACTTACTGACCACAATTCTCTGCCTGACAGACCCAAACGGAGCTGGTTGGGTCTAACAAACGGTCTAACGGGTACCTGAAGATTATCATGCCTATAATAAACAACCCAAAACATTCACTTTAAAACGAATTTTTTTCAGAGGGCCTGGATCCAAAACAAGTATGGCTATTCTCCGGTCCTGATTCGCCGACAACAACGTAAGTCTTGTATACAAAATAAAACGTAAAGAATATTGGGATGATTTGATATTCAAATGATGTTAGCGCTGTTTATCGCATATTAAGGATTCCATAAGGATGTCTTTCAATTTTGCTTATTATTATTATACTATAGGACACACACACACAAAACTTCAAGGTTTTTAATCTGTGGACTAAGTTTATGGATTATTATCAATATTTTTTTCGTTGGATGGACCTTTAAACTTGTCATAGTGTAAATTAAAAAACGATTGAAAAAAATTTGCGACACAAGGACTGGAATCGTTATCCACAGCGTACCGTGCTGATGGTATAACCGCAAAAATTCGGCGATGACGTTTACAAAGCACGCACGCGCAAAGTCATAATGTTTTATGTGATTGATTTCAGACAATACCTTCGCACAAGATTCCAGTTTTGCAAAGTGCCGATGGAAGATTCCGTCGACTATTTGGGAATATGGTTAGAACCAACAGCGTTCTGCGTGGATCCACTGTTGGGAGCTTGGCTGGCGTATCGACCCAAACATAAAATACTAGGTAATGTTTCCATTTCTATCTCCTTCAATTTTAACTTTGCTCTTATTTTCGCCATCGTGGAGCTGCCTGTTTTAAGCACAATATAGTAGTAGAAAAATCGAAGGAAAGACAAGAACCATTAAATTCCATCGAATGGAAGGGAAGAACCAATACGTAACTATGAATTTATTGATTTGTGGAACGAAGGTCGTAATGTTTACTTTAAACAATTCATTTATGCCGTGTATTTGTATGAAAAGAATTTAAATTTTGTAATATGATGTACTTAAGCATGACGGCGACAACCGTTTGTACCCAAGATAGAAAGAGTGTCACATCTCATACAACCAATTCCCACTTTGATTAATATAAAATACTTCCTTTAACACTTAAACTATAAAAAGATAGTGTTTAATACTTGTTTTTTTCAGAATCACGTTCTACTATGTCACTCATAAGGACGACACCATCTGCGCAGTATTTATCAAGACGGAGACAAACACCTCCGGTGTGTTATTTCAATATTCTAAGTAGTTATTGCGATTTGAGTTTTCTAGTGTTTTTGCCGTAGTTCTTATTTAGAGAAATGGTCATTTTGGAGGAAAAAACTTTTCAATCATTAACGGTTTAAAACGCGAAATATTACGTATTAGTAATTAGTTAGCCTATTAAACTACGGCGATTTTTTTTAATGCTTTGCAACATGGTCATGTACTATAAACCGTTTAGTGTTTTATTTAAATCCGTTATATTCTCTCAAACTACAGGAACTGCTTTTTTCCTAAGACAATAACGAAGATAAATTTTACTAATCATATCTAAAAACTATTATATAAATTAACACCAAGTCATTCATTTTTCTAGTCGTCAAGTGGACGCGGCGGTAGTCGTTCCGGTTCGGGTACAGAGCAAGTACACTCAAGAACACGAAGTTTACATTCAACTCAATCGGGTAGTGAAAAGAGTGAGAAAAGAGAAGTCAAGTCTGTTGCACAAACTGTAAGTTTATTTTTATATTGTTTAAAAGAGTACCACGACGCGGTGAGAGTTGCCCAATGTTCAGTTAAGCTTACATCTCTATTTTAATTAAATTGTTGTATCCAACGTAAGAAAAGCGATATTTCGTAAAATAGATTATTTAAACGTTTAAAAACTTTCAAGGTCTCTTCAATGGCGTTAAATGAAATTTTAGATGGAAAGTAATCATGAGGACATTTTAATTAATGCAAAAGTTATTTTGTCACGACTGTCCGTTACTTTCAAGATGACAGTTTGATGGACACGTATAGTCTTACACTAGTGGGTTTTAGATTTGAAACTATAGTTGCATAGACGAATGTTGACGGCCTCATTAGTCTAATAGTAGCAATGTATGGCAAACAATTAACGGGTCATAGGTTAAGTTAGGTAGGTAATTTTTCTGAAACATGTTGGAGTTCAGCTATTAAATAGGTGGTAGGAATAACATAAATTTCGTCCGGGTCCACGAACCACTGTCCACAATATGGGTTTCCGAATATCCAAACCAAAATAGGTCGACATCACATCGTCTTATATAGCTGAAGTATTTTTTTACCTTTCGCGAAGTGAACCACATTCTTGTTTTCCCTTTTATGATACAAAAAAAATATCATGGGTGAGTTCTACTATTGCTGCGCTACTCTGTTGTAGTTATTTTAATACGTAAGGTAGTATTTATTTAAATAATACACTTTAACGGTTTAAAACGCGATATATTAAAGTTAAACTTATAACGTAACGGGGAGACCCCCGTGACCACGGCTGCTGCAAAGCATCCAAAACGTCGGGCCGAAGTTAAAAATCATTTTTAAATAAGTGTAACTAATATATCGCGTTTTAAACCGTTAAAGTGTTTTATTTAAATGTGTACTACTCTCGTAAACTATAGACAGTATTTACGTAAGGTAGTAAATAAGGATTAGTATCGAAAGTTCCAGTGTTTGAAATCCTTTTAATAAAGCATTATTTTTTTAGCCCAACCCAGTACCGGAGTCTCGCTGGTCTGAAGAAACTCTATTGAAAATGTATGAGCGGTTAAAAAGGCTGTTGATAGCCGTTGAAATGGGTTTAGTGCTTGTATATGTCACCTCGAGTAGTGCTGATGCTGCTGGATGTGAGACTGTAAGGGATGCGATAGAGAGACACGCTATGGCGTCGCAAAAGGTTCTAGTAATTAGGTAACTATATTATTGATTGTCGCCCCCGTAGCGCAAGAAGGTTCTATGTCCATTGACATTGTGGATTTCAAAGAGATATCGAAGAAGCGATACATTACTCAAAGCAAATTTAAAACTGTATTTGTATTTCAAACTTATAAAGTTCAAAGGAAATATGTAAATTGTTTTCAGTTTGGGCCGCTGGTCCGTCATCTCTCCTACTACAAAAAACCTATGGGACGAAGTCAAATTGGATGGGCCTACATTTTTTACGCCGAAGAATGATAAAAGTAAAGTCCATGATTATAAATCATATACTTGTATGATTAAAGAGAAACTCACTAGAATAAAACTTAACTATTACCAACCAGTTAAATTTAAATATATAATTTTTACCGGTTTAAAATAAAAATATTTTTAAAATGACGACTGCCAACTATTGCAATATGTCCGAAACTTTAGGTCGTAGTTAAAAATGCGTAAAATATATATTTCGCTTTTTAAAAACTGAAACTTATACAATTTATCTATACTAAAAACAATGCTACTAGTGACTAGTCACCACTGTGGCTTAACGTTTAAGAGGACCTGCATTCCAACCACCGAAGAAACAAAAGTAGTTTGTCTGACATGTGCCATCAAACGCTTATTTAAAAGATGGTTTTGACATTGAAAATTCGAATAACAGTTTAGTGTACATTTTTTATTATACAGCAACAGTAGTAGAAGATGCGTTCCCCTGGAGAATGCGTCTAGCTGATGTTTCTTGCTACACACTCGAAGTCCGGGCGGGTACTGAACGTTCTGGAAAGGAAAAAGCAGCCAAGGGACTGAAATCGCAATTGAAAAGCACACATGTGACGTCATCTAGAACGATCTTGGAACTGGTCACGACCTCTATAACATTGTCTCTGGTCGCAAAATCTATGAAAATAAGGCTACATCCGAAACGGACAGAACCGAAACGACGGATGGAGTCGTGTTCTCATGATGATGTAAGTAAAGAATCCAAGTTCAAGTGAAGAATCCGCATATAAAAAAAGCTAGATGTTGTGTGTTTATTTGTTTCTGTATACGCCAAACTTCAGGAACTACTAGATCAATTGAAAACTTCTTAATTTTTGAGGTACTTGCGCTGCGAAAACGGTTTGGCACCCAAAAATATGTACAAAAGCATGATTCCTCTTTAAATGATCTAAAAATATTCCATCATGGCGGACATATTTATAGAATATTTTAAAAAAATAATTCTTTCATACATGTGTTTAGGTTTCTTGAACCGTTATTGAAGGGCACGCAAAGGAAGCCCTCAAAAAAAATTTGTTGTCCCCGTTTTTTCCACATCTCCCTCGTTTGTTGATTCTTACTATTTTTAGGCCTTAATCCTTTCTCGATATATAGTCCAAAGAATACAAAAGTAAATGTTCTTTAAAATTAAAAAAAATTGATACCACATCTCTCAAAATAAATGGAATAATACATTTACATAACTTATATTATCATAACTTTTTTCAGCTAACTAAATATTTTACAAGTGGAATAGACTTCAAGCCATCGACTTTGAAAGAGTTCGTACGCGGACCATCCAGGTATAATGTGTTACATTATTTTATAGAGGTTATACGGTCGTAATAAATAATGTTTCCTTACATTTCAGACGCAAAGGCCAAAGTAGCCCAGAGGTATGTGCATAAATTTCAAAATTAGTACAAAGAAATAATAAATTGTGACAAAGAAAGTGTTACTGTTACACTGTTATGAATTAATTTTTACGTATTTTTTTGTGATAGAAAACAGATAAACATTCGGTTTACTTGATGAAAGGTAAAATATCCCAGCCATATAAAACTCAACAAGAGGCGCTGTCTAGCTATTTTGGCTTTGGATATTCAGAAATCCACAGACTGAATTTTTCATTTGTGGACTGTGGTTCGTAATTTGGATAACGGTACCAATATAAGTCTATCATGTTCAAATAAATCTATAAGGTTAATGCGAAACATGTTGAACCCGGTGGGAATTGAACCCAGACCTGATTGAGCCATAACATTACACCAGCGAGCTGGTCAAAATATCAATGCTTTGCAAAAGCAAGAAATATATTTTTAAAAATCTATTTCAGCGAAAAGAAGCAGACCAGGATCAGGCAACAAGTGAAGATATGTATGTCCAAAATGGGCCTATTGTGTCTTTGGGAGTAAATATACATGCAGATACGCCTCCTGTTAATATTCGCCTGGACCAGGATCAAGTAAGACAAATTTTAACAGTTTCTCTTTTATTTCTCCTTCTTGATAATTAAAAGTGTGAGTTGAGTGAGTCTTTTCTGTATATGCACATTTCCTTTTCCTTGTCTGTCGACAAAAAACTTATGTATCACGAATTGTATTAATTTATTATCTTTTAGTCATTTGAGGTGAACATAAATCCAGTATCTTTAATTTTTAATACAGACGAAAATGGAATATTCAACGTTCTTTGTATTCGTTTCACTGATTAGTTTATTTAATTCTGTGCCCAGTCCGACCGAAACGAGTTACGCTTTCACTGTTACGTCTCACTTTGTTAATAAAATACTAGACAGCGCGTTCATCACTAAGTTAGGGAGGTGGTTAAAATGGATGTTTATCTTAGTGTTTTCGACCGTTTCTCAATACTTTACTAGTATATTTTTTTGTAAGTAATATTTATATTTCTCTTTTCAGATAAGCGTGATAGGTGAAGCTATTCACAACTGTATCCATGTGTTGAACTTACTCCAAAAGCCGCCTACGGTAATTCCGAAGCCTTATCTTTCATCAAGCTCTCAAAGGTCCCTACTGAGGTAAGATTATAGGAAATATTACAATTCATAATATTCCAGAACACGTTTAAATTTGACATTTCCCAAAAGTACGTCAACCTATGTAATAAAGGGACAAGATATTTTAAATTTAGACCTACACAATTGCTTGACTGTTTACAGGTAAACGTTAATATTCATTACAGTAATGACGTCATAACCGTCATTAATCTTAAAAAGTAACGTTTTAAATCTGATTGTATTTTACGTTTTGTACCCACCATTAAGGAATATATTTAAAAATGTGCTTATTTTTCATTTTAGGTGTACATCAGAATTAGAAACTCAAAGTGTATCCATAGACGCCGAGAGTATTCATCCATCGGAAGAGTTAATTCCGATATTCGAGGCCTTTCCAGAAAAGGAACGTAAGTAGATTGGTTACTTAATCTTTAAGAGATGCGCGTTCTACCACTGTGCGTCTGACCATCAACATTAGAAGTCTTTCGCTGGCAGAGTCTAACGCCACACTCATACGACCATACTTGTCATATTTGAACTGTCATTAGTGAATTCCATGTAAATGCTTACATCTTAAAATTTCAGCTGAAAAATTGAAAACCTTTCTCTGGTTCCAATGGGTTGTGAGTCATGCTACGTTATTGGTTACCACCCCACAGTTGAAGCTGGCCTTCGATACTGATGACGTCATTTGTAGTCTGGATATGCAGGAAAGATATAACCAGTTGAAAATTAAGGTTGCGTCGGCATCTGTAAGGCATTATGAACGGTAATTCCAAACTACTATAGTATTAGTTTGCAAGTATACTGTGTCACAGTAAGGATACCTAAAATTCCGTTTTATATTTTGACATGACATTCGGGATAGATTTGAAATTGAGGTGGATTGACTTGTCGTTTTTTCTGTTTTTATTCCGACGTATTCAATTTGAATTTAAATTCAGAACTAGCAACGACGAGTGGGTGGCTGGTGTTTTGGGGGGCAGAGTGTTGGAAGCGCGCGAACCTATCAACGCTACAGAAGAAAGCGACTTTTTGGCTATTACAGTTACTTCAGTTCTGTAAGTTAAGATATTATTTCTATACCATTTGTCTAAAAGCCTCTTCACGCCTTTGTAAAAGAGGAGACAGGCCAATTATGTATATGATAGTTTTAAAGAGATCTAACATATAAAAAAATGCTTTTAAAATATGTTACACCCAGTGGTAATCGAACCCACGAACTAGCCGAACATTGCTACTAATGCATCGTCAAGGCCATATTGCTTGCAATTTATACAATTCTCTTATTTTTAGAATCTCTACGTTACCAGCGAGCTTAAATGAAGAGTTGACTCTTAAGTCCTTCAGTAAAAGCAAAGCGGTATGTATTATATTTTCAAACTACGCTATTAATTTGGTATCTCAACTGATGCTAAATTTATACATTTTTTAAATAAAAACTCGATATATATATAAATATATTACTATAATTAATAAAAGCGAATCGATGAGCTGTAGGTTAAAATTAGATAAAAGTATTTCACGCTTTAATATTAAAAAGTGGCTTATGAAACATGTTGAATGCAGAAAATTTTAAAAACTAAATATATGATAAAATTTTCAGGAGGACTGTATATTTGAAATATACTTAGCTCTTGCACCACTAGAAGCAGTACTGCGGCCGAATATTCTAGAGCAAATTGTTAGCATTGCTCGTGAGTTTACTCCAAAATCTGTGTGCCCAAAGCTACATCAAGAAAATGGGTAAGTAAAAATTGCAATCATTGTATAGATAATTACTGATAAGAAATTAGGTGAACAAAACTTAAAAAAAATGTTAAAATAAGATTGTATATTCACACCTACTTAGTGTTCTTTGATAAAGTTACAAATAAGTAAAATCATTTAGTAATATAAGTATCTTCATTTATGGCGGGAACTCAGATCAGCTGAAACGTCGGAACCAATATGAACCGTCAACTGACTCCTTGGAATGGTCATTGGTACGAGACGTCAACTGACTGGTCGGAATGGTCATTAGTATGGGACATCAATTGACTGGTCGAACGTTAATTAGTACGGGAAGTCAACTGACTGCTCGGACAGTCATTAGTACCGGACCGTCAAATTGACTGCTCGGAACAGTCATTAGTACGGGACGTCAATTGAGAGCGAAAGAAAGTGCGAAATAAGCGCGCTTTGTTCGAGTCGAGCCGACTTCAGTACGGTGTTGATAAATAGTGGCGGGATACTTAATCGTAATTGTGGCAAAACAAATCGAACCACCGAGCGGGTAACAAGCATCTATATACTATCCTACGTTTAAATCTTTCTTTAGAATACAATCTATGTGTACATAGTCACAAAATGGAATATAAGGAAGACTGTATTTATACTAGGCCGTCCTGCTACGACATATACAATACAAACATATAGATGTTTTAATACGATTTTTCTGTTTTTATAATATTATGTTGTGTATAAAATAACAAGGGCGTATCTGTCATTTAGAACACAAATTCTTTGAAACGCTATCCAAAACAAATGTGTCCGACTCAAAACTGCTGCTAACTAAATACATTCGTGATCAGAACTTTATTATTTGGCCCAAATAGGTCTCAAGAACTACAACGGCCACTCGTATATGTAAATGCGGGTGGACTTCGCCTCCTTCTTGCTGATCAGATTTACTCCAACACTGATGATACAATAATGTTTGTGGTAAGAACAGAAACAAGTTAACTCTCTCCAGTGTAAGATGTAAAAAATCAAAATGTTCCCTAAATCTTTTAAATCCGTAGCATATTCTATTGACTGCCTCAATACCTCAATGATTAAACGTTAAGCGGGTCCTGGCTTCGAATTACAGGGTGACAATAAATTGCTTCGGTCGGGCAGAGCACAGAAGTCTGACCAAACGGACACAGAAATGTGTTCGCTCATGCCCTACGGGCAGAGGTAAAACCAGAAATTGTATATATACCATGATTTCAGATGGGCAAAACTACAGTAAATCCATATCCACAAAATCCTATATGCAGGTGAGTTACTTGATTCTTTATTGCACTTTCTTATTTACCTGTATTGATATCTTACAACAAAATCTAAACTTAATAAAATATTTCTAAAGGAACACCGTGAATCCGGCGCCTGATAATACGTGGATATCTGGTTTGGTCTTAGAAGGTCGTCAGTATGAAGTCATAGTGAAAAGCTTAGCGCTGCGATCCGTCAAATTCCAACAATTAGCTGACCATGAGGTATTATAAAGCTAGACTAAATGCAAACTGAGTAGTTGGAATACTGTCCGTAGTTTACGCGAGTGGTACACTTTGAAAACACTTTACAGGCATAAAACGCGATATATATTAGTTCAAACTTATTTAAAAATATTTTCTTATTTAAATGAGAGGGTGGAGCAAGCCACGGAACGCTGTGGTCGTGATTTCGACCTTCGCCAATGTCAGTATAAGATCTGTGACATTTTCTATAATGTGTATTAGAACTGAAAATCGTATTTCAGGTATTACAATCAGAATTGTTAAAAACCAGTGGCGAAAACCCAGCATTGAAATGGAGCCAAGAAATCGCGTCACCCGTTATAACGCCCATTTTACATTCGTGAGTGTTATCCAAACGTATAACTGTAATTTTGAAAACAACTATTTAAAATACTTAGCATTCTTTGCCTTTCTTTTAAATGTAACGCTGCATTTCGGTATTAAACACTTCTTTAATGAGGTTTCTAAAAGTTATGCTTCTTTTCAGAATGGACGTGAGTTTGGTATTAGCGCCACCTGTATACGTAATGGGTGCTTTAATATGCGGTCCCGGTGTGGAAATCAACTTCGTGACAGACTGTTCATTAGAACTAAGCCTAAATCGTTTGAATATGATGATAAATACACTCCAATCGTTTAGCGAAACGTTCGAAAACAGGTGTTAATTTTATTTTATTATCAGACTTACTGAATACTTTTTGTTTCTTAGTTTGAGCTATTTAAGGTCGGTTGTATGATATGTACTCACTTTATTTAAGGTTTTAGATTCATGTCCTTTATCTGTTGGTTTCCCAGATATTATTAACAGTATTACTTTAATAAGTGAACAAGTTAATTTTGTTACTTAGTTCTTAAGCTATTCATTTTAATTATTCCATACGAGCTACGGTTATAACATACCATCCCCACTTTATATAAGATGTTAAATTTATGTCCTTTATCAAGGAGTTAGTCGAGTCGCACTTAATATTCTTAACAGTACTATGTTGATGTTTCCCCAGTAATAATAAATAACCAGTATTGATATCGATACTAAGATTTGTTTTCTTGATAGAGAGAACTTTTCGTGTGCCCATCTTGCTGATATGTGTCCATATGCTGGCCTGACTGAAGATGATATTAGTCCCGATATATCAGTAGCTGATAGTGATATTACTATTGCTGAGGGTAAGATTTTAGCTAAACAAAATAACATAAATAAATAATTTACTATAGCTTAGCAAAAAAAATCAATATGGTATTTGTCTTGCACAGCTTTGATAATCACATTAAGCAAAAAAGAGTTGATATATTTAAGAACAAAAGAAAAACACATGTATTTATATTTTCTACACAGTAACAAAGAGCACGCAGGAGGTATCAAGAATTGTACGAACGGACTCTGGAATTGTGACGTCGCAGAGCGGCCATGAAAGTTTGCAAAAAAAATCGGTTGCCTTCGTGGACTACAGGTCAATCCGTTTTCTTTAGTTTTACTCTAGTACATTACATTACATTAAGGAGTGACTCAACCTACTAAATATACCTGAGATTACTTTTATTATAAATGCACAAAAATAACAATTTTAATACAAGCAATTTTTCGCTGTTAAAATTTTTTTATATATTTGAATTTGTAGCGAAACTAGTTCAATTGATTGACTTAATTTTATTAAACCTTCGAACACTATACATCATGTATTCTATTATAAAAAATGTTTCCAAGATCATTCGGCTGTATCTTACTTTTTTTGCCTTTCAGTGCGAAATCATCAGAATACTTTGAGCTGTGGATCGCAATGTGGCTTGTGGAAATCTCGTTGTACGTGAATGATGACGGATCGCAGGAAGTAGTAGATCTTCGTCCCCCGGTATCATATCGTCCCCCGACTAAAGAACCAGCGTCTCCGTTAAGTGAACCTATGGTGAAGGTAAATTCAAGTTATCTTTTCTGTGGAGTCTTTTTCATATTAATGCCATTTGATATAATGTACTTGCTGTGCCAGCGACGTCCGCGTAGACCCTCACTCGTGTTACTCACGACGTCGTTTGCGTCCCGTCGTACTTGCAAGTTAGTCTTAAAAGATAGACTCATACTATCGCAGACATTTATAGATCATTGGAAGCTTTCATTTGGTATCTTGAACTGTTTACCCAGCGCACGCACCGGGAAGTAAAAGATGAATATTTTTTTATATATAATAAAGTTTTATAGCCTAAAGCCTTTCCCGATAAATGCTCTAACACAAAATTCATTTTTAAAGCGAACCAGTTGTTTCTGAAATAAGCGTGTTAAAACAAACAAACTCTTCAGCTTTATAATATTAGAATAGATTGTTTATTGGAACAAAACATTATTACTACTGATTTTTCTATTCAATGCTGAATTTTTTTTTAAGTTTTCTCGTAGTTAATTGTATCCTTAAGGGATTGAGACTCACATTAACTTCTTATGACTTGTTTAAAATCTTTCAACGTATTCGTTTATTTTTAGAACAAAAGTAGTTAAATACTTTTTATAGTTGCATAGTAATGCGAAGCCGTGGTACGCTCATAGTATTATATACCTTAATTTCTTTTAGGTTATAATTGAAGAGTTCAAAGATAGCAAGCGTGATGACCCGCCAAGTTCTCTTGGCGCTAGTCGGAGCTTAACGGAAACCGTTAGAAACGCAGATAGTGCAAAACAGAAGATTGATCTAGCGGTAATAATACTTTTTAAATTTAAAACCTTATTTATACCATTATTATATTCTATTGTGGACACCGATAGAAGTGACACCGTGGCGTGGACCGATCACCAGGTGATCAGTCCACGGCATTTACTGACCACTTCACCCTTTTCCTCATCCCCCTTCGTAAATGTTGTTTTATCGTGAATTTTTTGATGTCCTCTGTTATGTTTGTTTGTACGATGTTAAAATATTTTTCAGAACATTCTACCGCTGGCGCGTAAAACGGAAGGAAACTTACCACTTGTTCACATGACATTGTCCCTGCCAAATCTTTATTTCTTCCGGCAGAAGAATCGTAGACGGATCCAGGTACATATATTTTTCTTTAATAAATTCTATGATAAAAAAAATTATACATTCAAATCACGTTAATACACCTTAAACGAAAACAGACAAGGTGATAGGCTTATATAGGTATATTGGAAAGCAATGTATGGCTAAAAACTCAACGGGTCGTGGAGTCCACCCCGCCAGATCCAATATTTTGGACTTCGTCTTTAAATCTGAATAGTAAATGGGTAGGAATATTAAAATTCCGTCCGGGTCACGAAGAATCGTCCTCAGATAATAAAGTCGTCAAGTTTACTCGTCCATCTTTAGTCTCCCCGTGACCAAGGCTGTTGCAAAGCATCCGAAGCGTCGGGCCGTAGTTAAAAATAATTTTCAAATAAATGTAACTAATATATATCGCGTTTTAAACCGTTAAAGTGTTTTATTTTAATCTGATAGTGTCCGGCTAAGTTAGCGGCGACTTAGTACGCCATATATTTGAAATAGCGAGTATATTGGTACGGTATAAAAATTCAGGATATCTCAAACCATTAAGCCACGGTTTTTATAAAACGTTTTATGTTTTTAAGGCATCATTATTCAAATTATGGGTGGGACTAGGCGCTGGTGAAACAGATGAACAGTGGCATTCGCCGCTTATTACAACTGGCTGTGGCACTCTGGATCCCGAAACTGGTATTGAACCAGCGTTGCTTACTTTGCAAGGTGTTCTAGCTCCTAGTAAGTATATAAAAAGAGTAAAGTGAAATCCGGTTTCCCTTTGTGGGCGTCGGATTTTATTTCAGACATGTATTGATCAGACTTTTGTACCCAGCCCGACCATCAATCTATTCTCTCCCCGGGAATTAAACCCAAGACCTCTCGCGCTTAACACAATGTTAGGCAGAACGTTCAACCATTTACCTACTGAGGCGGTAAATATATCTTACGGTAAAATGAATAATACCGTTAAAATACAATCTGTCTAGAGAACGTGCATCTCTGATTGTGAAATTTTAATTTAAGAGTATCCTGTTAAGCATTTGAATTTATTTAACACTATTTATTCCATAATTTTTTAAGTGTACTTAAGATAAATGTTTTCTTTTTATTCCAGGTAGCAATAGTAGCGGTGAAAAGAGACGTTATCCTCTCAAAGTGGAGATAGACCGACCAGTCCAACTCGAATTGTCCACGGACAAATTAAAACGTATAAAAGGCATTATGAAATTGGTAAGGTTATAACTATAATCTAAATTCGCGATTAAACAGAGTTCGTGACTTATTAATCTATATATTTTCGTCTTTCTATAATTTAAATATTTATAGTATCTAACCACGCTGTAGTTTAGTGTCTTGTAGTGATGGTTTTTCTAGCTTTTTTTTTTAAATTTCAGGTGGAAAAAAATGTGCCTCGCAACGAAGATCCTATCGTAAAGCGAGTTTCAAAGAAGCCACCTTTATATCGATTCCGGAAGCTTATGGGTATTTTTAATATGTTACACTAATCATTTGTACTAAGTAATCGTTTAAACCTATATATCCCACTGCTGGGCATAGGTCTCCCCTTGCATAAGAGAGGATTTAAGAGTTTAAATCAACCATGCTGCACTAGCACGGGTTGGCGGTACTACTACTTCCACTAAAGTAGTAGTTATAACCAAGACTACTTAACGTGTGCTCCGTGGCTCGGGAGTAATGACACCTGCTTCTAAAGTTCGAGCTGGAAATTTTGTTACATAAACTTGAAATATATGAGATTTGAATCCGGGACCCACCTGCACCTTGATTTCGCTAACCGCTAGGCCAACGAAACAAAACTTTTGCACTAAGAAACTATAACTAACTAAACTATGAATTCTTATTATAACCTAACAAAAAATCTTTCAAATATTTTGTTTGAAAATATATAATACGCTTAAAAACTTTAATATTTTTCACATGTTAATCATGTGAGCGCTCTATATAAAATAAAAATGGATTTTTTTGTATTTAATTAAAAATTTAATACAAAGAACCCGGATGCCTATTCAAATTCTGACCAAGTCGTAAATGTTTACAATTTGCAATCGATTTTTGATTAATATTTTGTATGTTGTAAATTTCAGTCCATAACAACATAGAGACGATATCGATAAGAACAAGTGACATGGAAGTGAAGGGTGATTTGGGTGCGATCAGCTGGAAGGTGACGTCACTACAAGTTGGAGCTGGTAAAAAGCCAGACCGCCTCTCGTGTAAACTTCTATTTAATATACAGACATTTATTATCGGGTCTGCGGATGTTCACCACTTGCTGCAACCAATGGTTATCGGGTATGTTCACGGAGAAAGTATTGTACCTCTAACATTAATGCAAATACCTATTACTAAGGATACTTCGGTCTGTCTGTCATTAGGCTATATCTCAGGAACCAAAACAGCCAGTCAGTTGCAATTTTTACAATAATATGTAATGAGAAATAATATATACAAAAATATTTAGTATATTAACGCACCAGTTTGAAAGATAGTTCGCTGTGTGCACTTACGTAGGTGAAAATATAACTAATCTATTTATCAAATGGCAAGTAAAAGCACCAACACGAATCCTCATCTATATAGGATATTGGTAGAAATACAGAAACACTTATGTATTGTTTTTAAAATGTAAATTTAAATATTTTTATTCTAGTTTTGTCGTTATATTCTATGTACTACTTTAAAATAAAATTGCACTGTATAGTTCAGCTTCCATTAACAACACTTTGTTTATCGTGATTAGCATAATCTAGAAATGGAACCTGCAGCATAACTATTATGGACAATTTGTTTTTTAGAATTTATTTTGATGCAACGTGGGAGGTTTGGCGTCGCGTCGAACATACACTATCCGCCCGCGAACCAACTATACGGTTGTGTGTTGACTTGGATCGAGCGATTTTCGACGTAAGGCCTGAAGATCTGGATGCCTTGTTCCAGATACATAAAGCTGTCCAGGATCTAGCGGACACAAGTGAGGTTGTTAAAAAGGAATCTATTTAAGTACTCTCTATAGTTTACACGTTGAAATATAATATTTTTAACGGTTAAAAACGCGATATTTACGCACCTCAGTTAATACAAGGCTCTGAAACCAGGTTACCGCGGCTAATTTATTTCGCGTTGAATACTGCCTATAGTTTACGCGAGTAGTATACATTCGAATAAAAAACTAACGGTTTACTCCGTGTCGTGTCTAACGTGTCTCAACATGACTATGACTGCGCAAAGCATCCGAAACGTCGGGCCGTAGTTAAAATAATTTTCAAATAAGCTTAAATAATATATAACGCGTGTAAACCGTTAAGGTGTTTTATTTCAATATTAGTAATATAGTAAATATTAATAATGTCTTATTTCCTAGTAGATTAGACTTCTGGTGTTTCTATATATTTACTGATAGTTCAGTCAAGTAACTTTAGTCCTATATACTACTTTCTTAATTCATAATAGCTCCTATTTTTCGTTTTATTCTAGCTCGAAAGTGTAGACTCCAAGGAAACGGCGTCAGTATCCAGTACTACATTTCTCTTACAATGTACCAATACATCTAGCAAATGCCTCACGACCGTTCCTTCTGCAGGTGTTGGCTCGGAGACGGTGGATAATTTCTATAAGGATGATTTTAGGTAAGACTTCTTTAAATAAAGCCCTACAAAAGGCCATATAACATCTAATCAAGATGTGCTGTTGATTTATTTTGGCTTTAGATATTCGGAAATCTACGGCGACCGAAATGCTATTAAACTTGACGGCTTTTCTTTCGCGGTTCGCGGTTCACGACCCAGACGGAATTACGATATTCCTACCACCGATTTACGAGATTTCCCGAAGAACTCTACCATCTTTCAGAAATATTATAAATTAAATAGAAACTAAAACGCTTCTTAATTTTTTTTATTTCTTATTCATTTTAACTACGAGATGACGATTCGGATGTTCGGCAGCAGCCGTGATCACACACATCTGGTGAAAAAATATATTTAATCGTGTAAAATATTTACAAAACATAAAATTTTTTTTTCGCGCGGGGGACCCCTCAAAAAAAAAAAAATATTTTAAAAAAACCCCTTACTATATAATACTACTTTATATTATTTTTTTTTTTTTTTTTTTTTTTTTTTTTTTTTTTATTTTTTTCTATTTGAAACGCTAAAAATGGCGAAGATTTTTTGTTACTACTTCCATCGAACTATACATCAGCATCACACAGGCTTCTTCCTATGAGTAATTAGTAAAAAAAATATTCCTTGCAGAAGCGGCGCTTTCAAGCTTGTGAAGGAAGGTCCTGTGCCAATGGCTTACCAGATACTGATACAAGAAGACAGAGTGATGTGGAGGTATCCTCATCCACGAGCGATCGTCAAACTTGTGGTGTCCCCTGTTTCGGATCAGGTCTGGGTCTATGGTTCTTTGTTTCACATACTCTTACTTTCTAGAAGGTTCTATAATATGTTTTTGTTTATATATAGACTTGGCGTTAATGTTGTTTTGCCATATGAAGTATTTGAGCCAAAATTAGATTACTATGTAAACGGTTTTTGTGAGTTAATGTTAAAAGAAAGATATATACTGTTGCAGAATTTTATTTAGACTGAAGCGTAATAATTCTTTTACACATATTTTTAGGGTATCTCGATCCGTTTTTGTAGCGTGCGCAAAGGAAACTCTTAAAGATGATTAGTTGTCCCCGCTTTTTTCACATTTCCCTTTGTTTCTTTGCTCCTATTCATCGCAGTCTGATATTTATATCCTAAAGCTTTTATCGATGAATGTTGTATTTTACACAAAAATCTTCAATTCGAACCAGTAGTTTCTGAAATTAGCGTTATTAGTATAGATTTTGTATATAACATGTGGGTACTCTTTCAATGTGAAATCCGCGTATCATTGTTTTACGGGCTGTTCGGCCAATGTGAAAAATTAATTCATAGAGCGATCGAGGAGCTAACATGTGATGATGCCGTCCGTTTGTGATGACGAGACGTCAAACGTTAAGAAACTCTTCTCGCCGATCTATGATATTCTGGACGATGGCCATGAAAGCCTTACGCAATTTAATAATATGAAATCTCTTTGAATTCACAGGAGGATGAAACAGAATGTGTTCTAGAACTATATTCCCCACTCCTGTGTCGTTGGGAGAGACACAGCGTATTTAAAATACCGATTACAGAAGAAACAGAGTATCCTCTGTATTTCAAAACTTCAGGTGATATTAACAAACCGTTTTTATATACTGAGTTAACATCGTGCCGTTTTTGCTTTTCCGTGATACGTTTTACGAATTATTATTCCTTATTATAAACATTATTTATAGCCTTCTTAGTTAGTAAAAAATGTGTTTTAGAAGCGGTGTTTGCCTCTCTGTGGCGTGTGAAGATCTGTCGCCATCACAAGAGCAGTCCCACTAATTACAAGTTTGACATAACCAAGTTTCTATCGGGCCGGGACCCAGTGGTATGTTCCATGTTTTTTCTTAATTTTAGTATTTAAAAATAAAATATGGAAATTTCCAAAAATCATATCATATACATAATTAAAACCAATTTTGAACAACATCGTCATTTCTTATACGAAATAGTACATTATGATATAAGTGCGGTAAGTTGAAAGTTACAGCCGAGGTTACTAGCCCAAGCCATCGGCGAGTGCTATAAGAAAGCTGAGGCTGTAATTTTCAAAACGCACGTATGACATAGGACATTTTATAATAAGGAAATTAATAAAACTCTAACTTAGTTAAACGAATAAATCTTTAATTAATTGTTAAAACAGTTATAAGCAATGCGCGCGCATCAACTTTTTTTTTTAGGCAAAGGTACAAAAACAGCCAGTATTACTAATAAAGTAAATTAATATTTTTGTGTTTTTGTTATAGATAAATGGTTGTAATTTATTGTCAAAATTAATTAAATGTTTATTTGTTATATTTTATTTCCCGAAGTTTATTTTATTCATAAAATATTGACCACTTTCTTGACATAAAACCTCTTTGCTAAGATTTTTAAAAGTATCGTTCATTTTTAGACGGAGTATCTTAAAACTTTGTTAAAAAAAACACGTGCCTTTTACATTACATTATCGCACAAGTACGTAATGAGATACATTACGATATTGAAATTGGTGTAATTACAACCACTTTACGAGCAAATATGTTATAAAAATATTTAGGATACTTTTAACTAAACTGTACACTGTATTAAATTGAAACAGGTGAATAAAAATACAGTACCTCTTGTAATACAGTTATCTACTTAGGAGCTTAGGAGCCCTTTACCTCAACTTTGACAACTGATAGGCGTAAAAGAAAAAAACATTATTTTCGCTTTTCAAGATTATGGTTCCTGTCTATAATTCTGGAAGCTTATATAGGTACAAACCACGTGTTAAGAGGGGAGGACTGTTCGATTTTTTTTATGTACTCCTCTATATAAATCATCAGAAGAAACTATGCTACTCGTAAAGATATGGAGTGATAACTAAAATATATTTCAGGCTTACAATCCACCTCCCGAAAGCTACGCCGTTTTAAATTCGCCTATAACAGGCCAACATTTATTTGGCGTGTTAAGAATGGATTCTACCTTCGCACCGCGACTGCTACCGCGTCTAAGTCTAGCTGTAAAGATTTCCTGCCTGGAACTAAACGTACATAACACAATGCCGACTATAAACAGGTTTGGTCTCTACATTAAATCACAACTACGTTTTAAAAATTCATTAGGAATGTTCTTTCTATTTTCAAAAACAAATAATATGCTTAGTATTAGTTAATTATTTCGTCGGGACGTCACTAAATTTTTTAGATTTGTCTCCCCTAATAACATTCTAATAGCTTCCTGTCCTTAAATAAAGTATTACAGTAAAAATGATGGTCCTTTCAGTACAGGACAGTCTCTCTTTAACGCGTGACTTCACGAGTCATGTGTAACTTTCGGGGCAGGGGGGGAAAGGAGGGGTAAGAGTAAGTTGGATATTTGCGTGACACAATTATAAATTTGTATGTTTTATTTAAAGAGAAGCAAGAAATCTAGAGGGCTACTACGTATCAAGGCCTCTGTGTCGCAGTCATCGTGTGATGAACGTTCGCGTTACGGATTCCGCTGTGCATCTACTTGTCGCTACCACTCCGAAAGTCGTGTTCGATGCTGAATTATCGTAAGCATTTTCGAAATAATTGTATTAAAATAATTTTAATTTAAATAAATACTCGATATTAGAAGACAATAGTGACACAAACGGCACCGCCGAACCCACGACCAATAGCATTAATATGATTATTTAAATGAAATAATTTATTTAGTATCTTTCTAAAGAACATGTTTTCGAAAACAGATACTTCACTCACTAGATAGGAACTTTTAAAATTAAGTCTTTGTCGACTTATTCATTTCCAGGAGCGACATAATAGATAGTGCGACTGGTACATTGGAGCCATTTATAACCGAGTTCCGGTCGCAAGGAGTGCTATATCTAGAGAAAACACCGCGTTTGTACGTGCGAGCGAGCAAAATTGCTATAGACATCAACGTACCTCGAGTCTACACAGTGCGATCGCTCGCTGACGATTGGCTGCGAGCTCATGGCCAGGTAAGTACGTTTTAGGAGTTTGATTTTTGAATATAGGCTGTTCTATATTCAAAAATCTTTTTTTTAAACGGAATTCAAAACCTCAAAAGTCAGACTTAATTACTTTTAAATATGGCGCGTATTCGTTCACGCGACATATTCACTCAATCAACCAAAATCTGATACAACAATCTAATATGAAACCGGTAACTAAGGACTTATTAAACTAAAGCAAGTAAAATACTAGCTCGTATAATTATCTCTCGACCGCCTCTGTAGCCAAATGGTTAAACGCATTGCCAAGCATTGCCTTAAGCGCGAGAGGTACTGGGTTCGAATTCCAGTTCCAGGAAACAAAAAGTTGATTTAGTCAGGCAGGCCACAGAAGTCTGATCTTGTTTATCAACTACTTGTCTGTTAAAGAACGGATCAGAGGAACGGACACAAAAATGTGTTCGCCCCATGCCCCACGAGGGGGATTTTAAGTATACTTTATTATCTTCTATTGGGGACACCGATAGAAGCCGGCCTTCAGTCCACGCCATTTGCTAACGCTTCTCTCTCTCGCTCTCTTTGCTGTGGTCATTGGGTTAGTATAGTGAATTATAGTCTCAAATTTAGTTATTCTATTTCAGAAATTTAAAAACATGAAGTTGGCTTCCTTCAAAAAGCAGGCGAATAATCCTATAGATGCATTAGACGGACGTGTAGCTCTTTGGGTGCATAATGAGTGCAGTGTTGCCCTACGGATTGGTCAAGAGAGAACTGAAGAAGTTGTGCCTGTCGGCGCTGGAGTCAGTTTAGCATATCGGTAAAATCCAGCCAAACTGCCAAAAATCTTGGTTATTATATAATACTAGCTGTGCCCGCAAGTTCGACCGCTTAGAATATTACCTCGGGCATCAAAATTTGTTTTTACATATATGATTATAACTGTAACCCACGACCTTGTCCGCACCCGTTATTCTTGCAAGTTAGCCTTAAAACTTGTCTTAATTTAACTTAATACTGTCACTGCAATTTTTCAATTCGAACCAGTAGTTCCCGAGATTAGCGCGTTCAAACAAACAGACTCTTCAGCTTTATAATTACATATTAGTATGAATAGCTTGTTTTAATGTCTAATATTTTAAATATAAGTTTCATTCAACAGATGGCGCTCTCCTTTAGCACCGAAGAAGTTGCGTTTCGCTTTTGCTGGACCCTGTACCGATTGGCATTGGTCTAATAGTTAGTTTGCTTTTTATCATTATGTGTTAATATCGTTTTTAAAAAAATACGATACGTGCTGGACTTCAACCGGCATCCACAGTATGCCGTGCTGTTCCATTAACCAATTGAGCAAAAACGCGCTCTATACGACATCGTCGACTTTTTTTTACCTATTTCTACATGCACCTCTCGCGCAATGTATTTTCAACCTTAACACTAGCGTTTTAAGGCTGTGAATATATATATTTTTTTAATAGTACCATCATTGGAAAAATATTAAAGTTTTAATCTTTTATAGAAGAAGTAATGTAAACATTTGCTCAACATCATACCATACATTCTTACCTATTCTTCAACTAATTATAAAATTAATTTAATTTTTCAGGTATAGAATTTCGTGAAGGCTCTTGTAAGGTTTGGCTAGAAGAATTGGAAGACGAGAGTACAACAGAAAAGTCTCTATCATATAACGATAACAATACGACGCTCTATATTCGCGTGGAGGGTACGGGGGCAAGGCGGGATATGTATCTGACGGGGCGTTTGTCACTTGTTAACGTGCTACGACAGCCATTAGTTTATAAGGTAATATTGTTTTTCACTTAATCATTCATCTTTATTTACTAGGTATGTCAGCGACTTCGTCCGTTTAGAAATTCGTTTTTGCAAACCTACAATTTCTACATTAAAACTGTTAACCACAACGTCGTTCCTTGCAAGTTAATCTTAGAAGATTATTAGAAGACATTTTTTCATACATCGTTTTTTGGTTTATTGAATCGTTTTCGCAGCGCACGCACATACGCCCTCAAAGATAAATATCTTTTCCGTTTGTTTCACATTTCCCTCTGTTTCTTAGCTTCTATGTGTCGCAACATGATGATTTATAACCTAAAGCCTTCCTCGATAAATGCTCTAACCAACACAAGTGGATTTTTTAAAATTCCAACTAGTAGTTCCTGAGATTAGCGCGTTCAATGAAACAAACAAAGAAACTCTTCAGTTTTTTATATATTATCTTTTTATAGGTACGATATCGGCATACTTCTGTCAATCCTTGGCAGACCATTACGGCGGGAGTTCTCAACCAAGAAGCAATAGGCCCGAGTGTGCTTTGTGGCAACGGTAGTGCTGTTCTTAAGTAAGCACTTTTTTATGGCGGGCCAAAAATCTACTGCCAATCTATATGTAAATGTCATGAAATAGTAATTCTAGCTCAACATTTTCCTCACTCGTACTATTTAATTTTAGAGTGAAGTTCACATCGGAAGACGCTGGATGGTCGGGCGACATACCAGTGCAAGAGTGCCGAAGGGAGAATTTTCCATGGCTGGTTAAAAGTAAGAAAATTTATCATAATACTTTGAACTAATGCCTTGGTAACTCAATCGTAATATGCTTGACATTGTGTTGTCTAGGCTTGATTCACGGGGAAACATACACATTTCTTTTAATTGAATGAAATGCCTTACCTGATTCGTCAAGCTCCAGCCAAAATGCACCCCTCGGGACAACCCCTAGCCCCAAACACCCAAACGGTATCTTAGTTTTAGGTGTCCCGGGCCGATAAATGCAAAATAAATAGTAGTAAATAAAATAATATTTGTTTATAATCATAATATAGATTCTTAATAATGGGATGTAAATTATATAACTTATGAAATATACTAAAATATTTTTGTAGTCTGTGTGTAACTTTTTACTAGCCTACAAACAATTTCAGTACCAAGACAAGGGGAGGTGCCTTTTACAGCGGTGTGGTGTCGCGTCGTCCGGAGTCGTTCTGATGGAAGAGTTATTGCAGCGTTCTGGCCATTTTATGTGCTCACTTCGCAACTTCCATTGGATATAAACGTAGGTGTTCTAGATAGAATTATGGGTAGATGTAGTTATTCTCCAGGCATTGAATCCGAGGCCAACATAATTGAATCAGTTCTGTTGGGTAGGAAAGTAGTTGATTCAAGTCTTCCAGTATAAGTAAACATCTTGTAGTAGTTAGATTTGTAGAATAAATATAATTTGATGTTTTTAAACGATTATTATTATGAACTCTCTGTAGTTTACGCTAGTAGTGCACATTGAATAAAAACTTATTTAACGGTTTAAAAAGCGAAACTTCGAAATGAAATGAGTTTTAGACTACATTTTGCGTTTTGAACAGTTAAAAGTGTTTTATTTGAATTTGTTATGTTTCACAGATGACAATAACGTCTGAGTTTCGTTCGGACCCAGAACCCAAACCGCAATACGTCAACTCGCAGACAGCGCCGGGTCGCGGTGCTTGTACTCACATATCGGCCCCTGGTACTTCTGGTGACAGACATAATTTGGTTATACAATATAAGTAGGTACTTATAACTATAACTACAATTGATATATAAAGATACATAGACGGGCTTGTTGGTCTAATGGTAGCAATGTATGGCTTATAATCCACGGGTCATGGGTTCGGTCCCCACCGGGTCTATATTGTTTTAATTTTTCTGAAACACGTAGAACTTCGTGTGGAAATCTATTCATTAAGTTTTCTATTTAACGAATACATGATAGAATATAGGAACTAATAATGTATCTTATTATTTTTAATTTATATTATGCCAATACTTCTAATTATTTTGTAGAGATTTGGAATGCCCTGTGACTAAAAGCAAAGTGGAGCTACGATACGAGTTAGCTGAAACACCTGTGTTTGAAGAGAGTACCCCAGTGCAAACGGTTGAGGATCTTCTTGCGCTCTTAAAGGAATGGTACCGTATCTATAATATCTAATAACGTGTTATTATAATTGTTGATTTCGTTGAAAACATCCTTTACTGTTATTGTAAGGCCATATTATAGATTTAAGCTGTTACCCGTTACGTGTCTCGTCGCTCGCGATCCGTTATACAGTGTCGCGGACATTTTTTTTACATAATTTAAAGAGGATTTATTCTTTCACAATTCGAACCAGTAGTTCCTGACAACCAAGCAAACAATCTTTTCAGCTCTATATATTTGTATGAATTCCCAGAGTATAAAAATACATGATATACGACCGGTCATGTCGTCTTACTTCGCTGTACGTTACTCCTTGAAGTACAGAAATATATTTATGCGTGCTAGAACCAAAAATACATTTACAATATAACAACCATTTATTTATTCTGTTGTCTAGGCTTAACAAGTCGAGCCGTGACTCTAATTCGAACTGGCCATACACAGTTGTCAAGAATCATTGGATTGGTACTTGGAAGCCAGCGTTGTTGCAGCCTAAATGTGACGTCAATGTAAGTTTTATACCGTTTTAACGGATTTGAACGTGGTACCATTTAGAATTGTGGGTCGTAGTTACAAATTAATCATTTTACATTATTAACAGTCAAAAAGTGTTCTATGCAGTATTTATAGACAAGCTAAAAAAAAGCTTGTCTATAAATACATGCATTACTATACAATTTAAATTTGTTAATTCAATGATACAGAATATTGTGCAAATGTTGGGACAATTTGATTTATTTCTATACATAGGAAAGCTGAGTCATTAGTTCATAATTTATAAATTACTATTTTCATAGAAATATATAATTTTCAATATTACTTTTTTTAACTGCTGGAAATAAGCGTTATACTACCTTAAATAACTGGATAAGGTTCAATTTAAAACCTTTAATCTCGTGAAAGATAAAGAGTTGAAAAAGACAAATGCCTACACGTTTTATAACGAATTTAAATCTATAAGTGGAATGGTTCTTTCCGATCACCAACATAAAAAGCGATTTCATAATAAATAAAATTCTAAAACGTATTTTAATTCGTTTATAGATTCGATACATACCGGTTCGGGTGGGCGGCGGTTGTGCCTTAGAAGTGAGGTTATCCCCGAGAGTTTTATTCGCAAACGCTTCAACTATTGCATTGACTCTACGTTCGTACGACGGAGCACCACTGTGCAAAGTGGAACCGGGGGTGGCTATTTCGCCACCTCTTATCATAGTTACGGTGAGCTTAATCTTTATATATTATGGATATACAATATTTCCCCTAGACTTGTTACATAACTTACTTTTTATATATTTGTGATAAATTCAAGTGTAAGCTATAGCCAAATGTTTCTATTAATTCGAAACATAATTTATGCCTTATATATAGTAGGTTATTACCCACTATGAATGATTATAAAGAAATGTGATTATTCTGGCGGCATCCCGTATACTTATTAATTGCTTATATTTCCAGTGCAAAAGATTTACTACCTTTCTCTTGAAATATACAAATTTAACATATTATACTACAAACATAAGAAACATTCACTATACTAGAATTAAAAAAACATATATTTTGTCATAGAAACCATTCTACATTTCCGTGGAAATGGGCAGAGAGACATTTGTAAGCACAAAGCTGCAAGTGTGTAACAAGGAACCGGGACGATACGTCGAGCCTTCGCCACAGCATGTCTGGCTTGATTACCCCACACGATGCGCTATACATTGTAACCATAAAGTACGTATCAGAGGTCTAAGGCAATATGAACGACAGCTTACTGCAATGCGATTTCATTATGATTTTTATTAAATTATGATTTATATGAAATAATATTGTGACCCAGGTTTACGCATACAAATTACGTGTTACAAATGCCAATTTTTGCTTTTAACCACATTACTACAATGTACGTCCATCCCGGGACTACATTTTCGGGTAACAATATTTTTCATGATCACAAAATTGCATATCACAGTAAAATTGTGTTAGTGAAAAATTTATAAGAATTATATTAGGATCGGTTTATTTTTATAATGAACACTTTTTTCAGGTTGCGCTTTTATCACTCATGTATGAGTTAGAAGAATCCATTAATGTTTTTGGATTAACCTCGACGTACGCTATTCGAAACTTGTTGAAAACTAACCTACTTGTAAGTATTCAGATTGTTTTACTACAGTGTCCTTATTTTTATCGTTCTTATCTTACAGCAAACATCAAAATACACATTGAAGGGAACGCAGAAACTATAATTATAAAATTATAAAGTATTAAGGACCTTGGCACGTTGTTTTAAATTCTTCGTGGACTCAAACGGCTAAAAGGGTTAACTTGTCTTACGTTTTAGGTCTCGACCATTGCAGTACCAAAAGAAAAAGAACAGCTGTCCGTTCTAAGGCCGAAGACGTATAAAGTAATACATCCTACCGCAGAAGACAGGTAAGTTCACACCAATATGGATTAATAAATGAACACCCAAACTTGTTTTTTTGTAATAGAATGAAGTGACAACGATTCAAATAGAAAAAATACAGACTATATTTTAACAAGATGCGATGTTAGCCTATTTTGTCTTTGACAACTGTGAGTCACAGACTGAAAGCGAAACGCGATTAAACTTCACGGCTTTAGCATTTGTGGAATGTTTGTGACCGGCTCGGAATTTCCGATGTTCTTTCCACCCATTTTTTGTGTTTTTTTTTACCTTTATTCGCAAGTGTTAAGGTTGAAATTACATTGCGCGAGAGGTGCATGTATCAATAAGTTGAAAAAAATCGACGATGTGGTGTCAGGATTCGGGTAGCTAAATTTACCAAAAAAGTAGCCAGCACGGAAAGCTGACGATGCCGTTCAAGTCCTGCCCGAGTCGAATTTTTCCACCTACTTTTTTTGATTTTAAATTTTTTATAGCTGTTAAATTATTAAATATTTGTTTTGTGTATTAGTCTTGAATGCACGCCGCTGACAAGATTCTCAATACAAGGCCGGTGGCGCGGCGAACATGTAGACGAACTCGACACATTCTTGTGTTTCACTCTTGACGACAAGTTACTGGGTCCAGTAGCCGCACCCATCTGCTTGGCTGCAGCACCACTGCGTCGTCCTATAGCACTGAAACAAGGCAATCGCGTGGTATGTACCAATTTTACATTTATTTTTCGCTGTAGACTTAAAACAAAAAATACTGGTCACGGGGTCTCTTTAAAATAAAAAATTGGAACTATTAATTATATCTAGCGTCAGTGACTTCGTCCACGTAGAATAGTTATTTTGGGCATCCAAATTTCGTTTTGCAAACCTCTTTTCTTTCATCTTTATAAATCTAATCTGTTACCCACGACATCGGCAGCGTCCCGTCGCTCTCGCGAGTTTCTTTAAAGATAGACATATAGCGTCGTGGACTTTTTTTAGATCCTTTAAAGAGGAATCATTATTTCATACATACTTTTTGTATATACATTACATATTAGTCACAACGATATGTTCTATAGCCTTTCTAAATAAATGCTCTAACTAACACAAAAATAATTTTTGAATTCAAACAAGTAGTTCCTGAGATTAGCGCGTTCAAACAAACAAACTCTTCAGCTTTATATATTAGTATAGTTCACTATTCCTAGTTGGAATCAGGTTAAATATCTATACTATTTCCTGACCATAATACAATGTTGTGTACAAGCGTTTACTTAACTTAATTTTAATACCATTTATTTAGTTTTTAATTTATACTTTACATTATTACTAAAAAGTAAATTTGTACTTTTGTACGTATATTGTAATAAATGAAATTTTTTTAAAACTATTGTGCTTCTTCCACTTTTCAAAATCTAAATTCACCTTGAGTAACATAGAATATATTGTTAGGAAAGACTAGGAATTCTAGTGGGCATTAAAATAAAACATCGTTTGTCGCATACGCACCGGAATTTGATGATAGGATGATTTTTTGTATGTTGTTTGTTAAAAGACCATAATATCAAAAACTTGATAACAGTACCAACCAAATTTAGAATTTAGATCATTGTATGTAACTTCAGCTTGTCTTCATATATTTAAAGATATTTGATAGGGCAAAAGGTTTATATACTTTAAATATTTTGTAATTTTAGATACCTGTGGTCGTTTGCCAACAACAACATACGGGTCGATGGATAATAACAGTTTCGGAGGATCCGTGCCCACAGTTCTTGATCCACAATCGCACTGCTAAGCCCCTTGCCATAGCCGAACCTGAGAAGACTCGTGACATAAAATTAACTGATCATGCTCCAGTAAGTATATAATTATCAATAAACATACGACTTAGGCTTACAATAGTAACATACAAAATACATTGGAAAAATTGCTTGAAGTTGAAGTTTACGCGAGTAGTACACCTTTAAATAAAACACTTTAACGGTTTAAAACGCGATATATATTAGTTAAGTCTCCCCGTGACCACGGCTACTGCAAAGCATCCGAAACGTCGGGTCGTAGTTAAAATAATTTTGAAATAAGTTTAACTAATATATATCGCGTTTTAAACCGTTAGTATGTTTTATTTAAAAACCTAAACGTTTCCTCGAAAATTAAAAAATTAACATGAATACAAAACGAAAATAACAAAAAATATGACATAAAATAAAACGCCTAAAGCATTTATTATTACACATAATGGGCATGTTGCGTACTACTGTGTAACTTACAATTGCCATACGAATTGGTCTTAGTTTGTACTTGAGCGACGGAACGTTTTCAATTCACACAGTATGAAATAAAATAAAAATATTTATTTTATTCTAGCGAATCGGTACTCAGGAGTGTACGGGTGCGAAATGGTGGTGTATTGTGGAGGCGAACTCGAGCACTTACTATTCTTGTCCGGACTACTACACGAACTATCCACCTACGACCTGCACTAAGCGCCTACTTCTACCCCTGCTAGTCGGGATTGTGAGAGGTAGTGTGCCGTCAAAGAAAACTAATTTCAAATTAGTACATTAATTTATTCATAGAGAAATCATTCTAACATATATATTTTTGGGTATCTAGAATCGTTGGCCCAGCGCACACAACGGAACTCAAAAATGCATTATTTCCCCCTATTTCTCCACAATCGGTCGCAGTGATATTTTATAATGCTCTAACCAACGAAAACTATTCTATCTATTCTTTTCTGAGATTAGCGCGTTCAAACAAACAAACTCTTCAGCTTTATAATATTAGTATTGATATGAGACAAGATATAATATAACTTTCTTCGTCAAAGATCGTAAGTCCTTCATAAGAAGTTAATGGTAAACATTTGGTTTAATTACACGAAGATGTCTAATCAACTTCTCGTTTCACAGAAGAAGCAGATCCTGAATGGAGCGAGCCATTTTCAGTACACAACGGGGAAACACTACTGCAACTCAGTACCGGCATAATGATCAAATTGAACATTAAATGTAACCCTCACACTACAGTCATCGAACTTCTAGATGTTGATCAGGTATATGCATTTTTATTACGATAGAGTAGGACAGACAAGTATGATGTTCATTTGATGGTATGTAAAATATAGCATCAAAACAAATGCGCTGTCGGTCTATTTTGGCTTTGGATATTCGGAACTCTACAGACTGAAACCGAAACGCGATTAAACTCGACGGCCTTTTCATCTGTGAATGGTTCGTGACCCGGATGGAATTTCGGTAGTCCTACCACCTTGTATTAAATAGGTTTAAGATTTTCAGAAAGATTATAAATCAATTAGAATAATGTTGAACCCGGTGCATATCGAACCCACGACCCGTTGATTGAAGCCATACGTTGTCACCATCGAATCACGGAAATTGTTTTATAGTACCGCTGGAATAATTTGTTCTTCTCTATCAACAGTGCGACTTGTCAGCCAGTGAGATTCGCCGACAACTAATTATATTGGAGAACTCTCCACAAGTTATTGTACGTATCTTGATCACAATGTTTATATAATAATATTGCTACTATTTATTTATTTTTTATATGTTTACAGGAGTCTGACGATGTTAATAGTACGAGTAAAAACAGTAAGTTACATTGTAAATAACGTTTTACCTAAATTTTTATATGAATATAAATGGATCCCTATCTAAATATAATATATAGCCTATTTTTGTAATAAAGAGCAACGGGTATCTATACTGTCGATAGTTTACGCGAGTAGTAGACATTTAAATAAAACACTTCAACGGTTTAAAACCATATATATTAGTTAAACTTATTTGAAAGTTATTTTTAACTTCGACCCGACGTTTCGGATGCTTTGCAACAGCCTTGGTCACGGGGAGACTAAAGATGGAGGAGGTATCTGACGTCAAAGTAAAAATTGCTACTCTAGCGCCATCTGTTCCGTCGAAGTTGGTATTTGGCGAAACTGGCCGGGTCCTTACAGAATTGACTCGATTTTTTTTAATATTTGACATTTGATTAGTAGAAAACATAATTGAAGGGGTATTTTCAACTACACTTATATTCATTACTGTTTCAGAATTATTAAACCGTCCACAAGAGTCACACGAACGAAACCTATACAAAATAACGGATCGTTCTAATGCGAATAACACTTCTCAAGTGGAAATATGTAAAGAAGAGGTAAGACCGTCAACCTAAGTACATATATTGAAAAGTGATAAGTTTGAATAGTCTTATTTAAGTTTGTGTTATTTAATCATTACTAAGTTAGATTAGATTTGAAAGGTCAAAGTAATTTGCCGAAGTGATTTATTTATGTAATTGGTTTAAAACACTTAACAGTCATCTTTTATTTTTTTATAGCTGGATACAAAAAGTAAAGTGGTCATGGTGGCGACAACCACGGAGAGAGGATCACTTGAAAACTTATCACATGCCGTCAAAGATGATATAAACGGTAACACGTTGTACAATATATATCGATTTTAACTTTCAATTGAGATATCTGTTATACCTATATAAAAATTTTGTAACTAGGACATGCACGTTTTAAATCGTTAAAAAATGTAATGAACAAATTTCTAAATTATGGCGGTATTGAAATAAAACAAGTATAAATTCGGTAAGTAAAGGCTTTAATTGATTATTTTTTATAAAGAATCGCTGAAGACTGAAAGAGAAGCTGAGAGGGTCGCATTCAATGAACAAGCAGGTTACTCTACCACATGGCAAGATGGTTCCAAGACAGGTTGGTCAAAACATGTTAAACTATTATTATTACGTTGGGCATCTAAATTTGATTTTGCAAACCTCCTCTGCATCTTTATAAACTTAAGTCCTTTTTGGTTAACAACATCGGTCGCGTCCGTCGTTCTTGCAACTTAATCTAAAAAGGTGATCTTATAGCGGGAATTTTTTTGGTCATTTGAAGGGTCATTAGGGCAATCAAACAAACCAATAAAAAAACCCACCAGCTTCTATATTAGTATTTTTTAATAAATGTAGCTGAAATCGCCGCCATTTTTATTATTATTGCTATCTTAAATTTTTTATTTAACTGGACTTTAAATAAATTGTAGTCTGCATTATCCTGTTGGTGCTGACTAAACACATTAATTTAATACATTATATTCCAGTGTGGTCAAAACGCAGTAACGAAATGGATAGAGTTCGTGCATTGGTCGACAGTGTTACCATAACGTTCTCCAAATATTCAGATGATCTTCCCATACTCGCAGTAACAATGCAACGTTTATCATTATGGGCTAGAGAAAATGCAAGGGTAATTATATATAAATCTGTATGTTTAATATTGCAATTGGTTAGTCCACTAGAATGCAGACTATTAGGTAACTAGTTCTAGTGCCAGCCCAAAGTAGGGGGAGGGTCTTTTTCTTCAATCTTCTCTTCTTCGGCCTTATTTAAAGTAGAAGTTACCATTCTGGGTTATACTTGCATGCTAGCTGAAATACCCTAGCCATATGACATTGAATATATATACATTATTCATATATATTTGGCATCGTGTTTAACTGCCAAATTTTCATGCTTCAAATTGTTAATTTTTCTAGATCAATCCAAAGAATAATCCGATATAAGAATCGAATCCACAATCCATTGCTTCTTAGCACATATTGCTAAATGTTTCGTTAGAGCTATAGATTATAGAGCATATCATTATTTTGAACAACAGGAGATGTTGTTAGCTCTTCGATTGCTCAAAGAATTCTTCGCTCGTAATGGCGAAACGTCACGAAAACCTTACACAATTTATCTATTAGTATTATTAGCAAAATATTTTTTTGCAGAAACAAAGAGTGTCGCTCTCGTTAGCCAACATTCAAATCGACAATACACAATACGAGAGTGGAGAATACGACTTCGCAGTGGTCGCGACAACAGATATGCCCATAGTGAGGGATCTCTGGCCGCCACTATGGAATATGAATATAGATATGTTCGAAATGATGGAAGACAAATCTGGACTTGTGCTGATCACGCGCAACGATAGATGGTCGGCCGGTGGTCAACATTTCAACGGTATGTTGAAATGAAAAAATAGCTGTTCTGGGCAACAAATTATTTATTTTTATAAACAACCTCCACAATTTATAACTATTACCCACGATGGCATCCGCGTCTCTCTTTGTTCTTGCGTTTTCTTAATACATATACTATCGCGGACATTAGATTAGATAATTTAAAGAACAATCATTCTATTATAATTTTTTTTTGTCGCGTGAATGTGGTGAAAAAAAATAATTTAAATGAATTATCGTTTTAATTATGAGGTTCGTATTGTACAACGGTATACTAAAAAGTTATTGCGTTCTATTTTACCAATTCTAATATATTACTAGTACTTTTTATTTTACATGAATTGTTGCAAAGGACTTATTCGAATTCCAGAGCTCACGAAATTGGAAGCCAAAGTCGGACCGCTCGGTCTCTACCTTGAAGACGCTTATGTGACAGCGCTAGTGGATTTGGCTAGAGTTGCTTTGCCCCCAACGGCTAGTTCCTCAGACAGCGATGCCTTGACAGAAGCTGCGAACCTACGCCGCCCTCTTCGCATACGTCGCCTCTACATACACCCTCTGCATTTGACTCTTACTTTACACACAGCGGTAGGTATTCTTGTACTTATTTACTTCGTTGGCCCTCAGAAAAGGAGAACGCCACTTTCATCGATCCTTCATCGCAGTTCGTTAGTTCGTCCAGTTCTAACTCCAACCAAAATATTAGGATACTAAGATTGTGCCTTATTGACACTTCGGTGTTCTTTAATCCATTTTTTGTGATGTTGGGGGCGCCAAACGCTTTCAACAACCCTCATTTCAAAACTTTGCTTTGTAATTAATTAACCATCCATCGTCATAGAGAAACTTAATCATTGGATAATAGTTGATTATATCATAATGTTCAATTCTACATTAACATTTATACAGAATCCTATATAATGTACAATAATTTGTATTAATACCATGTCAATTGAAATCCTTGGACAATATAACTCCTCAGAATTCTACAATGTCCTATTTTTCAATTGTTCATAATAGATTTCCATATTTACATATAGGTGCGAATGTACATTGCGCTAGACCAGAGTCCCCTACTACTCAGCGAATTTGAGCTTCTCTACGTGATGACGTCCCAAGAAAATCTAGTCCGAGCGCTGACTGTCCACTATTTGTCTGCAGCTATACTTGGAGCCGGTCAGTGCTATATTTACTTATTTATATGATTCTTCTTTAAGTACAATATAAGATAAAACTCATACAAACATCTAGGAACGCTTTTAACGGTTTAAAACGTGAAATAGAAAAATAAATAGCCAACTTATTTCTAAAGCCAGGTTTCCACTAAGCAACATATTGCGCGCGACACGAGTAGCTCAATATGTGCGGAAACGTTGCACAACGTACCGCGGCTTGTTGTTTGTTTTCTTTATTTCGTAGACATTTTTTAGACCATCAACTTGTTTTTTTTCTTTTAATGAATTTTCGGTAAAATAATAACCACTTCCGCTGTCAGCACAAGTTTCTCTGACGACATATTGGCGACGACTAAGGTATATGCGTTGTTCACCAAAAGTTCCGTGCTGACTTTCATCAGGCTAGGCAACTTGTTGTTCAACATGTCGCGCGTCAATTGTTGCCCAGTGGAAACGCGGCTTAATATATTTTGCCTAAGGCCCGGTCCCCCGTGACCACTGCGGCTGCGAAGTAGCCGAAACGTCTGGCTGTAGTTAATATAAATAAAGATAATGTAATTAATATATATCGCATTTAAACCGTTTTATCTACTATTCAAACTACAGCAATACTTAATCTAGAATTTTTAGTTTGTTTCTTGTATTAATGTCATGTCTCAATGAGGGAAACTCTTGTTGCAAGACTCTGTCAAGTAATAGTCATCTTACAATAATTACTAAAGTAAAGTTTAAAAATGTTCATTTATTTAATTCTGTGAACACGACTTGTATTATTTTTTATATATACACTGTTAACATTTGATAGACATCAACATATTTATTACTAATCTATGATAAGCATAACGTAATATTAATTAATAATTTATAACATCTAATTAAATGGCAATTATTTGTAGGATGGGTGGTGGGAGGTTTGGATCTGTTGGGCTCGCCAGCGGCGGTTGCTGCCAGAGTTGCCGAGGCGAGCGGCGGTCTGCGCGGTATTGCTTCTGCTGCTGGTGCTGCTTTGTTACGGTCGTTGAGCGCGTGTGCCCGTTCAGTCGCAAGAAACCTAGATTTGCTGGCCGGTGATGAAGAGCATACTAGACGCGCGGCTGCTGCCAGGTAAGCTTACTTGACACTATTACTCGCGCTAGTACTGGCACAACACTTAATACTGTCTATAGTTTACGCGAGTTGTGCACATTTAAATAAAACACTTTAACGGTTTAAAACGCGCTATATTAGTTAAACTTATTTGGAAATGATTTTTAACTTCGGCCCGACGTTTCCCCGTATCTCCTCGTGACTACGGCTGCTGCTAAGCATCCGACGTCGGGCCGAAGTTAAAAATCATTTCCAAATAAGTTTAACTAATATATTGCGTTTTAAACCGTTAAAGTGTTTTATTTAAATGGCACAATACTGTAGAATACTTTGCGAACCCTTTTTTTTACATTGTCACTGTCTGTGTTACTCGAATATGTTATTTTGCATTACTGGATTAATGTATTTTCACTCTTAACTTGTCTGCTGAAAGGTTCCATATCCTGTCAATAAAACTGATAGACTGAAAATTTTAAATATAATTTTTAATCTGTCTAAAATACTTTTCTATATATATTTTAAGCTTTCTTGTAAAAATTATAAACTTATGTACTTAAGCTATACTTTAAAAGTCATATTTACTTTCAGACGGCGACAACCACCAAGTTTGATGGCGGGTATTGTAGATGGAGTATCAAATTTTGCAATCACCCTATTAGGTAAGGTTAATACAATTATACTGTAAAACAAACATAAGTCCCAACCTGTCTTCTGTTTAAATACTTTGTTCAATTTGTTTAAGTAATTATCATTAATTATATAGTTAAGGATAGTATAATTACTGTAGTCAATAAAGGTCTTAGGCCTCCCACACAAACCTGGTTGCTATAACGTAAAATTGATATGACATGCATTCTTGTAAATATACGTTCCATAGGCTCGTCTGAGGCCTCCCAACTTAAACATTAGCCGTTGCGATGTTGCATCGTGTTATTCTTGTATTCTTTATGCATATCTCATTCCATAGTCGCTGTTGTTTTTGGATTTTTATTATTTTATTTATAGATCGACTTCAATAGCATCCGTCATCATTGAATTTTGAATATCTACTGCGTAGGATTGCATCGTGAGTTTTCTAACGTCAACGTTATCTAAACGACGTCGCATCGTTGTACGTTGCGTCATCGTAACACGTTTATGTTTGAGCCCTTAGCTGTGCTATTTACTCTCTAAAACGTTTGATTCATACAAGGTATTATGTCATTAAATAATTTTAGAGACAACGAGTTGAATACAATAAAAAAAGACAATATTTATTAACTGGTTCCCTCTTTACATTTAATTAATAACAAAAACCTTAATACTAATTTTCGAAATAATAAATAACACAGCACTGAATTATTTTAAAGAAAGACTGACTATTTAATCAGGCAGCGTCACCCCTTTGGCAAGTTGTCGGCACAATGGAACACCGTGAGGCGCGCACGCGCATACTAGTCACCACTACTTCTCACCCCCTCCTTGATGACGTCACCTCAGTATTTCTCTAACAATATAATATTCAAATCCTTTTTAGGCGCAGTTGGTGGCTTAGCTCACCACCCCCTATTAGCAGTTGTGGTCGGAGAGACAGATAGCAGGGTAGTTGGCCTTCGAAGAGGTTTTATTGGGGCCATAGCGAAACCGCTCAGCGCAACAGCTGACCTCGTAGCTTCGGCTGGACATGGGCTTCTCAATCAAACGGGTTGGGATCCTATACCACAAGTAAGTATTTTTACTATTTCGAATATAGAAATTGCCATTTTAATAGCTTAATGCCCAGTGCATTACATTTATTGCAAGAACAATAAAAAAAACAATTTTGATATGTTTATCTATACTAATATATAAAAACTGAAGAGTTTCTTTGATTGTCTGAAACATTTGACTATTAGAGCATCCATCGAGGAAGGCTATAATCGTAAAATATCTATAGGCTATAAAACATCGCGCTGCGACTAATAGAAGCAAAGAGATAGTTTAGAAATGTGAAAAATCGAGGAAAATTCTCTTTGTGGGCGTCCGTTGCGTACACTGCGAAAACCATCCAAGATACCCAAAAGATTAGAGCAATGATTTCTCTTTAAATGATCTAAAACACGTCCACTATATATGTAAAATTAAATTTATAAAGAAAAAATTCGCTGACACAGCTATAGCGTTTTTTTTTATATTTCCAGCCGCTTTGGTCGAAGAAGCAACTGAAGGAATCTGCCGTCAGTTGGAGACGAGACAGCGTCCGTTGGGCTTTCCGTTTGCCAGAGATGAGCGTCCGTGCTGGCTTTGAAGCGCAGCTTGGTGACTTACAGCTACAGCTGCTACTTACAGACAAGGTAACGTTTATGTAGACACGTTCTTTTCTAATAATCACAAAGTATAACCATTTTTTTTTTGGTTTAAAAATGTCACAGATTGGAATGCATTAGCTATAGCCTGTGATTGATATGTGAAAATTATAATAATTCAAAATACAATTTTTAGCGGGCTCTAGTAATGGTAGCGATTAATGGCTAATATTCAACGGCTCGTGGATTCGATCCCCACCATGTCCAACATTTTTCTTACCACTTTATAATTTTTCTGATACATGTTGGACTTCGTTTGGAAATCTGGATATTAAATGAGTGGGATATCGAAATTCCGTAATGGTCACGAACCACCGTCCACAGATGAGGCCGTCAAGTTTAATTGCGTTTCGCTTTCCGTCCGTGGATTTCCGAAAATCTAAAGCCGAAATAGGCTGACAGCGCATCTTGTAGATGTTATAGGGCTGCGGTATTTCACCTACCATCAAGTGAATCCCATGTTTGTCTCTCCTCCTCTATCATAAAAAAAAACAAATATTTGATTTGTGATAAATTAAATTATTCAATAATTTATTCTATTGTGAAATGAGTTGTGATCATATTGAAAACAAAATGATCATTTAAAACCTCCGTCATTTATTATCCTTACCGAGTTTGTATTTAGAAATACGAATTTCCTTTATTTAATTTCAGTATTTGGTGATATTCGACACGGAAATGGACCGAGTCATCGAATCTGTAAGTTTCAAGAACTGTGTTGTCGCCCCTTGGCTAGGTGGGGAATGTATTAATGTAAGTATTATAATTGAGGCTGCTAAATAAAAGCTTATAACAAAACCATGATTTTCAATAATAGAGAGGAAAATAAAAATGCGCAATTATTTGTGTTCAACAATTTTCGGTCACATCTTGTAGACTCACATTTTAGACTATGAAAATATAAATAGCTCAAAAAATTGCAGTTAGGTTACGATGCCTCTAGCGGCCGCTGCTTACTTAGTCTGCTATACTCATGAATTCGTAGGCATTATAAATTGTGCCAAACCGAATGTTCCTAGAGTCTCACATCTATCTCAGTGGATATATATATATATATATTTATTCAGGCTAGACGATGAAGATCTATTTGTAACGTTGACTGGTTAAATATGACGAAACGAGAGATCCAAATGTCCAATACCTGCTACCGATAAAATTTACATACTTAAGGGTCGACACTGCAAGTCGGTGAGGACAGATATAATGTTGTCGGCACTACAACTTCAAATTGGTATATACCTAACCTAACAATTTATATTATCATTCTTTCAGGTACGAATATCTTTAAGAAAATCTTCGAAGATGTCACAATTGCGAGTAGCCTCGGATGACGACTATGTTACAGAGGTAAAGCTATATTACAAATCCATTTTAGGTTGAAAAATTTTACGACACGGGCAGAGCTTGAACCGGCATCCACAGCGTTCCGTGCTGCTGCTCTAACCAATTGAGATATCGTGCCCTACACGTCATCGTCCTCTTTCAACCTCTCACGCAATGTTAATCTAATTTATATATCCCGAATATGGTGTAATCACATATATATATATATATATATATATATTTATTCTCTATATAGTTAGAACCGAACCTTTTTGTTAATATTAGTCTAATAAAAGTAATTCCCGTTTTACTTACATTTAGTTTTATCTGTAGATAAATCCAACTGCTTTGGCCCGCATCGCTCGTTACACTGGTGCTACAGACGAAGGCGAACAAGAGTCATCCCGGGATTTAAGCCTAGTGCCTCACCCTGGATTTGCCTGTGCTCTACACGCCGCTCTAACAGTAGCTGTACGCCGAAACACCTTATAGCACATTTCAAAACAACTAAACTAAAGACTATATATGGCTAAAATATAAATGTTATTGATTGCCGCAGTATTTCATTTATGAAGTAGTAATTGAATTGAATGATAAAAAGCACAAATTTATCTGAATTTATTAAGCAAATAAACTATTATTTATTAAAATAACATAAGGTTGCTAGGGAAAAGCAATTCATTCCAGTTTTACACCGTATTTGTAAGTAGTGTTTAAATCTAATTTATTATTTGGTGTGTTATTTTGGATGGGTATGTAAAGTTCAGACAATTTTGGGTAGAGGTGTAAAAATTATTTAAAAAAAAATGGTCTGATAAGATTGGGAAAGTATTAGTAGGAACGGAAGCATGTATAAAATCAATATTTATTTTTCTTTCTGTTTGTTATTATGTATTTATAGAATAATCTTACTATTGCGAATATGTGATAGATTCTGTTGTGTAAATATTTGTGCCAAAAATATTGTTAATGTGCCTTTGGATATAATAAAAATTTTAAAAATATAATTGTTGTATTTATCGCTTCGTGGTTTTATGGCATTGCGGATATTTCAATAGCTCTATTATCTATGTTCCGCTGTACTGTATCTGTGGAACTGTGGAAAGAAAGAAGAAGTCAAATACACTAAAATATGTATATTTTAGTGTATTTGACAAGACACATTTTTTACTCATAGGTATGGATTTAATTAAATTAGCAAAGCATTCTAACCGCCGGGCCATAGTTATTAAAATAATTTTCAAATAACTAATATTTTTCGCGTTTTAAACCGTTTAAGTATTTTATTTAAACAACGGACAACATTTTAAAAATAAATAGTACAATCCTGTTATGGATATATTATGTAATTCAGAGAAATATAATCTTAAAAATGGCCTCCGTCTCCAAGGAGGTATTGTTATTTTAAACCAAAAAGTTCGCGTTTCAAAGTTCTATTTCGTGAGTTTATAAATAAACATAATCTTTGAACTTAGACAATTTGTTTGTGCTTATTTAAATGGAATCATCCGAAAATCTAAGTTATGTGATATCATATCACGAAATAATAATGCATTACTCATATGGAGTTAACGATAAGGACGTATGTAGACTACTTAATGAATGAATGTCGCTCTTAAAAAAGTAAAATATTGAATTCAGTCGCTTATAGTATATGTAATTAATGAAGTAATTAGGGCTCTGCAATTTGTATATGTATAATATAGTATAATAATAGTTGAAATTGTCGCAAGAGAAATGAAACACCTGAAAATAGTTAAATGATACCGCTTATTTTTATTTTTAAAATTTTAAAATGTTAAAATGTTGGAAACAACATTCTTATATCTAAGGCTAAAGATTCTCTGGGCGACTTTCCGTTCTTAACTAGACAAAATCGTGTGTGAATATTCCGAGAGAATCTTTAGATTTTCAGTTCGATTGTAGGCCGTAACCAATAACCAATCCGGATCACAAACAACAAACAAAATTTCTGCGGGTTTTTAAGTAAGCAATAAAGTCTAAGTACTGTCAACGAACCCTATAGTGCAACTGAAGGCACAAGTTGCGAGCGACTTTGTTGCTGTTAGCGCGCAGTAGAGGCGTGTACTACATTTATAAGTTACATCATTTATTGTTTGACTCAGTACCGTTATTACCGAGTTGATTGGGTATCGTTCGGCCGTAAAAATGTACAATTACTACAGCCACGCTTATTCCGAGCTCGAACTGGAGCTAGAAGGCGTATAACTGTAGTAATCTTGCTGCTAGGCGGTGTTTATTTGTTCGACGTTGAGGTGGGTGATAAAACGCAGCCTCATTTGCAAAGCTGGACGAAGCTTTCGAATCACTGTCTCCAATTCGTTTTTCAACATGTCCCCGACGAACATATATTTGATGTGATATCTGTGTCTGTGTTCAGGATATAGAGATATTTCAATGACTGAAAGCTTCTAACTTAATGATGGATATACCCATCACTGTTTCTACTTGCTATGGTGGGTTATACAGAGCTTAGAGTGAGGAGGGAGTGTCTTTCGCAGTCTATATAAGTAAGTATAGAAATAATTAGTCTCCGAATACCTGATCAGTATATACGTAAAAGGCATCGTCCGTCTCATAAGTGCAATACAGGTTGTATACATACTTTTAGGGCAAAAAGACATTTTCCATGATGCACGGAGTAAGCTCGTGAAATGAATGATGAATGAAGTTGAAGGTGAAAATGTATAAGATAAATATTTAAATAGAGTAAAACTAGGTCATAAAATCTGATCAATATAGGATGACAGTTGACACATTTTTAAAGGATCGTGGGTTCGATAATCGTTGAGAATAATAATTCGATTATTAATTTTTCATTATTTGAAAATTTAAACTACATATTTATGGGACCAAAAAATACGTAATGTTCAATAAAGGCAGAGATTTCGAAGGCATTAGACATTGTGTATCATAGTAAGACATAAATATTTATATAATCATTAAATTTAAGTTACACCGCTGGGATTTGTCGTAGTATTGACCTGCAATATTGTCAAAAGTTAAAATTGGAATTGAAATGTCAAAATTGTCATTCTAAATTAGACAATAATTTAACACACACGTGTGTCATCTTGTAAAAGATTACTCTTTGATGATATTTCGAAAAGGATACAGTAGATCACAAATTGGATCGATATACTCCAAATGCGGTTGAGTTTTGTCCACATGTGCCAGTAGTTCGTATAAGTGAATAGTGATGTCCATGACTGCGCGCGATAGGTCAGTATTGAAGCGTTGGAGATATGGACCTACTAAGTGGCACAAGTAAATCAGTTGCGTCTCTGTTCGAATTTCTGGCGATAGTCTCTCTTTGACGAACCTGCAATTATATAGCCTTACTAAATATTTTAAATAAATATCATATTAAAAAAAATAATAATTTTATTGATTCGGCTTCGAACCCACCACGACAACGTTCCGTACTTTTGCTTTTGCCGAGCAACAGTGTTTTTGATCTAATTACATTTCAATTCATTTAAATACATACAAAAACGATGTTTTAATGTTTCATGGCACGTAAATTTACGTATTGTTCTAACAAAAATAACAGAAGCAAATTTAAAATGTCTTCAAATCAATAAAAAAAGAAATAGCGCTCAAAAAGCTTACCATACCTATCGCTCAGTGGTTAGACATGTTGCCTAACAACACCGAAAGCAGGAGGTCCTCGTTTGAATCCCAGAGAAACTTTACAAATAGTTTCGACTGGTCAGACATAAGTTTGATAATAATACTACATATATAGAGATGTGACGTACATAAAGGAAGTAGAAATGTGTCCGCCCTATATCCACGTAGGGAAAACGGTATTTCTGTCAACACTTTATTATTTTTTATGTTTAGATCACACCAAGTAATTATTACCTATATAACCAAATGGATAATATAAAAAGACCCATAAAAAATTTCACTTACGTAGGCATCAACGTAATTAGCCCCGCACCAGCATGATACCAGAAGGCATGCGCCAGCGCCAATGTCAAACTGTATTTATTTTCCAACATGGCGTCACTCGTAGTCTTCAAATTGAAGAGCTGGAAGGGCGTGTACTCGTACGACCATTCAATCATATCTTTGCTGGTCGTTAATTCCACGACACGGTCATACAGCACGACCCAGTAGGCTTCAGGTAGCGCCGCAAGTATTATACCGATAGCGTTAATCCATAACTCTATCTTCGTCGCTGGTATCACGACGAAACCTATAACAAAAAAAAAACATATTTATAAGCCGTAACAAAAATTTCCAGCGCCATAAGCCACAGCACAGTTTTTAGAGACACGCTATCGGCTCCGTGGTTTGATTTGAAGTGCCACGGTTAAGTTTCCCGCCACTACTCATCGGCACCGCACTGAAGTCGGCTAGACTGTCGAAACGCGCTATCTTCACTCTTCCTTTCGCTGTCAGCTGACGCCCCGTACTAATGACCATTATTACTTGTCAGTTAGCATCTCGTACTAATGACGTTCTAACTTGTCAGTTGACGTCCCATACTAATGACCATTCGTACCTTTCAGTTGAGGTACCACACTAATGACCCATACGTGCCTGTCAATTGACGTCCCGTACTAATGACAGCTCCAACCTATTTTCATAGAGAGCAAAAATATACCTTTAGTGACGACGTCTAAAAGATTATTGCTCACAATCGTGGGCGGTACTGGCAGGGACATAAGTTCGACGCTCGTCACATAAAGACAATGCGCCGAAGGGTTGGGGTACTCGTTGAATCGCCAATCCGTGTTGGGAAAGTGTGAATGGCCAGTCATGGCTGTGCTTTGTTCAGGAAATATTCGGACAAAGATGACGTCACTATATCAACATTAGCACCACTTGGAGAAGCGTTCAAAAATAATAAACATGATTTTTATAATATCTTATATGATATAAACTAGGACTTAAACCCGCAGGCATTACTACGTTTATATATATATATATATATATAACATTTCATATTAAATCGGTTTTCAAGTGCATCATCAATGTGGAACAATAATACTAGGGAGCATAAATAAATTATTAAAACAATTTTAACACGTTTACATCCAGAACGAATATAAATAAACTCTTTCCCCCGTAACAACGGTGGTTAAAATTATTTAACTGCTTGTGTAAACTATAGACAATACATATAGTGAAGTATTTCATCATCACCATCGTAAATTGTAATAATATTTTTTTCGGTATTTTGGTATTTATGACTACTATGCAGATAACTTTAATGAACTTTGACAGATAGTGTTCTTTTTCAAGCCTGATGTAAACTTGTGGCCTGAAATGGTAATTTCTGTCGATTTATATTATTTTAAAAGGATACTATCGACCATTCTGTTAACCAAATTCAAATAGTAATTGAGATCCGGCGCCCACGCTAAAAAGTCAGACTCCAGGGTATGAACTGGTCTATCTTTGCTTGCGTCTGGTAGAAAGTTCTGGAAGGATTCCGTAGTAGCCCAACCAGCTGGGCGCACCTCCTTCAGTGCTCCATACACAGCTGACACCAATTTCCGTTTCAATAGTGGCTTATCTCGGAGTTTCGTTTCATAATAGTGCAGCGTGTTGTAGAGAAATGAAACGGGTCTTTCTGTAAAGTGAATTTCAAGATCAAAATTCTGGAAGTAGCACTTGTAAATTGCTTTACAAGCCATTTAAGACAAGGAAACACTTAGTGTTTCCTCAGGATCTATCCATGACTTATCGAGGTAGGTAGAAGGGTGTTCTACTTCCCATGAAAGCATATTAAAAGAAGCCACTTTTTAAATTAGTGAATATATTATTTTAAGTATTTAAGTAAAGTTAAGAAATATATTTATATCACAGTGCATCACAAAGTAGAGAAAAAAGGCATTAAGTACTACTTTTGTATTTATTATTATTTTAATTCTCAAAACTTAGGTTAATATTTAAAAAAACCGGGAAAAAGTTTTATTTTATCATACTTACCTAATATTAAATTTATGTATATAAATATAACATAATATGACATCTGTTTCATTTAGAAATTGCCTCACCATGGAACTTATACAAGTATCCCAAGTGCTCCAGCAGCTGTTCCAGGTTTTTGCAGACCTGGGGGATCTCTAAATGTCGATGCACGACTATGTCCAGGACAGGGATAAAACGTAAGCACACATTACTCAGGTAAACGGGAATAGGCGCTCCGTACGTGCTACTCGCTTCTTCTGGTGCAAACTTTTCAGGGTACTTACGATGGAATGCCAAGTGTTTCTCATACCTAAAGAAAATAAATTTTTAACAGTCAGATATTCAACTTACTTTCTTATTTTAAAATCACGTTCTCAAAAAGGGATAAAAGAATTGAACAAAATATTATTCGTTAGAAATCCACGACACTGTTCTTAAAGTAGTGTATGATGACGTACTTTCATCACAGAAAGAATATAGACCCAAAAACGGTTTTATATTGGAAGAAAATTACGACGTCGAAGCCAGTTTAAATCTTGCTCGTGTCGTATATTTTAATATAACGTTTTTTATAATGAAGCAATAAATTAAATATTAATAGATTAAAATTATAATCTTTATTGAAACACAAGATAAACCGCAGTGCGATTCGGTGTTGATATTTTCTCTGTGTCGTATTTTTGTTTCAATCTAATTAGATTGTTAATTTAGGCACACAAACCAATTGTTCTGTTTCCAGTGCTCCGGTGAGTTTTCCTTTACGAAGTCCTGGGCCCTGTTCCTAAGTTCTGACCCCTTAAGTAATAGCAGCTGGATAATATACAGACATACTTGGCTCTCGTTACCGTCTGGGTTCGGTCGTAATACCTGAAAACGAAAATTAAATCTATATATAAAGCCGAAGAGTTTCTTTATTTGAACGCGCTAATCTCGGGAACTACTGGTTCGAATTGAATATTTATTTAAATTTTCGAGCGTTTAGGCTATATAAGATTACGCTTCTACCAATAGGAGCGGAGAAACAGTTAGAAACCGTGCGCTGCGTATCCCGTTTAAGATGCTCAAAACCAATGTATTAATGAATTATTCTTCCCTAAATAATCTAAAAAAAATGTCCGCGATATTATATCACATATTAACAATTCTCTATGATTTAAGATCAACTCGCAAGAACGACGAGACGCGGACAACGTCGTGGGTAATACCTTTTATAAAAACCTATCATCTTTCACTTACCAGGCACAATACGAGTCGGTCTATCGTCACGATGTTGTATTTCCATATAATGTCATTGATCGCGTCCACGCACTTATTGATGTGGGGCCCACCCGCCGGGTTCGTCACTTCGAACATGAGATAGTCGCAGAACTTGCGAAGGTGCGCCGATAAAGCTCGTGCGCCAATGCGCTCTAAAATCCTGGAAGAAATCACAATAAACCATTAATAGTCGCACGGCGAAGTAACTCATTGAAATTTTGAACCGATTTTCCGCGTCAGAATGTTTGCCCCAAGCTCCATAGCGATGGGGTATGGGGCGAACTTTCTGTGTCCGTTTTACAGTTTGATTTTATTTACAGGCAATGCAAAAATAAAATGAAAAATATATTAATTACCTAACTTACAATTTTTAACCACGGTTACTGCAAAGCATCGTCGGGTCGTAAAATAATGTATTTCGTTTTAAACGGTTAAAATTGTTTTAATATATGACAATTTTTTATGTAATAACATGGCGGTGATTTCAACTTGCTCTATTAAAAAAACGATAGTTTTTCACAACGTAATAGAGGACACTTATAAAGTTCGTACTTCCCCTTATTTTATTAATACGTACTTGAAAGCTATTGGATTAATCCGATTCGTCTCGAAGATCATCTTCCACAAAAGGCACAAAAAGAGCGGAGTACCAGGAACAGAGAAGTGAGATATTATGTCGTTGTCGTTAGCCATCGACGTCCATTTGCGGTACTCCTCTTCCACTGACTTCTTTAGTATCTGCTTGTTCTCTTTTGTTGCCGGATTCTGTTAATATAGAAGTCACAATCCATATAATTTATATATACACAAGTCTTCCAAAGGCAATTATAAAAATTGGCCTTTTATATTGATAAAATGTTAACTATTAAAAACTTTAATACAAACAAGTTATTATGTTATATACATGTTATCGCACATGGTGGCATTATATAAAATAAAAATATATAAATATACGACACGGGCAGGACTTGAACCTACATCCTACATATCATCGTAGAATTTTTCAAATTTATTATTAAGCTTAACACTCACATATTGAGTTTCAATGTCTTATGCTTAGCAGGTGCAGAATTTAACGTTTGAAAACTTTGATATATTAAACAAATTATGTAAATCTAACATTTACCACCCAATAATAATGAATAATTTTCATTTTATACCTGAGTGAAAAACTCCACTAGCACTGGCGGAAAACATTGCAGTGTAGCCTGAGACCACATGTGGGGTGTGTTTGTCATTATAGTCGTGAGTAGTTCTTTGACAGCAGCACCATCGCTACCTGAAAAAAAGGCTTTTAACTAAAATCATGCCTCGTTAGGATTTGGTAGTCTTGGATTTAAATCCCGGGGCAACGATAACTGTTTTGGTCGGACAGGGTATTGACAATTCGAACACCTACTTGACTGTAAAGAAATCGGTTAGTAAAATACCCAATAGGAAATGGAATTTCACTTACTTTAACGGTTTAAATGCGAAATATGTTAGTTAATCCTATTTTAACGACGACCGAACGTTTCGGATGATTTGGAGCAGCCGTCATGGCAAGACTGCAAAGTATCCAAAACGATGGGCGATAGTTAAAATAAATTGTAAAATTATTTGTGAATAAGTTTAACAAATATATTTTGCGTTTTAAATCGTTGAAGGATTTTATTTCAATGTGCACTACTCGCGTAAGCTACAGACAGTATACAATTATATAGGTTTAATACTGAATTCAAAACAAAAAAAAAGAGACAAGCCAACTTGATTCAGAAAAATTATAAATCGATTTAAAAATATGTTAGACCCGGTGGGAATTAAGACCTACGACCTATCGATTATTAGCCATACATTTCTACCATAACACCAAAGAGCCGAAAAAAATAGGAAGAGAGCAAGTAATATTGAGATTTTAATCAATATCTTCAACTTACCCGCACCAGTCATGTAGATACCACGCGCTAGTGTCAGAACGAGAACACGGTTGAGTTCCTCACTCTCGCTCGAAACAAGCGATTTTGGTTCTGTGACGACTCTTGACATTTGCATCTGGACGCCAGAACTGCTGAGGCTCGTTATTAAACGAAGAGCGGTACTTTCAAAACTGAAATCATTTAGAGCATTACAGTTAAAACTATGTGCGATGACAAATAGTATATTTTTACTAACTGTAACCGCGACTTCACGTGGAGTAGGTATTTATATTTATTTCTACAAACGTCCTCCTCAGCTTTGAAAATTAGAGACGTTACTCACGACGTCGTCCGCGACCCGTCGTTCTTGCGAGTTAATCTTAAAAGGTAGACATATACAGTCGCGGATATTTTTTTGGTTTCTTGAACCGTTTTTACAACGCAGGCAACAGAAGACTTCAATACTCCTATTGGCCGCAGCGTGATGTTACATAACCAAAAGCTTATACGAAACAGTTTATAAATAGTTTATACGAAACAAAGAATTGTTCAATTCGAACTAGTAGTTTCTGAGATTAATGTGTTTAAACAAACAAATAAACTCTGCAGCTTTATAATATTAGTACAGATTATTCTAATAAAAAATTTCGATATGCTTCTTATGTAATGTAAGCCAATAAAATAAAAAATTATCGCATCTCAGGAATTCTTAGTATCACTTAATGCAAAAAATAAAATGGGTTATAAATACCACAGTTGTAATTGTGTCTGATTGGCTTGTGGATAGGCCGCCAATGAATGTATGTTGGAGAGCAGCGTCACTCTGTAGTGGGGCTGAATGTGGTGTATGCGGTAGGAGAACATATCCAACAAGTTATGAAGTATACCCCACGCGTGGGACTTGAATACGTTCGGGAGAAGTTGATCTGGAAAATACATTGAAAAGACAAATAAAAAAAATACCTCTAAACAAACAAAATCTCTTTAAAAAATATATATAACTCAAGTCTATGATAACAAAATAAATATAAACTTATGAAATATCTTTAAAAGTAGGGTTAGGGTATATAAAAATACACATACATATTATGTATTGTTATTGTTAAAATTGATCTAGTAACACTAGTAGTAATCTAGATTCAGTACTTACTTATAAATCCTTTGATACCCAACGACTCAATTTCAGTGTACACAAGCAGTCGACTGTATGTTTCAACCAACGCTGGTGCCATCATATTGGGAATATTCGTCTTGTTCTGAGCTAGTTTGGCTATATGAGTGACTATAGAATGTATCAACGACATCTTACAATGCAACGTCAAACTATCTAATATGCACATTGATAAAGGCACTGTTGGTAGTGGTGCAGTAGGATTGCCATTCGGTAATGCTTTTTGATTCCCCAGTAAAGTTTCAATCATTATACCCATGGGGCGAGCAAAGAATTCCTGGTTAGTTGAGTATGCATTACATAGGAGAGCGATTCGATAGTCCGATCCAATGAGTGTCGGGACATTATTTGATGACATTAAATGTTGAAGGAATCTGAAATAAACTTATACATACAACTAACTATTTGTCTCAAAAATTTTTTAATAAAAAACAATAATTTGAGAGTGATAATGTAGTTTAGCATATTATAATTATCTTTCTTAGTGACACTCATAAAGGCCAGGTGATAAGTCCCCATTTACTGTTAACTATTTCACCCATTCCCTCCCTACTGAGGACTTTAAGTTAATAAGGTGAGTTAATAATAATAATACTTACTCATATTGAAGTTTCAAATTCTGAGGCATTACCATAGTCTTGTGCTCTGACTCTGCTTTCTTTAATAAATGCATCCAAATACAAAGCACAGCTAATTGGTGTGTGCAATAAGCCTTTGTACAATCTGGTACGGGGATTGGTTCCTTCTCAGGGTACAACAATTCATGCAATTTGATGATGGGCAAAAACATTGAAAGAGAATTCCTTTGTATGCTACCAGATATATACTGCAACAGGACCCACATGAGATGATCGCGGCCCTTCTTCATATCCTGCCCAATCAACTTGTTATGAAGCCCCATTACTATATTTGGGAACGAGGCAAAACCGATTAAAATGAGGTATATTACTTGTGATGAAAGATGTAACCAACACCAATGTGTTGAAGACATTTCATCCTCTTCACTTTCTTGGTCACTTCTCTCCATGGGAATAATCATAAGCTCTACCAACTGATCTTCTAATGCTATACATCTCTGTTTGTGTTGCTTCTGTAAGCCTAGCATTGAGCACATCATATCTCGTGAATATGGCTGCTGCAGTACATGTTTCAATAAGTCAATCTGAGGCTTAAATAGTTGGTCAGCATAAGGCAAGTTTCCTTTCAAACAAAACTTCAATGTCGTTGGGTCTAAACGCCACGGATTAACTAGGTGATCAGCATATCCAGAGAACTCAACTATCGGTAACATTTTTGAGTGGCCTACTATTGAAACCATTTGGGCACACGGCTTAAAACTCTCTACAAATGTTGACAGTAAGTTAGCTAATTGCTGGAAGAAAATACTGTATTAAGTGTTTTATAGCATTTAAATGCAAGTCAATAAGGGCAATTATCTTACCCAATGTGGCCAGTGATATTTATCTGGAAAGTCTTTTTGGATTTCAGTCACAATGAAGTATGCAGGTAAGAGTGATGCGTTACGATCAAAAATATATTCTAATACATTATACACTGCTTTCATCTGAGGCATAGTGCTGGAATCTAACTTAATTGGCAGTGTTAGTGCTTTATCTCTGCAGCCCTAGAAATATTATCATTATTAGATAATGTTTGCAAGCAAACAAAAACAAGTACAAGTGAGAAACACTACTAAATTGTTTTTCGGTATTGAAAGTGTTTTCTGTAATAAAAACTTTATAGATCAGAAGAAAGGTAATCAAAACTCATACCTTCATAATTTCTCTAACGCCTTTGTAGTCAACGCCACCAATTACACGACGAATTAAGCTAAAGCATTGTATCCAAAAATCTGCATTTTGATATGTCAGTCTTTCGCTAGTAAGTATACAATCGCACAGCATTCTGTTATAGTAACAAAGAAGAAAATTTTGAGCAAAGATATATTTTAAGATAATTGTGTCATAGCTGTCCAATATGATTAACAATTTGTTTCTTACCGAGCTTGAAAAACATTAGTATTCACCAAATTTTCCAAGAGTGTAAGTAACTGCTTCATTTTATATCTATTAGTTAAAACAGCAGTTAGAGTGAGGTATTGGCGGAGAGCGGACTCTTGCACTTCAGCACTTGCACTTGTCATAATGTTAGAAAGCTTTTTCTGGTACATATTCAATACTTCATTCTCTTGCTCGGGTTGATGGACTAAAAAGCAACTGAATGCTTCTTCTACTGCTTCCACCCGCTGTTTTTAATAAAAAATAACTTAATTTTAAAGGTTAAAGTTAAAGTATGAATGAACTTAAAAAAATTGTCTTAATCAGTACAAAAAAATCTAACTTAAACAATATTCTTGTTTAATCGTTTTTATTTAAGTTTGACCATTATGTTATACTTAATATTGATATTATTTGTTGACATAGTAAATCTCAAAGAACTTACCAATATTTCATTCACGATATTTGCAACTTGTGTGTCCGCCATATTTATGTGTAATTAGAATTCTATCAACGAATATTTGTATTATACTTAGTTAATTCTAAATCATATTTCATAAAACAGTTTCTTCATGTTCCTAAAATCCTAACTTAAAAATACATTTATACACTATGTCGACATTTACACTATGACACTTGCGTAGACTATCTACCCATGATAGATAAGGCAACCTACACCACAGGCTTTTTCTTCAAGAATCTCTTCTTACCTGTTGTTAATAAGCTTTGTTTAAATAGTCTGTAACTGTCAATAATAAGTCTGATTAATGCCAATGTCAATGTCATCGGTAATCTATAATAATAGTAAATTTAAGAGTAGCATTATATATCAACTGTGCTAAGAACACGGGAACAATTTTTTTTATAGTATTATAACTCAAGAAGGTACCTGCTAAGATTGTCAATTATTTGTCAAGCTTGATCTTTTCAATTTTCAAAGCAGCACGTGTAGACGCGGCTACCTTTATCATCGAATGAAATAAGTATGTACTTTATTCGTTTCTTATGCATTTTTAAATCCCTTAATACCTTCAATATCATAAAAACTAATTTTGCTATGTTTTATTTGATAATAACAGATACTTTTTGATGTGATATCATTCCACGTTCACCAGGATGAGAAAAGTAACATGAAGTGTTCACGTGCTAATTTATGGAATTATTGTTTTCCTTCTAGTACTGGTTAATCAGCGAGACAATGCCGTCTGACGCCAAAAAACGTGCGGCGCAGAAGAAAAAAGAACAAGCTGGTAATAGGAACAAAAAGCCGATTGCGAAAGTAGTGTCTGGCGATCAAAATGGTACAGAATCAAACGGCACTAAAGAGGATCGTGAGCTCACTGCAGAAGGTAACTTTCCGCTTAACGCACACGTTTTTACTTTTTTAACTAACTTTCTCAAATTCTCTCTATTCTTATTCTATTTTTCAAAAGTAGGTACTAAATCTACTTGCAATATGGATCAATAGTTTGAAATGGTGTAGTGTTGTTTTATTAGTTTACAGTGTTTTTTGTTGCTGAGTCAGTATGCCTTTTTTTAAGGATGTGCTGATATTTTAATGCTATAACTAGGTTTTGGTAATTTTAATGATCAATATGAAATTAATAATTAAAACCAAAAATTTTATTTCATGTATTGTATTATTGTACAAGAAAAAAATTTAACTCAAGTATAGAATTTTTTTATGTACTCTTTTTGAATAGATATTATATCATCTACTGATTTTCAGAGGCTTTGTGCTTAAAATTGGAGGAGGAAGCTAAAATGAATTCCGAGGCACGGTCATGCACAGGTAGCCTGGCTGTTCATCATCGATCAAGGGACATTAAAATAGCAAATTTCTCCATTACATTTTATGGTAGTGAATTACTACAAGATACATTGCTTGAGTTGAACTGTGGTAGAAGATATGGTCTTGTAGGATTGAATGGATGTGGTAAGTGGCTGTGCGAGCTTAATTTTGAAAACTAGCTTATCTATTGTATGATTATATTTTTTTTTTGTGCAAGTAAAGGATTATATCTTTACTACGATAGAGAAAGCTTGTAAAATATTGTGACTCATCAGTGTCCAAATAAATCAATAAGTATATTTAAATATGCACCATGAACAGAAACACCATGCAGTAAATTGCTTTCGTTTCTTATTATCTATCTCCCATGAAACTCTAATGAATTCTCTATGATGCTTTTTGTATTCACACAAACATATTTTGAATATATTTATTAGATATGCTTAATGCTTTGAGCTATAGAAATTATTGTAATATACCTCTAATGGTTTTAGAATAGATATTAATATAGCATAAAACACAACATGAATATTACATTGGATTTGGGTAATAATAACAAAATTTGTTATTGCATTTACAATTAGTTTAAATATATTTGTAGCAATTGTAGTAGCAGCATTTATTTATATTACAATATCTAATGCTATGCACTCACTGTTAAGAAATTGTTTACTTCTGTGTAATCAAAATATAGTAAATGGAATCAACAACTTTTGGCCTTGCCATTCTTGATGTATTTGCAAGCAAAAGCAACCATTCCTAGGATTCATGGAAACATAAATAAATTGTTTTAGTCAGGAGTGGCTTAGAGAACAGAAAAAGAAAAACAACTGTTTGCTCTTAATTTCATTGAGTTGGCTTGCGGCTTTGTCTGCGATTGAATTAAGAATTATTCACTTATTACTATGTCATCAGTAGCGTTGCAACTTTGCAAACCTGTAATCTAAGTGTTTCTTTAGAGCAAGGAGTTATCATGTTACTTCCTGGTAAAGCAAATGATAGTTATGTTTATTGTATGTAACAACTTTGTGTTAAATTGAACTATAATAAAAATTCCTTGGTGAACATTGTTGTGTCATAGATTTAAAATAAGTATTTATATTATATTGCTGTTTTACATTAATCTTGTACCATCAATAATTATTATTATCACACAAAGGTATTGTCTAATTTGATATGTTTTAGCTTTTTTTTATTATGTATGAAGCGGTAGGATTAACATATTGATGTCATTTTTTATTCATGTAATATATAGATGTTGATATCTTAACTATGTATATTGCATACATATATGTGATATTGCAGGTAAGTCTTCGCTATTAGCTGTACTGGGACGACGTGAAGTACCAATACCTGGTCATATAGATATCTTTCACTTGACCCGAGAAATGCCAGCGTCCGACAAAACTGCTTTGCAGTGTGTCATGGAAGTTGATGAAGAACGGGTTCAACTGGAGAAACTTGCTGAAGAGTTGGCTCACTGTGAGGACGATGGTAGGTTACGAGAATTAAAAAAATGTATTGTTACAAGTTATAATTATTATTAGGCTTTATGTGTCACGTATTAAGTTACGATATATTGTAATTATGATACTACCTTAGTCCTTAGTACAAAAAAGCTATTGAAAAAGTTGCTTAGGTGCAAAAATTGCATGGCCGACCGTACTTAAAAATGGTTGAGATCATCAGAAGACGCTGCGCGTTCCTAAGGAACAATATAAGTATTGTTTTTGCAAATTTTGTTAAAATTAAAAAATATATATATTGAAAATTATCCTTTCTCATTGTTCATATACACAAGTCTCTATAAGTAGTCCATGGGCTGTTGCATGGATGCAGTTAATGTGGTTTTCAATAAATTTGCCCTATGATTAGAGTTGATGTTGGATTTTAATCATCTTCATCATCTATTGAATTATATTATCCCCTTATCTACAAAAAGGAAATAATATTCAAGGATGAATATATTTCCTTACTCTAGGCATACCATCATAAAAGTACTCTGTACACAAACATAGGTCATAATATGTGGTACAATAACAATTAAAAAGGATGGTAACGTTTGTATATTATGAAAGCTCTTTGTAATATGCACCAATTTAGAAAACTTTAAATTTCAGAATCACAGGAACAACTGCTAGACGTATATGACCGACTTGATGACTTGAGCGCCGACACAGCGGAGGCTCGTGCTGCTAACATTCTTCATGGGCTTGGATTCACGAAGGAAATGCAGCAGAAGGCGACTAAGGACTTTTCTGGAGGTATATCCTACCTAGTATTACCATATGTTAAGTATGTAATTGTACTCATACTTAATAGATATAATCAGATGCATAATTTTATTTTGATGTAGCTTAGCCCTAGCATAAGAGCTATATAAATAGGCTAATCTGTTTTAAGGTAGGTAATCTATTTGTCTAAAATAAATCTAGCTTTCAAGCACTTACTAATCCAGAGGTTTCAGATAATCATTGAGAAACATAATCCAAAATGCTTACATTAAAAAGATTTTGTTTTAAATGGCGGATTTTAAAGTACAAACAGACTTTTTTTTATATGCAGCACATTACCTTTATTTATTAATACAGGTTGGCGTATGCGTATTGCGCTGGCACGTGCCTTGTACGTGAAACCTCACCTTCTGTTGCTTGATGAACCGACCAATCATCTTGATCTTGACGCTTGCGTGTGGCTGGAAGAAGAATTGAAACAGTATGTATTAAAATAAATTATGAAGACTCCATAAAAGTGTCCCAAATAAATTGAATGAATCATTTTAAATTCAAATTTCTACAGAGGGAAAAGTTAACTCTTTTTTAAATTATTCTTATCAAAAGAGAGTAAAATGAAATATTTTTCTCAAATATGTAATTGAACGAAATTAAAGTTTGACTGAAGCTTTGAATTCAGTTTAGTTTCGTTGAGTGAAAAGCAGTTTTATTTTTCTGTTTCACAGAAACAATCTGGCAAAAGAGTAAAGTCTAAATAATAGATATTCAAGAAATACATAAAAAACATTATGCAACCTGTTTTTATTTTGAATTTATTTTTAAATTTGTTAAAATACAGTTACTTTGTGAATGCAGGACCATGGGTTGAAATAATTAATGTATTACAGGTACAAACGTATTCTTGTGCTGATTTCCCACTCTCAGGACTTTTTGAATGGTGTGTGCACAAACATTATTCATATGAGCAAACGCCGGTTGAAATACTACACGGGCAACTATGAAGCATTTGTCCGCACTAGAATGGAATTACTCGAGAACCAGATGAAGCAATACAATTGGGAGCAGGATCAGATCGCACATATGAAGGTATTAAACAAACTTTTTACACATAAGCTATATATTGTAAGTTCTATAACTTAGCCATATTATTCATTCCATAAGTAAAAAACTTTTGTCACTCTTAATCCATACATTAGTGACACACTTGGTACAGCATAAGTACTCATTGCAAGAAAAATATCATTATAAATCTTTTATGTTAAATTATGGAAAATAGGATGGCTTTGCAAACCATTTTAAGTAAAAATAAAGCAATGTTTTTTATATAACATTACTATCCAATGTTATCGTGGAGACAACAATGTTATGTTGACATATACTAAACTTAAATCTAACATGCTACCCTATAACTTACATGAATTACACTAATTAATAATAATAATAACATTAACGCATATATAAAAAAAGGAAAAATTTCTAAAACAATTTCCTGGTCATGTTAGGTTTTATCTTTATAAATAAAATTGCACCTGCTTTCCTAAAATAGCTGTTATCAAAATATTTTAAGAAATAAATGAATATTTTATCTTGTACACAGAACTATATTGCGCGGTTCGGTCACGGTTCCGCCAAGTTAGCACGTCAAGCTCAGTCTAAAGAAAAAACGTTAGCCAAAATGGTAGCCCAAGGTCTAACTGAGAAGGTTGTTGATGACAAGATTCTAAACTTCTATTTCCCTTCTTGTGGGAAGGTGCCGCCGCCTGTCATCATGGTGCAGGTAATGTTTTATTACATAATATTCATAATAAAAATTTATGCTTAGTAATCATGGTCGTGGGATTGATTCTCACCCTAAGAAATCATCTACAAATCTGGATATTACATATGTGGTAGGAATATCGAGATTCTTTCAGTGTCAGTGATTTACGAAAGTTTTAGCCGTAAAAATCTTAACTTATAGCTACTTTCATATAAATTTCAATGCGATTGCGATTTTATCTTTATGATTTACAATATCGCTGACGTTTTGTAACGTTAATAAACATTGATTGATAGTTAAATCTATTTTCTATATATTATTTCAGAATGTATCTTTCCGGTACACCGATGAGAGTCCATGGATTTACAAAAACCTGGAGTTTGGTATAGACTTGGACACCCGGCTCGCCCTGGTCGGTCCTAATGGAGCTGGCAAATCTACGCTATTAAAGCTTCTTTATGGAGATGTAAGATTTTTTAGCTATACTCTGCCCATTCTTCACTGCCTGTGTAGCTAAATTACAATAAGAAACAATAGATGTTTTGGTCAAGATGGGCACAGATGTCTGACTGCTTGCCTGTGAATAAGACCGATCATTGAAATGAACAAAGAAATGAATGAAGATGAAAAAAAGGAGCCATGCCCCATAAGTGAAAACGTGTGAAAGCCCGTTTCCCCCTCGTGGAGCATGGGGCGAACACATTTTTGTGCCCGTTTCACTGATACGTTCTTTTAACGGGTAATTAGTTGATCAGACTTCTGCCCTGTCCGACCGAAACAATTTTATGTTTCCCTAGGATTCGAACCCAACCTCTCGCGCTTAACGCAATGCTAGGCAATATGTTTAACCATTTGGCTACAGAGGCGGTCATGCCCCATAAGAGGATCCATTATTGTATAACTCACTACTACTATCTATTTTAGTTCTTGTACCGAGAGGTAGAAGCGAAACCCTAATTATAGCCATACTAATAAAGACTTTTCTGTCTGAAGACTTCTCTATTATCTTATTAATTCTCCTAAAAGGCTACACGATGTGTTAGGTAATATATTCCTTCTATTATAACTTACAGTTGGTGCCTTCAACTGGAATGATCCGCAAGAATTCCCACTTGCGTATCGGTCGTTACCACCAGCACTTGCACGAGCTGCTTGACTTGGACCTGTCACCGCTGGAGTATATGATGAAAGAGTTCCCAGAGGTCCGTGAGCGTGAAGAGATGAGGAAGATTATAGGGAGATACGGCTTGACTGGACGGCAGCAGGTAATAATTGTTATAGTGAGAGGGATTGTCATGTATGTGATATGATTAGCATAGAGTCGGATATTATAAAGCTGAAGAGTTCGTTTGTTTGAATGTGCTTATCTCAGGAACTACTGGTTTGAATTAAAAAAAATAAATGGTGCGGCCAATAGAAACGAAAAAACAGTGGGAAATATGGAAAAAGACGGGGCAAATGGTCTTTAAGGGTTTCCGTTACATTCGCTACTGTTTTAGCAGGTTTAAGATACCCAAAAATTATAATGATCCCACTCTAAATGTCTGTCACATTATATCACTATCTCTTAAGATTAACAATAACGAAAGGAAGTCGACGACGTCATGGCTTACCGCTATAGTTTATAAAGATGATTTTGTTTGAAGAAAAGATTTTAATGGCCAAAATAACTCTTCTACGCGCACGAAATCGCTGGCACAGCTCGTGTGTACGTAGCTTGGATTTCTACCAACTAACGAGATCATGTGTTCTTGTCCTAGGTCTGCCCGATGCGTCAGCTGTCAGACGGCCAGCGTTGCCGCGTTGTTTTTGCGTGGCTTGCGTGGCAAACACCCCACTTGCTTCTACTCGACGAACCGACGAACCATCTCGATATGGAGACTATAGACGCTCTGGCGGACGCCATTAATGATTTTGATGGCGGTATGGTTCTCGTCAGTCACGACTTCAGGCTCATCAATCAGGTATTTTTGCTTATAAGCCTACCCTAATGTGACACTACAGTACCATAAGATTTGTTAATGACGATTATATTTGAGGCTGCTAGAGGCAGAGTGACAACAAAAAACATGATTTTCAATAAGGGATTTAGTAAAAATGCACAATTAACTGTATTTATTTATTTAATTAACTGGGTAACAGTTAGTATTATTATGCATTAATGAGTTGTTTTCTAAATTTTCAGGTAGCCGAAGAGATTTGGATCTGCGAAAACGGCACTGTAACAAAATGGGAGGGAGGTATTCTGAAATACAAGGATCACCTTAAGTCGAAAATTTTGAAAGATAACGCGGACAACGCTGCTAAAATGCGGAAGTAATATCTGAGTAGTATTCCTTTGAAAATCAATAGAGTTCAATACACGCTTACAAACGTCAGCTGTTAAGGGCATCAAATTACAAACACTACTAGCAAACGATGGTATTTAAAGAATCAAGCATAAACTATTCATTCAGACTAAATTAAAGTTGATTTTAATTCGTTCGGAAACTGGGAAGGAAATATAAGTAAGATGTAAAGTTACCGATCCGTAATTCATTCACCCCCCATATATATATCATTACATTTACATAGTGAAATAAATATACAATTTACTAAGTAACTACAACGTCACAATTAATTGTTATTTTAAGATGTAATACACCCTACATTATTTTGCCCAGCTTGAATGGCCAATAGAAAGTCTAATTCTTATAGCTGTGTTGCATGTCCAATCAAATTAAATTTTTTAAATATAAATAAATTTGATTGAACTGAAACCAACGTCAATGTACCTTAAATTTGATTCTTGTGGATTAGGAAGAAAGTAATTACCATAACAAATTTAAATATTGCTTAAGCGCTTTTAATTTTAAAATTTTGGTCTTATTTACATTTTACTTATATTTCGGCAAGAGTTAAAATACTTATAGGTAGCCCTCTATTGTAATATTAAACATAAATAGTGATTTAGAAAAGGAATTATTTATTATTTTTACGACATTTTTCGACACAATTAGTTCAAACTGAAGTTATTTAAATAAATTACGATGAAACTAGATTAACGATGCACCATTAGCAAGGGAATAGAAATATTAAATTACTGTATGATTTAGTAATCATATTGTTATTGTTTGTATTTAGCAACGCAACATCTAGAAAATGATAACATTCTGTACAATGTACTTTCAAGTCAACATTGTAGAAATAGGGGAATATGATAAATTATATTAAAAAAACACCAACGAAAGGCAGTGATTCGACGCCGTCCATTTTGGGGCAATTTTCATGACGTTCAAAATATCTGAAATCGCGTATGGCCTTTAAAAAAGCTGAGCTATTTTATGAACCCTAGTTTGATCATATCCCTCCCCCCCTTTCCCCTATTAAAACAACGTAGTACTCAAATGATTCGATCAATGAATGATACGTGATGGTTGACATTGATAACATGTGATTTTGTATACTTATTATAATTTCTTTCCAAATGTAACTTGTAAAAGGGAAACATAGATAATTCAAAGTATTATTGTGTCACGAAAATGATATATAATTACCTATGTAAAACCTAATATTAATAGCTAATAAATAGTAAAATATTGGAGCGAAAAATGCGTTCTAGAGTGATAATCCAACATCGAGGCATCGCGTATCACAGCTCTCTCGATAGTTTTTGCTTTGCCGTATAGTTGCAATAGTAATGTTGAGAATGGATCTAGTTCAAGGTTTTAGTTCGATAAAACTTACCGACCAATCGTCTCGTGTGATCTAGAAACTAACTGTGAATAAAACGTAGGCTCAATAAACTGATTAAACAAAATTTATCTTTTTTTTGTTCATCTTAACTTAAGGTAAAATGGGTTAAAATATAACCTTTATATTAAAACGGTAAAACCGTTAAAATATAAAGGACAAACTCTTTTAACACAATAGATATTAAATAGGAAATTACTGCTGAACTCTTGATGTGTAATAACATCTATATTTTGTCCATCCTAACATTTCATTTTAAAATGCATGTTGAAGAGCACCCATACAGCAGATTCTTTTTACGTCAATAAAAACTCTACATGAGTTTCTAATTTCGAACGTTAAATTACTAAAAAATCTGTCTTTTGTATCTCAAATATGTGTCAAGAGTTTGTGTCACAGAATTTTTCACAATAATAAATTAAAATTGATGACAAAATTATTACTGTCCGAAGTTTATTATGAACATGCTAAACAAAAGTTTAAACAGTGTCGTTGGTAAGTTTTGACCAGTAAACGCCGGTGGTTCACTCAATTCATACTTCGTGAAGATTTTATAGAAGAGAAGGATATAAGGTATATATAGAAAAGCATCATGTCAAAAGATGGAAAAGGCAAAGAAGGTAAAAAAGGCCCAGAGACCAGTGCGTTCATGAAGGACTTTATCGCCGGTGGCGTGTCTGCTGCAGTCTCCAAAACCGCCATGGCCCCGATGGAGCGAGTTAAACTAATTTTGCAAGTGCAACATGTATCCAAACAAATTGCTGAAGACAAACGATACAAAGGTAACACTCTCTTTTTGAAATTTTTAATTTTACATGTTATGGAATATGATAGCCTTATATTATAAAGTAATCGATTCTATATTGAAGAAAATGTATCACACGGGCAAAACTTGTACCGGCATCCACAACGTTCCGTGCTATTGCTCTAACCAACAGCTCATAGAGCTACGGTTTCGCAACAGTACGGAACACTTGGTTGCCGATTCATGTTCAGTTTTTGAATCTGAAATCGATTTTTAAACAAGTGTTTCTCTTATTTTCCATCAAAATATCCTCTCAAATCGGCAGGTATTGTGGACGCGTTCGTACGTATCCCGAAGGAGCAGGGCATTGGGTCTCTGTGGCGCGGCAATATGGCGAACGTGATTCGGTACTTCCCGACGCAGGCGCTTAATTTTGCATTCAAAGACGTGTACAAAGGCCTATTTCTAGAGGGTGTGAATAAAGATACCCAGTTTTGGAGATACTTCGCGGGTAATCTAGCCTCGGGTGGAGCAGCCGGTGCTACATCACTGTGTTTCGTGTATCCACTAGATTTTGCTCGAACAAGGTTTGAAGTTATGTCTGTAAATGGATGTAGTAGCATACTAAACATTTAAGCATTGTGTTTTGCCCATAGATTAGCCGCTGACGTCGGTAAAGGAAAGGCCAAAGAGTTTAACGGTTTAGTCGATTGTTTGACGAAGACATTAAAAACCGATGGCCCGATTGGCTGGTATCGGGGTTTCGTTGTGTCCGTACAGGGGATTATTATCTATCGAGCCACATATTTTGGCTTGTATGACACGGCGCGAGGTGTGCTTATTGACCCGAAGAATACGTCTATATTTGTGTCGTGGCTAATTGCCCAGGTGAGGAATTACTAATTAAATTTAGAATTCAGGGAATCTTGACTTTGACTAACTCTACTCTACAGAATTGTCCCCCTGAGTTTCGTGATACGTGAGAGATATTTTTGTATTATTAGCTTACGCTCATGACGTATCTGAGCAGAAAAGCTATTTTGGCTACAATCTATTTGTAAGATAAATTTGTTTAAATGAAAATAAATACATTTGTAGGTAAACCTCCCTGTAATAATCTTAAGAGTTTAGCCATTATTAATTATAAAAAACATTTAATGTTTTCTACAGGCGAGGGTTGATAAGATTTCTATAGACAACCCAAACGAAAATTTCGCAGTTTTAGCCGTAGACGATAGTTGTTTATTACTCGGTTTTACGTCATAGCCTCCAAGCTTTAAGTTAAGACTGTTGTTTATCACGTAGTCAGCAACTTTCTACTAAACATTCCTACTTAGAACTTAATCTATTGCTGAAAATTAGCGTGTACAGAAAAATCTTATAAAACTCCCAATTTGATATATTTTAATGTAATCTATGTCGCTCAAATGTAGTCTTTAGATTTGTAAGTTAAACGTGGTTCCTCAGACTGTTACCACAATAGCCGGTATTGCCTCATACCCCTTGGACACTGTGCGGCGGCGAATGATGATGCAGTCAGGTCGACCCGTCAACGAACGCTTGTACAAGAACACACTCCACTGTTGGGCGGTCATACTTCGCACAGAGGGACCGGGCGCTTTCTTCAAAGGTGCCTTCTCGAACGTTCTTCGTGGTGCCGGCGGAGCGTTCGTGCTGGTTTTGTATGACGTCATCAAAAATCTTCTTTAAAACGGGACTGACATTTTATAAGGATTATTTTAGAAACGGCTTCTAGAAGAAGTTTGCTGCAGTGTGGTGTTAAATTCTAGATGTGTTTCAGAGTCGAAGTGTTGGGCGCGATTGCCTTTGAGCTTGTGAATACTGTTTTCATAGTTGTTTAAAAATATATTTGATTATGCATTTATTTCTTTTTATTTTTACCGTTTTCTAATTACTGTGTGTAAAATGTGGGGTACGGAAGTCGTTTTACGGAAGACTTTTGTGCCCTGCTCGACCAAAACAACTGGTTTTTCTCCAGGATTCAAACGCGAGATTGAACCTATTCTTGGCGACGGGTTTAGTGGGAACGGAACGGACAAATAATTAATAAACTAAGATACAACATTTATTTAATATCGCACAGTAGCGCTACACCTCTCAAAGTCCAGTGCCTCGGATTGCTGTCCGTTTCAAAATCTATGGAGCCGACATATTTAGCATCAGTTCGCTGTGGTTTTCTGTAGATTGGACATTCGTAGAGCCTGGGATCCTTTCCTGCTGTTGTGTTTATTGCGAAAATGTATATGACTGGCATCTGTTCGTAGAGTACCTTGGGCTTTGATTCTATTAGTTTCCCGGTTTTTCGATCTAGGGATGCACCTAAAAACATTTTCGATAAAACATAACAAATATTCAAAGAAGTAGAGAATGGTGTTACACACAATTTTCTAAATTCTATGTATATTATATATGCACCTTATGTAATGAAATAATTATATTATTAAATTATTTTTGTTGGTGTATATTACAGACATATATTTTAATGCAAAACATATTACGTCAAAAGTTACCTTCAAGAAACAAGCCATAAACATAAACTCCCTCTGTTGGTCCTTCATGAACGTCTTCACGATTTAACTTGGTGATATGATTCTGTAATACGACGGAGTCTAGAGCCCAACCCTTGTGGCTACGCGTTACTTCCTGAAAGTACAATCGTACAAAATAAGTCCTTTACCACTTTGCGAAAGGCATCCTGTTCCTAATTTGAATATGTACTGTGTAGGGGGATACTGAGATGACGTCATCAAGGAGGGGATGAGAAGTAGTGGTTACAATTGTATATAAGCTCGTGAGCTAGCACCTTGCCTAAGGGGTGATTCTGCCCGATTAATTAGTCTGTCTTTCTTTCCAATTATTCACTGTTGTGTTATTTATTAATACGAAAGTAGGGTTATATAGGTTTTTTCATTTAATTTAATGTAGAAATGGCGTAATTAATGCCTTTTTTTTATTTAAAAGTACATATTTAATGTTAGGAACAGTTAAACCGAGAGAAGTTCTTTAGTTGAAAAGGATCACCTGTCTCATGGCAGTCAAAAAACCTTGAGGATTGAAGAAGCCTGTCATCCAGAATGTATTAGGTCGTCCGTTGCGCAACCATATTCGATATTGATATTCGCGTTCTAGAAGCTCTGTATACCAGAAACCTAATGTTGCCGACTCCCATGATACCTTAAATGAAAATGGTGATACAAACTGGATCACACAAAGTAATTATCCATGGATGATACCTACCTTAGACCATTTAGATGGAATACGGGCATCGTACATAGCATCGAGCGACTCACGAAGTCCTTGACTCATAACTATCGTTCCGTCTATCGCTAATTTTAAGTCACAAAGCGTAGTGAAAACGGTTTTTATCACCTTTTGTATACGGTCTATTTCTTGTCTGTAAAAAGTATATTAAGGTTAGCCCTCCCATAATAGATCACTTTTTATGAGACGCTCAACCGCTAACGTACCTTAAAAATATATTCATTGGAAGAAAAGCTCCCATCTTTTGTAGTGCTTCTCTCACTTCAAAGGAAACATATTGCTTCGGAAGTTTCTCTAACATATCTTCAGCTAAGCGATATACAATACTTTCTCTCGTCTCACCCCCTTGACTGCCACCCTCTTTAGGCTGGACACTCAAAATGGTATCCAGTATATCTTTAGCGCTGTTAATTTGGTATGTGATGTCCGCGTTACCGTGAAGCCCAAAAACTTCAGGTGTGTCCGTTAACGGCAATTGATTTATATAATCTACATAACCTTGGAGGTTTCTAGTCTGTGGAACTTTGTATCCTTTATAGAACTCGAAGCCGGGACGTAGGAGCACGTCGCAGAACCAGACATTAGTAAATGTAGTTAGTAGCCGTTTATCAAAATCATCCGTAACTCTTCCACCATATTGGACTTCACCTAGCATGTAACATATTGTTGGCCAAGATATACCTTTTTTAGGATCGATTTCGTCCAGGTGATTTTGTATGAATTGGACGCTCGCAGCATAGTCAGCTTGATTGAACTCATATGGAATGTTCCATCCCAAGGGCCCAAACTTTCTTCTCTCTTGAACGATAGTGTGTAAAAATGCGACTGCGTATAGAAGTGGCGGCCATTGGGGTAACGACGAGTAATCTAGAGTATCTTGCGTAATATTCTGATACGTTCTCTTCATACTAGCTCTTATACCTTGAGGCGGTTCATTTGTAAATTTGATGGCCATTTGCAATAAGCCTATGGGAAAATCCGAATGTACTTCAGTTGTAAGCCATAGGCGAAACGACTCTTGTATGTGTTCGGTTTCAATCAAAGCATCCATGGCCTCGACGCAGAAAGACAGTGATAGATGAATGTTTTGGAGTAGAACCCAGCCGCCGTCGGTCATTGCGTCTGATATCATTTTTCGGGCGACAATTTCCTGGCCTTGTCCCATCGAAACGGCTTTTAAAACTGAAAAAAAAAACAATTTTTTAATACGTATTAATTTGAATAGATATGTTTATTAGGACAATAAATGTATGAATGTTTAGAATAGTACGCTTGACGGGCTCGTTGGTGTAACGGTAGCAATGTGTGGCTAATGATCAAGGGGTCATGGATTCGATTCCCACCGCGTCCAACATTGTTCTAATCAATTTATATTTTTAACATATTGGATTTCGTTAGAAAACTTGGATATTGAATACGTGGTAGGAATTTCGAAATTCCGTCCGGGCCACCGTACAGAGAAGCCGTCTGGGTTAGTCGTAATCGCGTTTCAGTTTCAGTCTGTGGATTTTCGAAAAGCTAAAATAGGGCGACTGCACATTTTGTTTAGATGTTTTGTGGCTAGAGTATTTCACTTTTTTCAAGAGAACCCCATGCTTGCTGTCTTCCTAGATCCTAAAATGGTGCATACCTATTTCTTTCGATTTTGCAAGCGATGCTATTTGTGCTGAAGGATCCGATCCAATGGATAGTATACATATGAGGGGCGTTCTTGGCTCTGACTCTTCCCATGTAACCTCTAAATTTAAGATTTGCCCTTCTCCATATTCAGCCCCAAGAGAATCTAGAAACATAAGTACTTTTAAACAAAAATGTATCGGATTCAAAATGCTTTTAAACGTGAAAAAAAAATTATTTTACAAGAATAACGGGCCGCGATCAATGTCCTGGGTCGTAACAGAACAAATTGGTGCCCAAAATAACTTTTCCACGCGGACAAAGTCGCTGACGAAGCTAGTCCTATATATAATGGCATAACTTTACCAACAATATATTTTCTGGCTTGTGACAATGTTCTATCTGGACTCCAAGATCTAATAAGAAGTAATTTCCGAAATACATCCAGACTCTCTTGGTATCCACTCGGAATCACCTCCTCCTCTGGCTTTGCTTTTTCGTACCAGATCCGCCATTCTTTCTCATTACTCGATATCTATTATAAAATATTAAAAATAAAATGTTGTTACTTTTCATCAACTGCATTTAACACCATTATGTTGCAACAATCTAAACATCGTGTATGACGTCATTCGTGAACTATAATTGAAGGCAACTACGTATATGACCACAGCGTCACGCATTATCGCACTGTTGGCATTGGCATTTTCAAATAAAGAATATAATAACAGTACTTCAAAGAGTATAATTAAAGTAGTTTTGTAATAGAAATACTATGAGGCTGATCCTCCATTAAGATTTCTTGGGGAAAATATACCGCGTGACATTTAACTATACTCACTTTTCTAAGAACATCGGAGAACGTTTTAAGCTTGCTTATCTCCACCAGATTTAACCATGTGATATCTAAAATCCATTTAAATGGTTTTGGAGTTACTGCGTTTAAATCAAGTGACGCACCACCTTTGACAAAAGCCATGAACTCATCGTGCGATATAAGACCCCGGTGGCAATCTATCTTCATCGCTAACATTAATGTAAATAATGCTTTGTGTCTCTCATACAAACTACGCAAAGTAAATGCCCAAACTTCATGAGTTAAGTATTTCAATATTATATTTATACGCTCCTCAGTAATATTACTTTTCGTTGATTTTGTTATTGAATTATCGAATATAGTCAAAAACTGTTTCAACGAGTTTTGGTACATAATATTGACGTTACTCATTTCCACTATTAAAAAGTATAAGATTGAGCCCCTAGCTGCGACTGCCCTAAATTCTTCTCTTGCTTTTACTATTTTCTTCTCAGTTACTTCAGCTACTTTGAGCTTTTCATTTACTTCCTCCGCTGTTGTCTTAGTTATTTGTAGAACTTGAATCAGAGCTTCGTCGTCAACAAGAGATCCTTCAGAGGAGGTTAAACGGCAAAGTAAGTTACTCTCCAATTCTTTCATACTTCTTTGGTTTTTCATTACTGATTCAAACAAAGCTACTCGTTCTTCTTCTAAATCCGACTTTTCCATTAAAATAACTCTACCAAGTAACTGATCTTCCAGGCCTTGCATCGTTACAGTGAAATCTATAATGGAGGTCTTGGCGCTAATTTCTGGTGAATATGCAGGATTGGGAAGTTTAGTGGTAATATAAAGCATAAAACCAGGCATGACATCGCATTCCTTATCACCAACAATAACTTTTTCTATAGAACCTGATTTTATGAAGTTCTTTTCTAATACATTATCAATTACAGGGTCTAATTCAACTCCTACATCCTCTATTAAAAGTGGTCTACCTAAAGACAAGCTGTCTTCAAGATGTGTCCGAAAATATTTATGATTCAACGACGTTATTTGGAGTTCATTTGAACTTTCTTTGTTTTTAATCCAGTTCTTGCCTTGACTCTGTGGGTCGACTAGTAGTGGATAGGAGCTGGACTTAGTTACAATGAGCGCATTTTGTACAGATAGTTCATCGTTTGGTAAACCTTGTAAAGTCCATTCGGATATTGTAGCATTTTCTACTAACATGCTTGTTATATTCAAATTATCTGTTACGGGTATTTGTTTACTCTTTAATATACCCATCCATGTATTAAACAAACTGTTTCTAAATTCTTGATTGTACGGACCGCAATAGGACAAAAATCCTGTGGCCAATACAACATCTCCAACCAAACGTCCAAGTTGTTCTTTAAAGTCTTTGCTTTGTTGAGTCCATCTTATTTTTTCTCCACCCAACCCATTGATAAGTTGAGTTGCAGCTGTCATTTTTCTCAAACAAACATTTGCTGCATCTGTTAGTTGCTGTTTTTCAGAAACAGCTGCTTCATATTGTTCTTTAACTTTTCTAAGTGACATTTCACGTTCTTCTAGCTGTCTTTCCGCAGAAGCCAAGTCTTCCATAGCCACCTAATAACATATTTTTTTTTATATAAAACTTATCTTGAACATAATGTTATATTTTGTATGAAAGATTTTTACCTTTAATCTTGCTTCTTGTAACATTAAACTTGCTTTTAATGGTAAAACTTCTTTATTTACACTGTGAAAGAATGCCATTGCTTTTGTCCAAGACAATAAACCTGCGACGTCTCCACACACACGTTTCGCAGTATCCATGTTGTAATCTTCCATTTCGAAGTATGGTAATAGATGTTCTACCATTTCATTGTTGATGATATCTTTTGGATAATTTTGTAATTGTAATAAAAATGTTGTGCTGGCCATCATCTGAAAAATAAACGATTTAAAATAAAAAATTATAAGTATTGTTACAGTTAAGTATATTTTTAACTATACCTTAAGTGACTCGGCCCAAGATGGTTTTGGACATGGTGCAGCTGTGTCTGGTATGATAGGATGAAGTCTTCTTTGAAACAGAATTAAAACACAGTCCATAATTCTCATAATAAGATGCGGTGGTCTACCCAGCTTTCTAACTGTAGCAATATGAGCAGGTTTTATAGTGTTAAGTGCAGCCTCTGCTTCTTCCAATGCCGGCTTAGCAGCTTCGAGTTTACGTTCCGCCTTTTCCTTTTCTTCTGCTATAAAAGCTACCAGTGCTTCGGCTTTTTCTTTAACAACTTGGACTTGATTCTTCACTATTTCGGCTTGCATGGCTCGTTCTGTCACCTCCGTTAAAACGCGGTCTGCTTTTTCAGATGCTAGAGCTAAATCTTGCTCCATCACCGCCAAATCCTTTTTCAATACCTCCACAGATATTGATGCTTCACGTAATTTTTCCAGTCCTGTATCCATTCTTAAAGCACCATCGCCTAACTCTTTTTGTTTCATTTGATATATTGTTTTATAACCGCCAATAAAACTTAAATATGATTTTGGCGTTACGTGGGATGAACGCCTAAATCTTTGAAAATATTCTGTTGAAACTGTAGAAACCACATCCTGTATTGTTCCGAGTACAGTAACTAATTCTTTCTTTACTTCTTTCGTGCATTCGATTTCAAATTCAGCTAGAAAATGATCCGCTACTGATACCAAGGCATCCTTTGGCCAAGGTTGAAACCAATCTATTGTGCATCCTGATATCAACGCTGGAAATCTTAAAGCTCGGTAGCGAAAAGCTTCACTTACCTGCAAAAGTATTTTTTTAGTGCGTATTCAAGAAGATTAACTAACAATTTATAAGATAACATACCGGTGAGAAACATAGTACCACATGTAGATTTTGGCATGTCCTATTCAAAAAGTACTCCATAACAAGTTCATTAGTCAAAGTACGTTTTTGATTTTCTCTTTTCATAATTGGTGTGAGCTCAGATATTATTTCCTGTTGTTCATCTTTTGTAAATAAATTTGATATAACGCCTGAGCTTAAAATGTTGTTTAGGTATTCTAGAAATCCCTCTTCCTTTATATCTAGGTCTGTGAAAATAAATGTTGTGCCTTTTCCTTGCACACCGCAAGATCTATATAAAAGTTTCAGGTCTTCTAGAAAGTTACCAACATTATATGATCTTGTTAATGCTATTTGAAACGACCGATATCCGGCAATAAATGTAGACAATTTGGTTAGGGATTGTTTTCCTGAACCACCAACGCCTACAAGCATAACGTTTCCTCGAGGATGCCTGATTACACGCGATATCTTGACCAAATGAAGCATTGCATCTGGAAAGAATACAAGGTCCATTCCGGAGCCTCGGACCATTTCATTAAATTGTGATAAAAACATATCCAGACGATCGCGTAATTCATTGTAATCAAAAACTGGTTCATACACCTTTGGTAATTCCATATCAGCATCTTCACCTTCTTCGCCTGTCGGTTCAGGGGCGTCTCTATCGAGAAAAAATACGTAAACATTATATTCTCAATCTCAAAAATACTCCGAATATATTTATGTAAGTATTTAGTCTCACGTTACCTCATAAAGTCTACAAACACGGGGTCTTTTTCCATCATTTTCTTATATTCTGGACCTAAAATTTCTTCAGCAATGTCATACAACGCTTTATTAAACCAATCCTTATCTGTTTGATGTGTAAATCTATCGGAAAACACTCTGGAGCACTCGTGCTTCCACAGCAACATTAAACATCTTTCCGATTCTATAACAGTAGGCAAAGTACCAACCATTCCTTGCCATACTCTTGATAAATCTCTTAGTGAAAACACATAGTGAAATTTAGCTGGTGTTGGCAATAAATTGATTCGTGTTCTTGTCCACAGTTCGCGCGTCAATGGAATAATTCTTTTTATTAGGGACCGAACCTCAATAGTGAATCCTCGCTTCGCGTTATAATGTCCTTCGCCAATAACTTTAAATATTTTATCAATAGAATCGTTATTTGGTAAGGGACAGTTAAAAATAGAAAAGCGCCTTTTCAACCTTGATGGAATATCATTTCTGCCACCACCTGTAATTTAGTTGTATATATATCAATATTAAAGAATACTATAAGTAGAGCTACATAACTTTATTTAATAAGACAATTTCGTTTCTTACCAGGTTGACCCATTGCACCAAGAAACTGAATATCTACGATAGTTGTAAAGTCCCCGGGTTTCTCTAAACTGTAAAATCCGCCCATGCTCATAGTTTGACGTACAATTTCATTTGTGATTTGATCACCCCATTCATTTATCTGAGGTAAATTTATATCATCAATAAAAACGAGCATTTTCTTCCCGCCAGGTGGACCAAACGTCATACCACTTCGTTTTTCCACGTAACTCTCTATGGTTTTTTGAAATTGATACGGACTTGTAGCGGAAGAAAAATTGAACGAACGACCCATAAATTGTTCTGCATTAGCATTCTTCATATATGCTTTCATCATGACAGTTTTGGCAGAGCCTTGCTCACCGAGGAGTAATACGGCCTTTCCTTGTTTCGCAATACAGTGGATTAGATAATTAATTCGAACATTGTCTACGATCGGTATAAGAATATTTGCATAATCCGGAGTAGCAGTGTCTGGGTATTGATAATTTGTCATAAGATCGTCCCAAAGCTCCCATTTGCCAGGATGTTTTACATAAAAGTCGAATAATATACTAGGTTTATTGCTGGGATGCTTCGGCATCTCAAGAATATCAGTAAACGTTGTTTTAATATACTTATCATACTTAATCCTGTCACCCGTTTCCAATAATGAACCGAAACCCCATACTAAAGAAAACACGTAAATTTTATGCAAATGTTCAGGTGTAAACAGGGGGATTTCTTCCCCCTTTTCTTTTTCTTCATCATCATCTAAATCGCCGCTAACTGATTTGCTCGCAGACTGATCCTCAGTTTCTACAATTTGAGGTGGAACTAGACCTTCTAGTAAATTGAGCATTTGTGAAACAATATTGCTTTGAAGAACGCGCATACTAAAGTTGAGATTTTGTGTGCACCACGTGTAAGTGTTTGGAAAAGTTTCTTCGAACAATGAACTGAATATTTCATTTTCGCGCGACGATCTTGTCTTTAGCCAGGCACTTAAAACTGAAAAAGAATAATTATCTACAAATTACTATAAAGGTGGTAATATGGTCTACTCTACTCACTACATTTACATTTTAGAAACGTGTTGGAATCAGTATATTTTATTATTTTTGGGTAGGTGTCGACACGACCCTATCACGGAGATGGTATTTGACAGAGTTTTAGACCAAGATCTTAATTGTTGTTTTCCAAATAAAATTTACCTGGTTCCCAGTCTAATCCCGAAGAACTCATATAAACCATACCATTTCTTGATACCGTTGCTGGTGATGCGTTGTCAATATTTTCAGGTTCGAATATTATTTTCGATGTTGGAGACATTGTTAACCTATCTCCATTAGCAAGCGTTAATGTTTTATTGTCATCAAGTACTGAATTCAAGTTTTCTATCCATATACTATCTACGGGGCCATCTAACACAAGCCAAATATGCTCCCCAGTTTTCATCTTTAACGTTTTTCGCCATAACGCAGAGAAAATGCCATCTGTCCAGTCATTTGTAGCCACATCGAGTCGTCCAAACATTTGTGAAGCTGTTATTGCTTTGGGATTCATTCTCATTTCCCTATAAATTAAAAAAATATTTTAAAGAACGATGAATTAAAATAATGACACAAGCGAGACTTGGACTCTTTACCGTGCCATTGTTCTAAGCTATTGTGGCACAAATGGTAGCTTATTGACAGAAGAATGACTTTTACAAATTATTATAGCTTACGAAATTAAAAAGTTTATAGAATATAATAGGTACTATCAAAATGTCTACAATATTAGGTTGGAATTCTTTATTCGCTAAATAAAATATATTTTATATACTTGTGGGGGTCCTCTGTTTCCGATAGAGCACTCATCACTGTATGTATACACGTGGTTTTACCAGCGCCTGGTGGTCCCAGTACCATTATGCCGTGTCGTACTCTCTGTGTTTCGTACAGCTGTAAAATTTATTATTTTCTAACAAAAGGTATTTTTTAGGAGGTAAGACAGTGTCGTGTTTATTTACACCTATATATTTCAGTTTTCAGTATGACAATTATTTGACCGCACGACACAAATTTAATCTATAACCAGGATTTATAACCACTTGTGCTAAATGCAATGATAAGCAACACACACAATATTGAACTACGAATGCGTTTCGAAAGGAAAGGTTTACGAAAGGTATCCATAAAGAAAAAAAGTTAAGATAGTATAAATATTATTTAGATAGTTTGGATATACTTATTGTTTAAAGTTGTTTCAATTTTCATGATTTTACGTGTTTTCAGAAGTTTTGGAATATTGTTTTCTACGATAACTATAGATTTATGAGTTTCCTGTATTATTTCATTAATATTGTTATTATCAAATACTGGGTCAGTTACTGGAAAAAGATATAGTCATTACTGGGACAGTCAAAAATTTGGCCATCAATTACTTTTACATTTTTAGACCTCTAGAAAAAAAGTTAAATAAAATAAACAACTCCATTCTCTTAAAAGCTTAATATAGAAGACATGAAATATCGTTATTATTTGTAACTTACTTTCAAAATTCTTAGTTAAATAAATACAATGTTATTTAAGGAAATGTGTGTTTTTCTCACTAAAGTATCATCTACTAGTACATTTACCTTAAGTGTTCTATTCAAATGTGCATCACCCGTGTAAACTACAGACTATTCTTGATATGGGCAATAATTTAACAAAATATACCAATACACTTAGTGTGTATTTGTATGTTTTTTTTTTTTCAAGTTTCGACTTGAAAAACACTTGACACACCTGAACAATCTTTAAAACCCACGGCGGATGGTACACTAAACCCGTGGCATCCACAATTTTCCTTATCGCTTCTTCGAGGTCCGGGTACGTGGTTTTCTCTAGAACCTGATTTGGAAATAAATCGGCTACAAGAGAGATAAAAAGCGGTTCATCTTCGTCAATCAGTTTGGACAAATTCATATCTCGAAGTACTCGCATGACAATTGTACTCTCATTGTCTTTTGCGTTCACTCTCTTGACTGCACCCAGAGTCCTCAATACGGATAGAATGTTTCTGAGACCAAAATCATAGTGCACCTGGAATGTTGTTAAAAGACAACCTTTTATAAAGTCTAATTAAAAATATTTGTAAGAACAAAAAAGACTAATTTTATAAGCAATGTTCTTTTTAAATAAAACACTATAACGGTTTAAACCGCGATATATTAGTTAAACTTATTTGAAAATGATTTTTAACTTCAGCCCGACGTCTCCCCGTGACCACGGCTGCTGCAAAGCATCCGAAACGTCGAGCCGAAGTTAAAAATCATTTTCAAATAAGTTTAACTAATATATCGCGTATTAAACCATTAAATTGTTTTATTTAAATGTGTATTACTCGCGTAAACTATAGACAGAATTTTCTTTTTGTTAAAATTATCCCAAAACTAAGTTTTACTTTAACTAGGACATAGGGTCGTAGTTAAAGTTGCTGCTGGAAACTAAGCCTAAATTTTCATTGTCAAATTAAAACCCTTATTGGGTTGTAATTAGGACAATTCCGATTCATTGGACACTTCACCTTGGTTTGTTGGGTTCGGGTGATAGATCAGTTGGCACGGTGGTAACTACCAAAAAACAAAAAAATATATATTTATAATTAGTTTAAATATGGAAGTACATACTTGTTTTGTCAATTGCTCCTCACATAGTTTGTATAACGTGTAAAATTTTCTTGCTAGAGTTATATTCTCCAAGAATCCGCAAGAGGCAAGTTTCACGCGGATAATAATCTGCCGATCTGGTACCATCATGGCGACGGTCCTAAACTGGATCTTCAAATTCTCTGGTAGTTCTTTACGGCCGGCGTAACCAGGATTCTGTGAAATAGTACGGATGACGTTACGGATGCTTAATGTTTTAATAAGCACCAAAATATATGTACTTCGAGTCATAACCTGTTAGTGTTTATTTTTAATGTCTACTACTTGCGTTAAACTACAGATTTTATTTAAAGTAATTAGTTCGATAGTGTTTTATTTAACGTACCATAGTTATAAATATCCCGAACTCCGGGCACATTTCAGACATATCGCCATCTGTGAAAAGAAAGGTTTTCTTCTTTTCCTTCTTAGCAGCAAGAACGACGGCAACTTGTTGCGCCGCCACAGATAACACAGGAAGTTCTATACGGTTGAATTCGTCGAAACATCCCCATGAGCCGGATTGTGCGAGACCTTTATAGATACGCCCGAGTCCTCTAGAGTTACATAAAAATAATGAAGTTACCTGACTTACTGGGTATACACAGACACAATATATTATAAACAGGCTTGAGACTTTAAGATAAATAAATGAATAAAAAGAGGAGGACAGACCAGATGGTAAAATATAACATCTCGACAAGATGACGCTGTTGTTGGGCCTTGAACATTGGACAATTCACAGAATGAAACCGACAATCAATTAAATTTCACGGCTTTTGCAGCTGTGGTTGTTGGTTCGCGATCCGAATGAAATTTTATTATTCCCACCACCTTATTTAATGTCCAGACTTTCAGTGATGATGATAAGAAATATGTTGGACCCGTTGGGAATCCAACCAGCTCGCCATAAATATAGTCAGGCAGAACAGTAATTTTTTATATTAAATAAGCATGACCTTCATTACTAACGGTAGTCGCAAATTCGAGTCCCGTTTGTTGTCGGAGCGTTCTAAAACGTTCCAATGAGCCAAATATTGCAACTACAGCTTAAATTCATATTAGATATGGTAATTTATTTTTGTATATAAGAGAACTACGGCTTTCTCGTTGATCTATTGATCAGTGACCACGACGTTCCAGGTTCGAAGCCAAGTATTTTTTTTATTTCTAGCTGCATCATAGAGTCGGTCCCGGTTTTTATTGCAAATTAGCATCGTCAGAGTTCTTAAGCCCATAAGAGAGAGTCAAGCAGAAATTGAATTACCGGTAATCCATTTGATCGGAACAATTAAACACAACAACGTATTTAGCTAGTGTTTTTCCCATGTCTTTCACTGTTTCTGTTTTGCCTGTGCCCGCTGGACCGCAGGGGGCGCCACCCATGCTCATTGCTAGTGCTTGAGCGAGAGTTATGTAGCATCTGTAATTTGATACAACCTAATTAAACTTCCTCTAAGTATACGTTACGCATGTTTATATTTCTCCTTATTAAATCATATTTCTTGTTATTAGGCCACGCTGTATCTAACGACCCTATATATAAGAAGAATTTCGACCAACCATTTATCCAAATTACCAGACGAAGTTTGAGAAAATGTTGGACCCAGTGGGGATCAAATTCACGACCCGTTTATGATCAGCCATACATTGCTTTTAATAACAAGAAAAGGTTACCTATCTGTCAATGGTGTTATTACAAGTCTCTCAGTACATCCAAGATATTCATTTTGATAAGTGAACGTAACGTCAGTAACTGATATCCAAGTTTTGTCAACGTCCTCTTTGAAATAGAATCGACATTGTTTCAACCATTCGAAATCGTTTGCCGAACGAACGTTCAGTCGGCACTGTAAAAAAGGTGAAGTAGTTTGTTTGTACGCTTTAATCTCAGGAATCGCTAGACCGATAAAAACAAAACATTTTTAACGCTTGAAAACTCGAAATATTATGGTTAACTTATTTTAACTACACCTCAATGTTTTGGAAAGTTAAATTATGTTAACTAATAAATTTCGCGTTTTAAACCTAAATGTCTATTACTCGCATTAATTAATACGGACAATATAAAAATATATATTAGAATCTGTAATATTTTTATGCTTATTATAAAGTATTAATAAAAAGGAAGGTTTTAGTCATTGAGTATAAAGATAGAGCAACATAATATATTATAGACTACACGAAAAATTTTCGAAAATTTGTCGTGCAAGATCCACGTACGAATTGTTCCTTGTTAAATAGTACTAAACATACGTTAAAATGTAATATATGGCTCAATATCAACATCAACTTCCATACTTACTGTCGTTGATTTGACACTCGGCAAACCAGAAGAGACTGATCAACTACCTGTCTACTACTTCTACGGAGGATATGATCCTACCAATATACTGAATGTAAATATTTTTTTGAAATACAAGTCGTTTGTAGTAATGTAGTATTATGTTGCACTTCTACAATAATGTATGACCTAGACTCACCAGCATGTCAAAAATATCTCGTTGATGGACATGTATAGTAATAAGCGTTTCAAATTTGATCCTCTCAATTTTGGTTAAGTCCCTCGTGGTCTGATCAATGAGCGTATTGAGGAGCTCAAGGAACTTATTATTTGTCTCCAACATGATTTTTTTGTCTTGTCGCGCTTGCATTAACGCCAATTCTGCATCCCTGGTCCATATAATTTGAATTCCAAGAAGACCTACCTGGAGGAGAAAATTTTCTTTTTATATCTTTGTGTTTTGCGAGAGAAGTTTTGAATTTTGGAAATATATACAATTTTGCTTTGATAGTGAATATTAAGTCACGGAAAAAAGTCCAGTTTTTCGTGAGTTCGTGCAATTGATTGATCTATTTTTGATATGGACAAAAGGAAACGGAAGAGATAGCTTGGTATTAATCAAGCCGCACATAATATACGTCTTTTTCGTATTATGTGCGAAAAGTATTACTAAATAAATGTGTGATCACTTCTGTGTCCAGCCCGATCGAAGTTATTATGTGTTATGTACGATTTTCCATACATAAGACATCTCTGATAGATTTCTTTGGTCTTACAAATCGTTTTTAACTGATGTTGGAATAATTTTAACACGCGTAACTACTACATAAAATATTATTATACTTAATATTAAATATATACCTGCTGCTATAATAATTACCTGCGCGGGCATCTTGTCAAGAAATAGCAAGAGATTAAAAACTGGATCATTAATGAGAGATACTGCATTTCTTATAATGGAATGCAAGCTGCTTTGTGCTGACTGTAATAGTGAAGTTAACCACGTCTCCACCGAACCCTCGGCACGAACTGGTCGTTCCAACTTTATTTCTTCGCCTTCAGATGAAACTATGGACACCATCTTGTTATATTCTAAAAAAAAATACAATCCTTTTCATTGTAGCCATATTTGTCTGTTTATTTTAAGACAATTTTTGCGTATTTAAAAGCAAGTACTTAATCAGATTCGAACCTAGAACCTCCTGCGTTTTATGAAATGTGTGTAGCGTGGAGGTGATGAAAAGTTTAATTATACAACGTTTTATTATAATTACCTATATCATGAAATTTAACATAGCGTATATTATCAAATATGGATAACAGGTGGTTCTGTATAGTATGGGAATCTGACGCTTGACCAAGAATCTCCAGCAGCGCCGGGTCAGAGACGAAGAAGAACCTAGGGAACATCGTCCGCTTTTTCTCGAGATAACCACTTAGACTTTTCTGACAGAGTTCCAGCTGTTCTTGTAAATGTGGAAGTAGTTGCCGCAGCAGATCGTCTCCGACGCAACAGGACACAACACCGGGTGTTTCGTGCGCTCGCTGCATAATTTTTTGCCAGGATTTATCGATTTTTGAAAACCTCTTCGCCTCTTTCGGTAATTGCTTTGCAATGTCACCACCCACAAAGACCGCTTCCAAGTAGACCCACATGTTCTGTACAAGAAGCCATCTCTCTAGAATTTCATTTGTGCTTTGCAAGTCGTAAAGCCATTGCTGGATTTGCTTTCTGAAGGGCGCGTTGTAACTAAAATTGTCAAATTTGATCAATCATTCGTCTTCTATTTGATGAAGATAAAGGAGAAATGAATTATTTATAATATTTCTAAATGGGTAACTAAAATTATTTGAATTATCAGGGTTCTTCAAACTTATAATCTACGATTTTTGTGCTTAAAAAATTCTGGGTAACGGGTCTAATAAGATAATATTAAGTCCAATACCGATTAGATAGTAAAGATCCCAGTATCATAAGACTGTCCTCAAGTTGCCCTATAGTCTCAGCTGTTGTATCTCCTCTCAGTAAGAGTTCTCCTCTGTTATTAAAGGTTTGAAAAGTTAATTCATGCACTGACCACTCATTGGTCACTTGTCGAAGTTTTGCTTCTATATCCTTTTCTTTCATGGCTGATATACAAATGTCCTGTTAAACAAAAGACAATTGTCTGAAATTAGTTTTAACAAAATTCAAATAAAGCAAAGTGCTATTTCAATATTTGTAACAAAGTAATTTTCTGAGAAGTTAATCATAGTGTTGCGCTTTACTTTAAGAAACATTTTAAGCATTAAGTAACGGAATTTAACACAAATTAAAATTACAGCACCTCAATGTCTTCTTTGTTTGGCAACAAAGGAGCTTCCAAAATATTTTTCAAACAGAAGTCTTCGTTGTCCAACTCGAAGATATACTTTGTAACTTCCATTATCCGCTGCCAGTGACGAGGTTTCATAGCTTTGTTGGCCATGAGTTCAAGTAATGGACACATATCATTGAAGTCATCGATTGTCTTCTTGAGAGCGTAGAAGGCTGGCCATTCTTTAAGCCTGAAAATAATATTATGGGTTATAATGATTGGTTTAGTAAAATGATGTATTTAAGTGTATCCTATATGCTTATAATAATAAAGAACAAAAAGTCTTCGTTTTGGTGTTTATAAAAATTAAACTGACTAATATAGAAATTAATCACTCAGGTATTATTACTTTGGTGACAATCGTTGAGCTGTGCTGTGATGCGTGTGATGAGGGATTCACACTTTTGAATACTTTCTACTAGATAAATGAACCTTATGAACACAATGGTTGGAGGACATTAATTAGTTGGAACAAACAAAACTGGTAAGACTTCTGCGCTCTACATTAAAGTGTTATGTTACCCTTTTGGTAATTTTCTGCATCGATTCTGGAACTCCATCAGCTCATTGTTAATTTCCTCAATATTAACTTCTCCCCAAGGTATATCGTAGTAACTGCTTACTCTATCGATCACGTCATTATAGAGTTTGTACAATTTCTGTAATAGATTCAGTTCCTTTCTTATCTGCGCAAGCTCCGGGTACTCAGTATGTGGAAGACCAAACAGTTCTTCGCCGTTTTGATATGTTTGTAGTTTTCGCCACATACCATCAAATCTATTCTGTAATATTTAATTTATTATGAGTTACATTATCATGTTTTACATTCCCCAGAATTAAATTCACAACATCGGAAACCTACAGCACGCTTATCAATCCGTCCATAGTGATTCGTGTATAACCAAACATTTTGGATATAAGATGTTTAAAATTTAATCAGGAAATTATTTACACGCTGGAGCAGGTCAGTTCAACCAACGAGCCCGTTGTATAGAGTTTAATTAATATCATTAATAGTTGTTATTATTGGCTTATATATTTTTTGTAGTTGATCAATACATACTTGAAACAAAATCAATCTATCAGACGCCTCTCTTGGAGTTAATCCAGTCTGCATTGGACCTGCGTGTCTATACTCATGACAATAATCGGTGTTGTCTTCTCTAAAGTTGTCCAAGTTGTTCTTCAAGTCTTCTTCGAATTGTGGCTGCATTTTTAATAGTTGGACATGGGACGCAAGAGCAGTGGCTTGGAGTTGTTGCCAGCTGTACCTCAGATTATCCACTTGCTCCATATCTTCTTTACTGACTGGGAGTTCGTAGCGTGTTATGACATTAAATGCCTCCTACAAAAGAAATTACAAAATATTAACCTAAAACAACTAAAGTTTATGAAATAGTAGTCAACATTTGAAAAGATATATAATTTAAAAATCGAAAATAAATTGAAAAAAATTTTCGACTCGGGCAGGACTTGAACCGGCATCGTCAGCTTTCCGTGCTGTTGCTCTACCAATTGAGCTACCGAGTCCTGCCGAGTCGAATTTTTAATTTATTTTCGATTTTTAAATTAAGTAGTCAACATTTTTAAAGCATCCCACTCATTAGGAGGTTATGCACAACCGATAATAAGTATTTTTATTAATAAAAAATAACAATAGCCATACAACAAATATATAAACAGAAAGTTTGTGAAATAATTGGTCGGGCTTGTTGATCTAATCGTAGCATTGTACACTGGTAAACTTGTGGGACTGGATGCTTGGATATTAAATGGGTGGTAGGAATCACGAAATTACATCCGTTTACGAACCATCGTCCACAGATGAAAAACGCCGCGAAGTTTAATCGCGTTTCGGTTTTAGTCTGTGGATTTCCGAATCCATAACCAAAATAGATCAACACCACATCGTATTTAAACATCTAAATATAGGTAATATAATGGCTGGGGTATTTAATCTTCCATCGAGTGAATCCCACGCTTGCTTTTCCTCCTCTGACTTGAAAAATCAAAACGTCTAACTAGGCACAGATTGTTAAAACAAAGATCTAAATTTTAAATCTCACCTCAACCGGATCAATTTTCAATTCCATATCAACCTCTTGCTCTCGTATCTTCTTCAATGTTTCCATTACTGTTCTAACATCATCTAAATCTCGTATGGGCCTCTCCAATTTGCGTTCTAGATCATTCATTATAGCATATACGTAATCCATTTCACGTTTGTACTTTTTGCGCATCGCTTGGCTTATTCTATGCGTACCGTCTATAAAAAATAGGTTAATTTAAGTCTGTAATTTTTTTTGTAATTTTAACAGTTTAAAACGCGATATATATTACGCGATTTATTTTGATTTTTTTAAACTACGGTCCGACGTTTCGCATGCTTTGCAGAAGTGATCACGGGGACATAAATTGCTATGTTAAAACTGCTAGTTTCATATAACATGCAAGACAATTTTTCGCTGCGTATCTCAGTTATACGCCGTTTATTATTGGAGCATATAATACTGATAATACCATACAACCACTGATAGCAGATACGTAAATAAAGTTGATCAATTAACGGACACAGTCTGTTCGCAAATTTTATAATTTTTTTACGTGTTATTGCACATGAAGGCACTATATAATTTAAAAATCGAAAATACATTGAAAAAATTTTTAACTCTGCCAGTACTTGAACCGGCATCGTCAGCCTTCCGTCAGCGTTAGGACTCGGTAGCTCAATCGGTAGAGCAACTGCACGGAACGCTGACGATGCCGGTTCAAGTCCTGCCCGAGTCGAAATTTTTTTCAATTTATTTTCGGTTTTTAAAGGACAAAGTCTTTCCAATTTTCCAGGCGCGGGCTCTTTGTTTTCTTAACTTCTTAAAAAAGGAATAATTTTACTCACTTTTCAATTCTGTCATAAGACCCAACTTAAGCTTCTCTGTAGACACGGCAAGACAGTTTCCGATAATAAGAGTGTCGGGTTCCGTAGCTAGTTTTAATTCCAGTTCGCTGTGCCTTTTCAAAGCTAGCTCAAAATCGTTCAAATTCCAAGATAAAAGTTGTCGCAATGTTTTTTCGCACTTCCACAGGTAATGGTATGGCCTCCATCGTTTTACTAATATATTTAATTCCTTTCAACATAAAGAGATTAAATAGTTACATTTATTATTACCATTCATAAATGTTTGGAAACTAATATATTCGTTTTCAAACACAAACTAAATTCCCCCAGAATAAATCAAACTTTATGAAATAACTGTCTAGGCTTTGTAATCAAAGTATATAAATACTCAAATTAAACGTAACGACAGCCAATAAAATACAGTTAAACAGTTTAAAATACGATGTTTAGAAAAGGAGGGTTCATGTATTTCGCTGTTTAACCGTGTCTTATGGCCACTATTAGGATAAACTAAATGACAAGATCTTAAACACATTATTTTGACGTAGTTGTGTGATAAAAAATTTAAATGAATATTAAATTGTGATGTAAAAAGAAAAAGCGTACCGTTTTGATATTCTGAGTACACATCGACAGAAGAGTCAAAGTCTTCATTATCTCTTTGTTTTCCATGACGTGACTATAAAAACTCTTCTGTTGGAACGGAAACACCGGTTTCTCTTCGGATTCCAGTCTGTAATACTTCTTCTTTCTCATTTTGGCCGCTTCTATCATTTTCATGGACTTGGCCACGTTTAATGGCGCCACTGTTTGAACCTGTTCGTCAAGTTTCGTGACTACTTGCAAGAGCTGATTGGACTGGTGACCGGTCAGTTTCTTCCAGCTTACCTGGATTTGGAAGCGTGGACACAGGAGGACGCGCGGCAAACAAAAGTACGAAAATGAAATACAAAATGGTATTTACAAATGAAACAACATTAAGCGACATCGAGTGTGGGCAAATTATATGAAAAAGCATTGAAGCGCAGGTACAGTCGCGAACAATATCACCGTCAGATCACATAATGTGCAGAACACGACACATAACAATAAACACCACAATATGGAAGAGAAACAAAACCATAATGTAATAACTCTATTAATTTATAGGCTATAGATTAATGTTTTATTGTATCTACCACAGACCTGAGTTGAATTTGTACGATTCACTGTGGGCTAAAATGAGAATGTTTCGTTTCAAATTTTAGCATTAGATTTATATTAGTCATTGAACAAAATTTAAAATAACTAGAACCCTATAACTACCAAGAGTTCCTACAAAATCGGTTAGTTAGCAGTTATCAATTCGGACACTTTTTTTTTCAATAAATGTTCTGTTCATTATTGTTCAATATTAACGTTAAGATAAAATTCGTCGAGGTAAAATACAACAATTCTCTCAGCTATAATTAGTATACATTTTCAAATTCAGACAAATTATCATACCCTAGATGTCTTTCCTCCAGTCCACTGTGCGACGCCCTTCGACAAACCCGAGATATGTTTTCCCGCTAAAACTAAAACTTCTTGAATCTCGTCAAGAGTTGGTTTCACCAACACATTTGGTATCACCAGCGCAGCGTGAAGTAAGAATATCGGTTTCTTCTGTTGACCTATTTGAAAAATTACACTAATGTCTTGACTAGATATTATCGTCATTTTAAATATTCCAACTTTGAAAAACATTATTAAAAAAAATTGTTTAATCGGTTAAGCCGTTCCCTAGTTATCAGAGACACAAACGAAATGTATTTTGTAATACATTTTCAGTGACAAAGAGTGTGTATAAAATTACCAAAGCTCACTTTAAAATCGAAACAAGGCAAAAGAAAACACTAAAATATTCCATTTTCGTTCTTAAATGTAGTTTTTAAGATCATTTGACTAACATACATAAAATCTTGTATGTTTATATGACTTGCAATTTAATTTTAATAAAAATGTTGTCTCTGTATTTAATATATCTGAGGTCTGTATGACCTCCGTAGAAAAGGGAAAGGGTTAAAAAAAACCTCAAAAAGGCCTACCGAAGAATTTTTGCCCAACGTTTACCAGGGCAATATGACTTCGGTAGAGATTAAAAATCTTACTGCGCATGTCCATATTTCTAACATGCGCAAATCAGAACTGCTTATAAGTTATTTGTAGAGACCCAACCTCTTGATACTAACATCTCTTCTTGATTTTTTAATAACACTACAAATTTTGCGCGCAATAGCAATAAAACGGCTCCGTTAATTTTTAAATAGAACAAGGGATGTTTTAATCATCATCTTGATTTTATTGAAATATAACAATTTTGTTATTTAAGATACAGAGTATCTGTAAAATAAATTATAAGTTTTGTTTTTTACAAGTATGAATAGTTCACATGGATATATACATTATAAATATGCAACAGAATACTTATTTGTGAAAGCCTAAAAATCCTTATATGTAGAATCATTATTTCATACACGCTATTTACATACAAATTATAATTTAAAACAGCACATGAAGAACATGCTGCTTTGTACTTAACTACTGAATATTCTATTTACTTATTAAAAGTTTTGACAATCTAAAGCTACGTCTTAATCTAAACAAACAAATAAAATTGGAGTGTCTGTTAACTGTAACATTAAAATAAACGCTTTTTACTAAATGCATATGAATGTGTACACGGTACACATACCAAAACAACGTTTAAAAAAAATGGTCAGTCTGTCAGTCTGTCTGTTTGTTCCGGCTAATCTCGGGAACGGCTAGACCGATTTTCACGGAACTTTCACTGATAGATAGCTGATGTAATAGGGAGTAACATAGGTTACTTTTATTTTCGCTCAAGTGCGAGTCGGACGCGCGCACGAAGGATTCTCTGAAACGGCTAGAGAAATAAATATGTATGAATATAATAAAATATTTCTGTAATTTAAAAGATCTAAAAAAACGTCCGCGACTCTATATTTATATATATATTCATTTATACGTTATTTAACAAGGTTATTGCAAAACTTTATTCTGGACGGGACTTTAAAAATATATTTAAAATTACATGACATCTCAAAAAAATTAACATCTTATTAAAAAGGGATGATAAAGGAGTTTTTATATAATCTATAATGGTCTTAGGTCATCTCAGAGTAAGCGAATAAAATACCCCGCAGAGATTTATTAACGGTTCTGTTTGCGGATGTGAAATTATACCCGCACCTACACCAGGATATGAGGTTTTGAAAGATGTCTATTCGCGCATGCGCCGTATGTACGAAATAGCACACACGTAGGCTATATAGAACAAAGACTTTCTCCACTATAGTATAGATATAGGCGATTAAAGGAACCCTAAATAAAGCCTAGATAAACTAGGAAACTCAGTGGGCGGAAGAGGCATTTTATCAGGGTGATATGACTTTCAAGACGGTAGAACGATGATCGACATACATAGTTATAAAATATTGCGCCCCACAAAGTGAGACAACGCCAAATAATATAAAACTATAAAACAAAAATATAAAACATTTGTTTTTATTTATTCATTTATTTTTAATCTGTCTATAGTTTACGCGAGTAGTACACATTTAATAAAAACGTTAGGGGTTTAAAACGCGATATGCAAAGAGTGATCATTGTAAATGCAACAGATCACTCGTTGCGATATAACTTAATATTTAAAATAAATCCTACTATGAACAACCGTTATGTTTATTTTGTGTTAATGATGGTATGTGGACGGTTAGATAATAATACACTAATATTTTATGTACATACTACTAATATTATTCGAATCTAGAAAGAAAATATGAAAATAAAAAAGATTTAGCTCGAGGTAGACAATTGATTTATAATACCACGTAAGTAAAGCAAACATAGTTCAACATGGGCATGCATTTACACCAAACCTAAAAAAGGTCAACGTAAGTGAGCTTTGGAGTAGAATTTCTTTATTTAATTTCGCTAAATTCAATAATAACCCAAATGCAAGCGCAGGCTTTTGTTTCCAGTTATTCCCGTACATATTGATAATAAAATAAAATTATAATTACTAAAAGACGAATTTTAACTTAGGTGGTTATTCTTTTTTTAAATAGAAAATAAATGTGATGTGGCTAACAGTGCTGTGACCAATATGGCGGCAAAGCACTGGTCGTATTTGGTCGAGTTCTTGGATTCAAACTATTTATGGGCCTCCCCTAAATATTAGTGCAAAAATATCGGGACTTTAATAATTAATTGCATTTTACGGGGCCTTGAAAACATTAATATTGTTTAATATAATTTAAAAATCGAAAATAAATTGAAAAAATGTTTGACTGAATGTACTCGTGCTGTTGCTCTACCAATTGAGCTACCGAGTTCGTAGAGCAATAGCACGGAACGCTGACGATGCCGGTTCAAGTCCTGCCCGAGTCGAACATTTTTTTTCAATTTATTCTCGATTTTAAATTAAAAAATAGGTTCTCAATGCGAATTGTATATACGCTTTTTTATGTAACACATTTGATAATTACAAAAGAAAATATACAATCTTTGGCTACAAAAGCTTTTAAAAGAGCCCTGTGTCTTAGAAAACGACTACTTTGTTATTAGTTTACCTAGAGTGTCCGAATCTTGTGAGAACTGCTTAATGATAAGATCCAAAGCTCGCCTGGTAACTCTGATAAGAACATCAATCACTTTACGACTGTAATAGCGACGCATTTCGCTCACTGCGTTTTTCACCATCTCCTACAAACACAAGACGTATACTTAATACGATAATAAAGGCACAGGACAAATTTGCATTTATATTTAACATTTTTATCTATGCTAATATTATAAAACTAACGAGATTGTTTGTTTGTTATGTAGCGCCAATCTCAGGAACTCCTGGTTAGAATTGAACAAGTTCTTCTTCTTCAATTCTTTTGTGTTGGTTAGAGCATTTATCAAGAAACGCCTAAGGCCTATAACATCACGCTGCGAGCCTTCGGCACAAAGATACTATGGGAAATGATTAATTTTTGAGCGTTTCCTTTGTGTCCGCTGCGAAACGGTTCAAGATATCCCAAAATGTGTATGTTGTATAAATACAAAGAGATCTTTAAAACGATCGAAAGAATAAGTTTGATCTGTCTACAAGTATACGATAAACTCAGGAAGTATTGTACGAATTATCTGTGGATTTCACTAATCTATGAAACAGAGCTTAGGGAAACGTTTAGACTCTGTTAATGTGAATCGGCACGAGCAATAAGATTGGTAAATAATCTCTGTTTTCAAAGAATATACCTGCATGCTCTTGGAAAGACCACCAGCTGGTATGGACAATAGTCTATGTGGACTTTCAAAACATTCCCAAACGGCGGACCAATCTTGCTGTCCACTACTTGTTGACTCATTGAGTGTAGACACCGTAGCACTGCCTTGTGCATCATCTAAAGGGTATAAAATAATATAATATATTTGCCTTGCTATCTTATAAGTCATTAATAAATCAATATAAAAATAGTCATGATCGCATAAAAAATTATAGTATCAAACATTTGCTTAAAAGAAATGCAAGAAGAAATAGTATGCAGAATAATTCACTTGATGGTAGGTAAAATACTTGGGCCATTTAAAGTCTAAAATTATCTTACCTTCGGTGATAAGAAATTCAAAGTCTGGATTAATTTCGGCCGGTTTGATCTGTTGAGCTGCTTTCTTTACGAGGTCTAAAACCTCCTCCACTGCTTCTTCCACCATAATGCTCTTGCGATTTAATTCGACACAAGCGTTTCTACAAGTATATATCAAAGTATGTAGTATATACTAATAGTATAAAGTAGAAGAGTTTGTTTTAACGCTATATTTCTTGAATATACTATTAAACATAAGGCAACATGGAAAAACGGGGGAAACTCTCTCTAAAACTCTCTAAAATATTCATTTTAGAGAGTTAGGAGAGAAATCCAAAAATATAAATGAATAAATTATTCTTATTTCAATAACAAAAAAAAGTCCGCGACAGTATATCTATCTTTTAAGATTTACTCACAAGAACTATTTATATGGTAATAGGAAATACATCATATGGAAAAGTAACGTTTGCCAAATCAGCTAGAGGTTTATTAATTTTGAGTAAACATGTGAGTGAATAAAAATAATATTTAAATGTTAGATAGCTCAAGTTCACTTACCGACAATTAGTCTCAACAAACTCGATAAATTCGTCAACAGCCCACGGAGTTTCATCTGGAAGAGATTTATAATTTAAAATACGTCAATAATTTTATATCTAATAGAGTCTCTACATATACATATGGTTTAAATATATTTATATATATAAACCAGAATTTACATTAAGATCACTAACAATTATGTTGAGGTCACGAATCACCCTCCAAAGACGAAAAAACCGTGAAATTTAATCGCGTTTCGGCTTCAGTCAGTAGATTTCCGAATATCCATTACAATCCAAAATAGATCGACAGTACATCTTGTTTAGATGTTATATGGCAGGGGTATATCACCTTTCATCACGCGAACTCCATACTTGTCTGTATTATCTATATTCTAGCACAAAAATAATAACGGTATTTAAATACTCTAGACTAGAATTCATCCGATTCAGGATTTGAACTCGGGACTTAGTTTTCTGCAGTCCAATGTCCTTTTAGCCATGTATATTTAAGTTACTTAGATTTATATAAATACAATATTTTAATGTCTTGATATACATTAATTTACCTGGCAAAGTTATTAGAGTCACATCTTGCATACCAGACAACACATATATAATTCTATTCGTATATATATCATGCACTCTCGTAACAAGGACGTCAAAGCTATTGATGGCTGCGTTGGCTCTGTCCACGAACTCTTTCCAGTCCTCGCTAGTCCAAGTAACCGAGCGAAGACCAGGGAGCAAGAGCGAGGACAGTCGCACCACTTGTGGTAACAGAAGCGGGCGTACTTCCAATTTAACCTGACGGACACTCCGCAGGTAATCTTCGAGCAAGAACTAGAAGGAGCGAAAATATTTGAAAACTATTTTTCACATGTTGCACAAGAAGGCACTATATGAATTAAAAATCGATTTTAGATTGGAAAAAAATACGGCATCAATAATCCCTGCTACTACAATAGAGCTACATATATGGCTAGTAACCTAATTGCAATTTTATGACTTAAGTTATTTATATTTTCATAGTTCAATATGTTCATCTACAAGAGCCCAGTGACTGAAAATTGTTAAAATAATTATTACGCAAACAATAGTACAAATTAATGTCATGTTTGTTAATAGGCCACTCTGCCTCTAGCAGCCTCATATATACACGCACCTCTCTTTTACTCGTTTCTTACCTGTAGTGAATCATTCACAAGTGTAAAGTAATTCTTCTTGGCGTACAACGAGTGACACAGGATAGGAAGATCCACACCCATCTTAATCAGACAGTCTGATTCGCGGATTAGCAATTTAATAGTATGGTCCAGGTTTACACCTAATTGTCCAGTATCATCGATTTTCAGTAAAGTATTGTTCAAACTGTCATCAACATCCCACAGCTATAAAGATAAATATATTAAAATATCAGGTGTTAATAAGAACGTATTATCTATATCTATACTACTATATAAAGCTGAAGAGTTTGTTTGCTTTTATGGTTGTTTGTTTGAACGCGCTAATGTCAGGAATTGATAAATTTATTTGTGTTGGTTATAGTATTTATCAAGGAAGATTATAGGCTATAAAACATAGCGTTGTGACTAAGAGAGGCGAAGATAGATTAATTAAAAACATCGGATGCCGTTTATTATTTAAAAAAAAAAAACGTTTTTATTAAAGTCAAATCCTATTAACCCTTTTTTTTTTAATTGATGATGTGAATGCCTAATGCACGCCCACGTCGGGCAAAAGTAGCGTGGGGAGTGTGGTAAATCGTATAGCCGACCAGAACCACTAAACACACCACCAGCCCTATACGGTGCTTTGAGGGAGCCCGGGGAAAATCCTATTTAACCTAAGGATAATAAAAGCAAACGTCACATAAAACAAGAATGGAATTGATTATTGATTATAGACGAGAATAGTATATTTTTATGATAGAGTAGGACAGACATGCTTGAGGTTCAATTGATTGAGGTCATACCCCATGTAACATCTGAATAAGATGCACTGTCGATCTATTTCGGCTTTGGATAGTTGGAAATCTATAAACTGACGGCTTTTTAATCTGATGACGGTGACGATGACGGATTTTCGAGATTCCTGTGTGTGAAATCCCGTTACCCCCTCGTGGGGCATGGGGCGAACACATTTCTGCGTCCAATTCACTGATCAATTTTTTTTTAACAGGCAAGTAGTTGATCAGACTTCTGTGTCCTACCCGACTGGAACTAATTTTTTTGTTCCTCTGGGATTCGAACCCGGGACCTCTTGCGCACAACGCAATGCTAGGCAATTTTTAACCATTTGGTTACAGAGGCGGTCAGCGGTGGTTTCGATATTCCTACCACCCAATAAATGTCCAGATATCCGCACAAAGTCCAACATATTTTACAAAAAGTATTGGATGGGTTCAATCCTCACCGGGCCCGACATTTTTTTTATCAATTTATATATTTCTTTAAACATGTTGATTATTAGCAATACATCGCTACCGTTACACCAACGACCACGAACTTACATTTTGATTCATCCATACAGCGCTCATAGTTGTTTCATAGTTGTGTATGAGAGTTTTGGTGGCCTGGTACTTGCGCAACATATCCGCAGCTGCTGGAAGCGCTCGCAGGACGGGGTGGGCGCATACACTCTCAACAGTTTCCGTCATGTTGTACATCAAACAACGCGCCCACTTTATACGGCCTATTAATAAAAATCGTATCGTAAAATAATATCGTATCGTAATCGTATAAACCGATCGCCTGTAAGTGTGACACACGTCGAGCAGACTTTTTTATTTCATCAAAATCGCTTGAAGACTGTGTGCTAAAATTTTAATAGTAGCCGAAGAAAAATTAAGAAAGTGCACCTATATAACATCTATTAGATCTTAACCTCATGTAACAGTAACGTTCGTAGTGTCTAACAATTTTAAATGAAACACTTTAACGGTTTAAAACGCGATATATACTTAGTTAAACTTTTTTTAAATATTTTAACTACGGCCGACGTTTCGGATGCTTTGCAGCAGGGGGACGAGGTGTCTCCCCCAACGTGCTTAATAAGTTAAATAATATTTATCGCTTCTAAATTTAGTGTTTTATTTAAACGTGCGTATGTTCGATTCTTATTGGATCCAGAATATTTGTAAATTATTAACACACATTAGGTAATTCAAGGGATTTTCAATGTTAACGTATGCACGCATTTTTAGAACAATTATATTCGTGTAAAATACTACTTAACTTTTGTCAATAAAACAAAAATTCGTTCACCCTATAGCTTTAATTTTCTACCTAATTAATGAATGAAGTAAGACGAAAATAATGCTGCTGCGGCGTTCGGTCCCGAGATGCGGGTATTTCAACTCGTCCCTGGTCCGTTGAAGTACTAGGGACACATAAACGATTGAGAGGGAACTGGTCCGGTGGAAGCGCGAAAATCTCCAAACCACAACTGCGCAAGTACACGTACAGTATGACGTAACCAGCCAACGACGCGCCAACAAATACTAGGCGAAAAGAAGCTATGAAGAGTTCGCTGTGGATTGTTTTGTGTGCATTGTCATATTTAGTATTTACGTCTGATGGCCGAACCTATACGCACTGTTAATAAAAAACAAATCAATTTAAGTCGATTTTTTTTAATCGCGCATGAGTCTTTGAAATTTGCACCTTTTATAATGTAAATTGTTATAGCAACCAGCACTCCGTAGCCATCATTGACTGTTATTCGTTGTAGTGTGTGTAATTTTATGTTTTTTGTTAATAAGAAAAAAGTTCTTCCTAAACTACAAGACCTATTTTAATGAAATTTTGCAAATAACCTTGGAACTCATCAAGCCACTTTCTATTCAATTTGATAAGTATGACAGCAACTTGTATATATATTTCGATTGTAACAAATAAGAAAAATATTATAATATTCTATTTGTTTGTACACTCTTAACGCATTTCTCCTTAGCAAAAGGACTTTTCAGTAAATAATCACGTCATTAAAACAATGTCGAAATCAAGACATTAAAACAAGATCGCTTCCTAAATTAATTAAAAATTATATATTTATGCATAATTAATGAAATAGCCCGAATGGGGTCATTCTATCCCCCGCGGCGATTAGGACTGACTCTTCCATCTTAACTAACTTTACAAACACATACCTGCGACAGGTGAATAATTCCTAGGCAACGGCGGATCTTCCTTTTGTCTCTTAAACATTTTCATAATTTTGTCCACTTCCTTTTCACTGTACTTCAGTACTCGGCTGTATTTCTCGCTGAGTTTTGTTATTTGTATTTTTTGACTGACCTATATTTTAAAAAATAGAGCGTTAGAGCAACACTTCTGTGGGAAAACAGGATTTCATTTAGCACTGTACAAAAATTGAACAATACCTTTTCGAATCTTGTCAAAAACTTTATCCCCTGCGGGGTTTCCCAGACGCTGGCAAAGTTAATTTCTATCGTGTTACCGATCGACTCCCGTAAAGCGTCGGTTTTGTCTTGAAATGCTTGGTAATCCTTGTCGAATTCATTATTGCGATAATCTAAGTAATCGTATTGGCATGTGGTCACTGCCTTCTTAGCCTCTTCAAAAGCATGCATTGCGTCCTCGAGATCTAAGTAATATTAACAATATATAATTACTGGTTTTATTTAAATCTATTTATGTACAACAGATGGGCATATAAGTCATTTCTCTTATAACTCTCACTGCTCTAGCACAAATCAGCAAAGAGGCAAGAAGATCAATAACCTACTTTATTGGTTGCAAGGCTAATAACTATCGGGCTGTGTGTTCGATTCCCGACGGGTTCAATGTTTATGTAGATAATTTTTTATAATTCGTCATGCTAATTCTCGTCGGAAAATGTTGGACTGGTCGATTTCTGAGTATCCAAAATCAACATACATCGAATGCACATCCTTAATCCTTCCTAATATTATAAATGCGAAAGTAACTCTGTCTGTCTGTTACTCTATCACGCCAAAACTACTGAACGGATTCGAATGAAATTTACACAGATGGTCTAGACCCTGAGAAAGGACATAGGCTTTTTATTGCGAAAAGGGGGTTGTAAGGGGTTAAAATGGGGGGTGAAAGTTTGTATGTAAATTCGTGCTTTACGAAGCTAGAACAATGAAACTGGGAGTTAGAGTAGGAGTGATGTGAGGAGTGTTGAAGATTAGATTGGCTGCGATAAATGCGCAATTACATAAATTAATAAACAGCCTAAATAATTAAAAATTCTACCCCAAGTCACTATTCCACGCGAACGAAGTCGCGGGCACAGCTAGTAAAATTATAACAGACTTTTTTCCTTTTTAGGAGGAGACAAGTATGAGGTATTTCATACCCCCTTACTAACCCCATACTAACCTAAACGGCGCCCAACCTATTTTGGATTTGGATATATAGATGTCGCTGTTAAGAAATATAAACATAATTTACCTACCTTCACCTAACAGTAGACCCTCCATACGCTTCTCAAAGAGATGGTTGTAATCATCTATCAAGTCGAACATTGTAATGATTTTATTCAGACGCTTACAAAACGTATCGAATTTTCCAAACACATAGTTTTCGGAAAAGCTAAACTGCTCCGTGTTGGGTAGGAACGGCTGATTCTTAACAAAGAGGTAAGTGTCCCTGTAGGTTTTATTTAAGTTAATGCAATGCATCAGTTTGTTACGGACGAGGTCGCGTTCCTGGGACCAGATTGTTTCTTTAAATCGGCATGTTATGTATTGCTTGCATGTTTCGATCATTTGATTTGTAATCTAAAAAACAAATACATTACGAAGGTCATCAAGGTCAAATTGATTCATGTATACGAATCTGGCCTTCTTTTTTTGAAGTCGGCTAAGAAATTAAAATGGTTTTAAACGTGAAATATTTTAGTTATTTCTAATTATAATAGTTAACGCATTATTAAAGGCATAAAATACGGCTTTAAAAATTTAGCTACCGTGTCTTTTGTGTACAACTGTATGGAATGATACTGTATTAAACGACTTCAAAAAAGTCATTTATATGTTTTTAGGTGTTTGTTCGGCCATATCTTTGTTGATATGAACCGATTTTGATGACTCTTTTTTTTATTGAAAAGTTGTTTCTAACATGAATTCAAAGTTATATTATAATAAAAGACTATACCTCGCTTTAGCTAGATACTAAGTAAATTTCAATCAATGTTTAGTTTACAATTTAACTCTATCAATTTTGTTAAAAACTATTTTAATAATCCATATAATGAACATGAAGATATTTTTAAGTTAACTTTCTGAAGATCTTACCTTGACCATTAGAGAAGATATTCTTTCCGATGTGTTGTAAAATTGCGATACGCTGTGAATCAGTCGGACTGTCTGTAGCAGACTCAGTATAGAATCTTTGATCTTGACAGGATCATCCAGATACAAAGAATGACAACACTTCTCCATCGCTTGTACGAATTTTGCATTATCTTTGGCCTCATTGTAACAGAAGGTGATTTTGTGGTCTGTGTCGCGCCAGAACTTGATAACTTTTGAATTGGCTAATTGAAGACATGTTAGCGTTAGCTGAACTTCATGATCCTAAAAAAATCACAGTACTCATCAATCAGTGTATAATATGTTAATTTAATGATTTTTATAAAAAATGAAATAAAATGAAAAATATCAATGATGATATCCAGTATGTAGTCCGTAAATAAAAACACCTACTTGTAGATACGATACTAGCTGAGAAAACTGTGCCCCCCCTTTTCTTCCAGTATTCGAGTTCGTCTTGCGGCCCACTTGAGTCCACTTCACGCCGCAGTTGTTCACTTTCACTAAGGATCTATCAATTATATTGAACAATGATTGATATTGATGATGAAGCTAATCGTGGCCACAGAGGCACTAAGGCACAAAAGACAATATAGCATGTTTCGAAACGATACGACGGAAAGAATAGACTACTTAAACTAAACCAGTAGAGCAATAAGTTGATCTAGAGGTTAACGAACTTCGCTAAAGTAAGTATAAAAAGTCTCCTAATTATCAAATTGCTTTTATAAACTTTAAAATATTTCACAAAATAAATTGAAAAAAAAATCGATTTGGGTAGGATTTAATACGCAACTGTTAAGGTTGAAATTATATTGCGCGGGAGTTGCTTGTAACAATAGGTTAAAAAAAACTGACGAAGAGGTGTAGGATTCGGTTAAAAAAAACTGACGAAGAGGTGTAGGATTCGGTAGCTCAATTGGTTAGAGCAACAGCAGCATGCCTGACCGAGTCGAAAATTTGTTCAATTTATTTTCCCGTTTTATCGTTTTTTTTCTTTCCACCATTTAAACTTCAATACACAATACAGTTTACCTCCATAATCTTTTTAATCCACTCATTAACTCGTTCCTCCAACATCGTTACTGTGTTGGGATTTTTCGTCATTTCCTTCAGTTCTGTGTGATCTTGTAACTTAGACATCAATACTTGCCCGTCATCAAATAGATTCACTTGGTTACAGACATCTTCACATACTGTAAACGATACAATTATTATTTATTTAAATATATTCAATTAAAAATAACACTTTAAGGGTATAAAACGCGAAATAGTTTGTTTTCTTTTTTCATCGTCTTTCTGGCTGTGCGGCCGATGTGAGCGAGAAGAGGTTCTCGAAGTTTCGCCATCACGAGGAGATGTTAACTCCTCGATTGCTCGAAGAATTAGGATTTAATTTGTTAAAAGAACCCGAAAATCTGAACGATGGCCGTGACAGCCTTACACAATTTGTTAGTTTTTTTTATTTGTAATATCTATAAATAATAAAAATAACAAATTGTGTAAGGCTTTTTTAAGGTACATAACTGGAATATATTTAAAACTGGTAAAAGTGTTGATTTAGTAAGTTATTTGCAAGTACAGATGCTTATACAAATGAGTTACGGAGTTGTGACAAAAGGAATCCTAAAGACCACTGTAATGCGACCTATGTTAAAAACATACTTATCTTAGAGAAGATTCTCATTATTTGACGGGAGTCCAGAGTTGCCTGAAAATTATGACTGAGCCTTTATAACTCAATTCGTCTAGCATTGCGTTAAGCACGATAGGTTGTTGGTTTACACTTTCGGTCTAGGGCACAGAAAACTGATCAATTAAATCATAAAATTGCTCAGAGACACAAAAACATCGTCTGATGATAAAAGGTGTTTAACTTATGACAGACCTTTCAGAGCACTGCAGAAAGACCTCAAACCAGGTAGTAGCTGATTCTTAACTATGGGGAACCTGGTCTCGTCCTCATCGCCGTCCGTACTGGGGTGAGCTAATGCGTTCATATATACATGTTCCATAACCCGCTCTATAGCAGTAACAAGACCTACTTGTTCAGCGTTTAGAACACCACAAAACCTGGAGAAATAGCCTATGAATGTAACATTCTTCTATATTTCTTTTTTATGGATAATTAATTAAAGTGAGGTAAGCTACTCGTTGTTCTAAGATACAGTGCACTCGACCTGAGGTCCCATGTTTGACAAGGACAATTAAGAATACATATTCTGCTACATAGCAGGAATGTAAAGAGAAGAACACAAAATAAGAGAGACAAACGAGGAATAATGGAGGGAGGCTATGTTTTAAGGCAAACAGAGACAGAAACTGTATAAAGAGTTAATAGCAATTTTAATAAACACTTTTAATGGTTTAAAACGCAAAATATATTTTTTAACATGTTCACAATTTATTTTGACTACGATCACGGGGAGACCATGGCAGCTGTAAAGCATCTAAAACGTCGGGCCGTAGTTAAAAGAAAAGCATGTTAACTAACATATCTGCCGTTCTATAGAGTTTAAAGTGCGTTAAATTTATACTACGCATGTAAACTTCAGTCAATAGAAATAAGTCAAAATTCACAGTTTTAAAAACACCATTGACCAATTCATATTGTAAAATAATTTTAAGAACCAACCATTTATTTGTGATGTTAATTTTACACTGTAAAGAAGCAGAAACAAAATACAATCGATGGACGTAAAACAATGAGCTTGAGATTTATGAAGTATTTCATAAATCACAAGTAATATTACTCTATTAAAATACTTACAAGTCTTTATGAAAGCCTTCTTCTGGTAACTGCTTGCTAACATTTATCCGGAACATATAAATACATACACCGGTAAACTTAACATCCCATCCGTCTGATAAGAATAGTTTCTTCTTAAGTGTCACTTGTGGGGGTGGTTGTTTCCCCTGGCCTTGTTGCCTTGGTTTCGTACTCTCGGGTTGCGGCCTCGCTTCTATCTCTTCTACATCTTGATAGTACCAGAGTAGCTTATTCCTCATGTGCGGGAGGAACAGTTGGTTAATGTCATCTAACTAGAAGCACAGGAATTGTATTTATTCAGAATACAGACTTATCATTATGAGAATTTTAATTTTATGAAGCTGACTTTATTCTAACGGAACTCAGCTTTACCTTTGCATTGTTATTGTTCATCAGAGCCCGTTTTCATCAGAAAATACTATATCTTTGAATAAACTAGCTGGGACGGCGACTTGGTCCGCGTTGAATTTTGCATCATGTCAGCTTTATAAATCATGACTGTTACCCATGACGTCGTCCGCGAGCATTTTTTTTTAAACCGTTTTCATAACGCACGCAACGGTAAGATTCAAAGATAAATAATTTCCCCGTTTTAACCACATTTTATTTCTGAGTCTTCGCTGGTATTAGTCGCAGCCTGATGTTTATAGCCTTAAGAGACTAAAAGGATTATTTACCATATTCCCTTCAAAAACATGATCCATGATAGCATGTCTTGGTAGACCGGTTCCATCTATGAGCAGCTGGAAGGTGAACTCCAGCCGGGGGTCCATTTCCCCCCTCCTTGCTTTTCGCTCGCATTCTTCCCGCCGTTTCTATAAAAGAAACCGATCTGTGTAAAAACTTTTACTTAATTTAAAACTGTATTGACTTGCTTATACATCACGTAACACTTCCGTCCAAATTTGTTATAAATAAATTTGTTATTACTGAGACGAAAATAAGTAGACATCATTTTCGTATATTTTGATTATACATAAAACTACTGTAACAAGATCTATATTTACTAAAAGTTCTTAGAATCTTGAATTACAGATGTTTTTAGAATGATACCTTCCTTTTAAATAATTTAAAAGCAAGATTATAGTTCAAATTTAATAGTTTTCTAAGCAACAACGACCATTGCAGCGGTGGTCTAAAAATAACTTTTTACATTTACACGACCTGCAGAATATCCATAACATCTTCCTCTTCTTCTTCCTCACTTGAACCAGGCCTAATACCGTGAACAAACATTTTTTGTTATTTGAAAATGTATTATATGAAAATTGTTATTATCAACGTTCGTCAACGTGACGACGTCTGCTAGCGGTGTTGTACTATTCCAAAACTTAGTGGAATCTATTGAAATATGTAAATTAATGTAGAAGTGACAGGGCGTCATTAGTTGGGAGACAGTGGGCGTTTGCGATACGATCTAAAGCACGCGACAATTAGATTGCTAAAACAGAATTACGTTACAAAATGATAATTTCTATATATTTCTTCAAAAAAATCAACCTTTGCTGAAAAGTTTGTTTGTTTGTTTAAAAGTGCTAATGTCAGGAATTACGGGTTCGAATTAAAAAAATCTCTTTGTGTTGGTTAGAGCGTCGCCCTGTGGCTAATACAAGCAAAAATACAGCGGGATATATGAACAAAACGGAGAATTTTTCTATGTAAAAATATGTATACCCAAAAAAGATTTCTCAATAAATTATCTAAAAAAAAGTCCTCGGCGTTAATGTATCTTTTAAGATGACCTTGCAAGAACGACGGGAAGGGACTCGACCGACGTTGTGGGTGTTACCCACTTAAGTTTTTGTAGATTTGGAAATGTTTGCCCGAATTTAGATGCCCAAAATAACGATTCTCGCGGACGAAGTCGCTGACACAGCTAGTCATTCAAAAAAGGTGAAATCCTGTTCGCGAGTTATAAGGCGAATTAATTTTTATGTCCATTTCACTTATCAATTCTTTTATATTCAAATTGATTAGAGTTCTGTGGCCCGCCCAAAACTATCTACAGTATATCAAGGATTCGAACCTAGGATCATTCGCGCTTAACGCAATAATAGGCAACACGGTTAAACATTTTGCTACTAAGGCGGTTTGTTATACATACAATTTGTAATTATTTTTTTAATTGCCTAGTAGCAACTAAGTACTTGAAAGCAACGGTTTGTGTCTTAAGAAACATAAAATACACTTATAAATATTGACATTGTGTTCAAATAATTAAAAAAATGCGTCACTATGTCTATCTTCTAAGATCTATTCACAAGAACCGTTTTTATGGTAATCAGTTTTCGTCTAAATACATCATATTATGGCAAAAGAGCTATTATGAAACTATACGTAATACTAAGCACTAGTATTCAGTGAAACAATCTGAAACAAGCATTTAATAACGGATTTAATATACTCACAAAATTGCTTATGATCCTACCGACTAGAGACATATCCATCTTATAGGATTCAATTACTCCTAACAGGAAAAACAAAAGACAATCCAATAGCCGGCAACTTAATGTGCCACCTTCATAATGTTCAACTTCATAACATCGGAAAAGCAAAACTAAGCTTCCGTGCTGTTTTTCATTTCAGCGAACACCGTTGGATGCGTGCAAAAGAGATCCGGGGACTAACCACAAAGTTGAAGAAATGTATTCACATTTTATGCTCACATGACGACAGATAAGAATCTGACGTGCCTCCAGATGATATAGTGGCATTTCTCACGAATAGACCGTAAAAAACTTACAAAGACAAACCCGAGCTAGACTGCGTAAAATACTTTTGCTCCACCTTATTATCATTTTACATTTCCAGAAAAAGTTATGCAGTATAAGTTAACCTATAAAGTTTACCGGTTTTACGTATTAAATAATAAAGTTCTTTACGTTTCACTTTTAGCACAATTGGATTCTTAATATGGGCAAATACTCAAAAAGACAATTGGCTTAAGTTTCAATTATTTATTTAACTAATTAAGCAGGAAAATTTGTAGCCAAAAGCCACCTCAATAATGTACAAAAAACTAGTCTTGAACTAATTAATTGTAAAACGTTTTAAATAGTAACAATTCTTGTATCAATTTTGAGACTGACGGGCTCGTTTGTCCAATGGTAGCACTGTATTATTAATTGGTTCGACCCATTGTATAAATTGATCAGAAACACACTTAATAGCGTTACGGTTTCAGTTGAAAATCCGATTATCCAAAGCAAAAATAGCGCATCTTATAAAAATTGAAAATAAATTGAAAAAATTTTCGACTTGGGCAGGACTTTTTCAGGACCAATTTAGCAAAATTGGTAGATCAACGCTGACGATGCCGGTTCAAATCCTGCCCGAGTCGAAAATAATTTTCAATTTATTTTCGAATTTTAAATTATATAGTGCCTTCATGTACAACAACACGTAAAAAATAATAAAGTTTTCATAGCGCATCTTGTGTAGACGTTATATGGCTGGGTTGTATCACCTTCCATTAAGTAAGCCCCATGTCCTCCTCTACAATAAAAAAAGATGGGTTGCTACGTGGTTCTACGAAAAGTCTGCTGCATACCTACGCCTTCTCTATAATGGTTTTGTAGGTAATATAATATACATAAGAGGCGACTGTTATATATCCTAATACTATGCAAAATCACTACGTTTTATTTAGTTTAATGTGTTTAAAAAACATTTACAAATTTAGAATTCGTAGGACATAAAAGAAAGTACTATTAGACACCATTTGGTAATGAATTCAAATAAAGAATTTGTTTATTAGACTACGATTTTATAAGTAATGAAGCAAACCTACTAAAGGTTATTTTTATATCAATATGATGATTGTTAAAACGTTTGTCTTACATCAATTATATGTATTACTATTTGAGCACATAAGTTGCTTTAAAAACTTAGAAGCTTTAATTTAACAAGCTTTAAAAATACATACATAACAATTAATGCAGATTCAGATTGTTAATTCAGCACTTAACGAATAACACATTACCTGAACGACATCAGAATCAACCATTCTTATTATATGTTAGTCCGAACCAATTCGACATAGAAACAATTGAATACCGCAATTTTGTTTCCGTGTTCAACACATGTAGTTGACACAGCCCGTGTATTTTTTGACTGAGTCGCAAGTTGATTCGTGTCATTTGTATGATAGCCCATATTCGTTGCTTACATAAAATGTACTGGAAGTAACGTTATAGATTTTATCGGGTTAAGGGGAAATAATGAGATTCGTATGGAAAAATGCCATGTTTATAGACGGTCGTAAACCGTTAAGGTCAGTGCCAAACATGTGTATGATGTCAAAGTTTTTAGTGGAAAATGAGTAAAAAATATTTTGAAGGGCATCGCTTGTCGGTAGTATGGCTAATGGTCATTTTTATTCCCACCAGGTCGAACAATATTTTAATACCATTTTCTAAAACAAGTTAGAGTTCTGGAAATTATGTGAGTGGTAGGCATATTGAGATTCCGCCCAGATCACGAACGGTATTCAATAGATGAAAAAGCTGTAAAACTTAATCGCGTTTCGGTTTGAGCCTGTGGAATTCTGAACTTTTAAAGCCGGCTGCACATCTCGTTTCAGTGGTATATGGCTGTGATATTTCATCGTCTATAAGAGAACCTCAAGCTTGCTTTAATATTACTTTTACCTATCTATTGGAGTAATATCCGCAAGGCACTATAATAATATTCAAATAGGGTTCTAGTTACGATTCTCTATCGTAAACTTTGTATGGAATAAAATACATTGCTATTTGTTATGGCTAAAATATATTTATAGTTACGTACGATTTTGTTTTTGGCTACACACGATATGTGTTAGTTATAACTATGTATTTTATGAAATATATTGCACTTAATACCTGTTTAGATCAATTTCATTATTTTGTGCTGATTTTGTATATGCTTCTTCAAAGAAGCTTATAAGTTATAATTCAAATAAAGAAGGATATTGGAATTTTTAAAAAATATTGTTAGCAACTTAATTCTTTTTTAATTCGGCTGAGTTCTTTCAAATACTTGTAGGTACCTCACTATTGTCTTCCTCGTCGTCCACATAATCGTATTTAATGAATGCATAACGAAGTTGATTCTCAAACAGTTCACGAGCTTCGGCCTTTTCTTTCTTACTTAGTTTTTCCATATTTATAGAAACTAATAGACACGTTCCAATTACTGCTGGACACTTCACTTATATGTATATAAATAATAGTGAATGTTTTTAAACATTTCAAATAAATTTACCAAAATCACTCTCACCTCACCCTGTTTCCACGATAGGTGTAAAACTATTGATAAAACAAGGTGTGAGGTATAGCTGTAGCTATTCTAAAGACACCCCTTTGGCAACGTACGATTCCTACATGTATATAATTATTTAACGAGCTCCTATACCCCAAAAAGCTTCTGATCGAAAGGAAAGATTCGTAGAAATATCAAATGCCTTGGAAATAGATTTTCATATGTTCGTAGCAAAGCAATTCGTCGTTCATTTTTATTAGAGCGCAGATTAAATAGATAACTTTGTTTCAGTCATGTATGTAAATACTTAACGTTGATGATATAAGAGACGATGGTAATCTTGGGGTATGGGCCAAAAATGTTCATGTAAGGCCTGCCTTGTTGTTCTGTTGGTTAGACAAGGATTTGATTCTCAAGATGAGCAAAATGTTAGTACGGTGTATATCAGTCCGTAGTGGGTATTTCTTGTCCTTCGAAGAGCATGTTCAGCTCACTGTAATGAAAACACTAGCTCTGTCAGCGACTTCGACCCTGTAGAATAGTTCTAGCATCATAGTTTTTTTTGCAAAGCTTCTCATCTTAAAAAATTATAGCTGTTACCCAGGACGGCAAGTTAATTTTAAAAGATGTCTATAGTTGACGCGAGTAGTACACATTCAGATAAAACACTTTAACGGTTTAAAACGCGAGCCGTGGTCACGGCTGCTGCAAAGCAGTCCAAAAGGACAGGCCGCAGTTAAAAATCATTTTCAAATGAATTTAACTAATATATCGCGTTTTAAACAGTCAAAGTGTTTTATTTAAAATATAGATATAGGTAGACATTTTCCCTTTTTTCTCATTTCCCACTGTTGTCTTCGCTTTTATTGGTTTTATAACCTAAAGCTTTCCGCAAAACACAAAAAAAATTCTTCAATTCGAACCAGTAGTTCCTGAGATTAGCGCGTTCAAATAAACAAACAAACTCTTTAGCTTTATAATATTAGTATAGATTCGTTAAAGTCCTTTAAGCCATTCTCTTATCTATTTAACGGCAGTATTGTTAGATAATATGCGTCCAGATATTAATAGGCTGAAACGAACTTTGTATTTTCTCATAAGTTTTCTTTTCCATTAAATTTTTCATGAGAAAAAAAGCATTTTTGAGCTATTCCAACTAATTAAAATTATGATAAGCTTAGGAGTTGGATGGAGTCGTTGGTATAATGGTAACAATGTATTTCTAATAATCAACGGGTCGTGGATTCGATCATCACTGAGTACATTTTAGAAATCAATATTATAATTTTTCAGGAAACACCTATTTCATGAAATTTGGGTGGTTTAAGAATATCGATATTCCGTCCGGCGCGGAAACGCTTCAATATACCAAAAAATATGCACTTTAAAAAATCACAAAAAAAACCCCAGTATTTTATGTCTATCTTTTAAGATTTAATTTTTTTTTTTTTTTTTTTTTTTTTTTTTTTTTCACGAACTATCGCCCAGTGTTGAAAATATTGATCCGAAATCTATACTATTATATAAAGCTGAAGAGTTCGTTTGTTTAAACGCGCTCAGGAACTACGCCTTCTTTGAAAATTGAAAAAGATCGAGGAAGGCTGTACGCTACAACAAGAATGCGCAGTGACTATACAAGCGAAGACTGCGAGAAATGTAAAAAATGAAAAAAATATTCATGATATGTGTTTCCGAGGCGTACGCTACAAAAGCGGTTCAAATACCCAAAAAATATGTATGGAAGAATGATTCCACTTTAAATGACATGAAAAAAATCCGCGATATATGTCTATCTTTTAAGATTAACTTGCAAGAACGTCGGGACCCGAACCGACCTACCCACCTACGTCGTGGGTAATAGCTTAAATTTATTAAGATTTAGGTAAAGAGGTTTGCAAAAACAAATTTGATGTCCAAAATAACACTTATTCTACGTGGACGAAGTCGCTGATTCAGCTAGTAGGTACTATAGCAAAATAACGTTTAGTCAGGTCAGCTAGCATTACATAAAGACTTTTAAAAAACCTACGAATGATAAATATGCGGCCTTAATCATACAAAAAAACAATGTAACCGTTTACTAATGCATAAGAAGCACAGCGAAGTTACAGCTGTCGCAATTAGAAGAGTGAAATTTAAACTGCGGTTGTACGTACCCTATTAATTTCCTCCTCAGAAATCATTGTGGAGCTAATAGGGTCTCTGTTAGGCACCAGCTGTTAGTGGTTGCCGTCACGAAAACCTAATTAAAGTACATGTCAACATTACACTAAAAGCGATTATAGTGATCGAAAGGGGAAAATAAGTCAGCCGATGTTATTCGGTGGTAAAAAACAACTGGATTACATTACGTGAACGGTTTAAAAAGAAAAAGAAAGTAAAGGCAAATTAGAAGTAATGCGGTTTATTAATGTTAAAAGTAATTTGTTTGGATGTTTGTCCTGGGCTGGCGTGCGGTCACGCTTCTGGCTGGTACGAGTCGGTACCGCCGTGCTTATTTAAATACCACCGCGGCATCCACTTTTATTGGCCCATTTTAAAGCGAGCGATAGATGATAGAGATAGTTCTGTTTAGTAGCTATGCTCTTGTTCAAGTACAGTATCAAATAAAAGTGTTGTCACTAATTGATTTTAGATTTAAATAAAACACTTTAACGGTTTAAACACGCGATATATTAGTTAAACTTAGACGCGCCGTGGCGGGGAACCCCCGCCTCAAAAAACCCAAAAGGCCGGGCGTCTATTGTTAATTAAAAATGTTGTCACTAATTGATTTTAAAATTTAAATAGTTAAATTTTATTCTACTCGCGTAAATATAGACAGTATTTGATTTTAGATTTTGAAGTGGTAAAATTCACTGGCTTGCAATATTTTAATAAAGTAAAGTATATATATATAGCAATTTAACAAAGAAATACACTTTTAACAGTTCAAAACGCTAAATAAACTTAAATAAAAAACTTATCGTTTTGGTATATTTTATTAAATTAAAAATAAAAAGTCCTGTGTATTTTATTTATTTATTGACTGATTTCTATATAATTTGAGTATAATGCAAATATTTTGCTTACAATTACATATGGGAATGTTTAATGCAATGGTTTATATATTACGATATCTAAATAGTGGTAACTGATATAATACAAGGCATGAACACACATTATGTTGGCTCCGAATTTGTGCACTTCCTTAAGTGGTACAACAATCTACAATAGTTCTATTCTTATCTGACTAAAGATGATAACATTTCTATAATATATTATTATATTATGTACTACACAATAATGATACAGTACCTATAACATATCCACATAATGTATGGTTAATAAAAGGAAGTTGAAATGTTTTAATATATACAAAATTTTCACCTAATTACAGTTAATATGGACATGTACATATTTTATAAAGATATTGAGTTTACTCTGTATATGAAATATAGCTTTAATTTCTGTATTTGCAAATACCTTTAATCGATTACATGCCCCGCTCAGTTAAACATTAGAATGTTAGTAAATATTAAAATGCTAGTGAGACTAACGAAATTAGAATAACTAAAGGACACTACATACAAAAACATGGCAAAAAAACCAAAGATGGTGTTCGTATTAGACAAACGAAAGAAACCAACGAACGATTAAAATATATAAAGTTACATAGACTGTTTTTCACAGATATACATTTAACATAATTCCAATGATTTACAAGCAGTAGCGTAGATTGATGGGCAAGGGCCCCGGTCTACCTATCCTAAGGCTCAAGATCGAATCGGGTACTCATCAGCTCTTTTAGCATAGCCTTAAAGGTAAATGAGCCTCCAAAATTATAAATAGCAACAAGAACGTTAAAAACCATCCCTTTTCTTCTACGCTTATCTCTTCTCAAGAAAGGTTATAATTCGGGGGCCCTGGTGCACTGTACCACCTGGCCCTACGATAGCTACGCCACTGTTTACAAGGCGTCGAAAATGTAATGATTCTCAAGTGGACCACTAATCCAGTTCTGCAGGTGGTATTTCAGTAACTGTTTATGTTATTCCAGTCGTGGAATACTAGATGTGGTTGCTGGTATGGAACATTATATACCGGGCCTTTAATACGTTAAGAATTAAGTAAACCAATTTTAAGGATATAAAACGCGATCTTTATTAATATATTTTTATCTGTTTTTAAATAAAAATGTTAACTAGAATATTTTGCGTCTTATAGCAATAAGTGTTTTATTAAAATGTGTACTACTCGCGTATTCAGACACTACATTTAGCGTGTTGACATACATTATCTAGTTTCGTTAGCTTTACTTAACTCTTCCATTATGGCAAGGAAATATTAGATTTACTACTTTGTTATTTGTATCAGTTACGCAATGTATAAGAATATGTTAGTATATATTTTTTAAACCTTATCAAAAATTATAAGCTACTGTTTTGTAAAATGTATACAAAATATAACTATTATATCTTAGCACTAAATTGACATATTGTTTTGGGAGTAGTATCGAGACCAAGTGTTCTTGGTCTCCGAATTAATATCCTCGCAAATCTTATTATATAATTGATACGTGCACTGCTCTGCAAGAAACAGACATTGATGAAGTGTGTAAGATATAGTTTTCATAATTTCCCTGTTTTATTTTCCTTCCATAATTATTTCTCTGGTAGATGGCGACCTGATGGTCTGTTTTCCTGCAAAGCAGTGTATTAGTTTTTTTCCATTATTTTACCAATATATTAAACTTTAAGAAATAACGTAGTCTTTTTTCCTATACATTAAATTCGCAAGTAAGCACATTTAGTATTTTTTTTTGTTTCTTATTACTCTAAGTAAAAATTGTTGAAACTTCATCAATTGATTTATAAAATGTATTATTTTATAACTCTTAAAATATAATCGAAACGAACTGATTTGCAATTAATATTGTCTTATATATTTTATTCAATAAAAAACCTAAATATTTCAATTAATTCATAGCATCTCTGCGTCTAGCAGAGAAGATATTTAATATAATGTTTACAAATATAACAAATAATAAATTTTATTTGGAACACATCACAGAAAGAGAAGTTTTTGTGCTTTTATTACTGCGCTATAAATAGAAATAGTAACTAAATATTACGATATGATTATCTTTTTGTCATTAATATTTTATACCAAAAAACTTTTAGCACATTCGATTTTTACTCTTTTGTTATTTGTTTTTTCTTAGAACGTAATTATTTTGTATCTTGTTTCTTGTTAAATTATACGAACAACATGACAAGATATAATTATCGTGCATGTTTATTAATATAAAGTACACTAAATTAAAAAAAATGTTTACCGCTTCCGTTGTACTAACTTCTTCAGTCAATTGTCTCTAAACGGGTTTCCTTAGACAAATCAAACTTACATAATGTATATTTCGTTTCAGATAATGTGTGAGAGTAAAAACTTAGGGATTATGTGCTAATATCATAACTAGACAAGAATAATATATTTATTCATATGATTTTCTGTCATTTGAATATAAACAAGTGTCAACTAAAAAAAACTTTCAGGTTAAACAGGTTTATTTTTTGTGCATTGCAAACTACAAAAACATTTAAATTTTGACATAATCATCGTATTTTACTAGTGTATTTCATTTGATATACCCATATTGAGGGGGTTGAGGAAAGATGATACGCATTGTGAATGGCCGCCACTTGGATTTAAGTATTGAATAAATTCCAAATTAAATGTGTATACCAAATTCAATAAATTGAAACGGGTAGGTGCTTAAATTCAATGTCTAAGTTCGACCCGTACATAAATAAATACTGTCGGTGCTAAAAAAGTTTAAAAAATACAGTATTAAAGTACTTAAAATAAGTATTATAAAACTATTACAAAAAATCTTAAAATCCCTAAAATCGTTTTGACTTTTCGTAATAGTAAACATTCTTTTTTTTTCTTTCTAAATTTAGCTTAGTTGATTAAAAACAGAAAGAACATATTTTTTTATCTCCCCTCGTTTAAGATGTCTTTATTAAAAATAATTCAGAAACAAGTATATCACATTTTTTTGCATTTGAATTTTCGAGTTATATCTTTGAAAGGAACGAAAAACCGCAATAGTGTTATAGCCCTTGGAAATACACTTCATATATTATTTTAAAAAATTAACTCTAATTTGACACGAAGATAACCTTCTAAGTGATGACCAGTCTGGGTGTGGGCAGAATATCAGGATGTTCAGCAAACATTAACGCCGTCGTCCACTTAAGCTGGTCGTCTGTTACTGCCCCCGCGATGGTACAGCCAAACCAGGGTCGGTCCTTACCTCTATAAAGAATAACATTACTTTTTTACATCATAGAGGACACCGATATTCACTTATAGAGTAAGACTGTCAGACCGTGATAAAAGAACTGGTACATTTATGTTATCTATCAAATGACAATTTGTTGATATTTTTCCTATGTCAGTTCGATTCCGTGTTTTTCTATTAAAGAGATAGGCCAATTTTAGGCCACAATCGAAGTGGTTTTGAGGATAGTTTGAAAATAATCAACAATTGTGATTCTGGGAGTGCAAGTGAGAGTTAGAGTAGGAGGAGTAATGTGAGGTTGAGAGTGTTGCGGCAAAGAGGCACATACAACATAGATTGGCTGCGATAAACTTCTACCCCAAGTCACTATTCCATGCGAGCGAAATCGCGGGCGCAGCTAGTAGCAAATAAAGGGCTTTTTATTTTATTTTTATTTATGTTCTTAACAGGTTAGGCCTATATGAACCATAAGTATCCATTATGGTCAACTGTGTAGTAAAATATCTAAATATAGTTTATAATACACATGAATCTTATAGACATACCTCTTTTGTTTATTGTTCTTTGGTATAAAGGTGATGGCCCATCTAGATTGTGGATTGCGTTTCGGTTCATGGCCGATGTACCAAAGTATATCTTTAACGTGCCATTCTTCAATTTTATGTGATCCCTGTAAAAGGAGAGACTTTTGACTTTTCCTGTGAAGTACTTGTAGATACCTACATTTTACTTATATAAATTGAAAGACTTTAAGGAAATGTTAACAATATGAATGAGAGGATCGCTTTGGACTCTGGGCATCGTCTATTAGAAAATTATTAAAAGTTCAGGATTTCTCTATTGTTTGTAATATTATAATTACTTTTTTATTGAATAATATTGAAAATACATTCGGCAAAAAATACACGAATGGGCTGAGAGTTTTTATAAAGAGAGGAATGGTATGGTTCAGCCACACCTGGCTTTTGTTTTATTTCTTCGGATAGTGTGAAATTTTTTTTTTATTTCAAGTTGGTATTTCTTATCACTTTTATCGAAAAAAAAAATTACGAAACGGTCAGACGTAACCGTAACGCGTTCACGTCTAGGTTTCGTGGATTTTCTAATCAATTACTTTATTTAATTACCTTTACATCAACTCTCCCAATTAATTTCAACTAAACTTGTTATTAAGTTCTATGTCTTATGTCATTATATAAATTTAACGTAGTTATATCTATTTAGAATTGTGACGAAAGATTTAAAAGTTAGCGATGTGAAAAGTAAACTCTTACCTGTTTATCCTTGAAGTAGCACAATTTACTATTATTGCACTCAAACATGTGCAGTTTGAAAGTTTTTGTCGTTTCGTTTGCGAGCCTCAACTCTCCGCAAACCGCCTTTGAATTTTTCATCCCCTCCATATCATGTAAGATCTTATTATTCTTAATTATCAAATAGTTTTCTTTCCTATCCTCTTCATCCCAATAGCTCCAGCGTAAGACCACGTTCAGGACTATTTCGTCCTTGTGGACGATACGTCGCATCGAATCATTGCATATCACCTCCTCAATCATCATTAAATGTGACTCCATTTGGGCTTTTTCACTAAGCTCTATACATAAATCGGAGCTGGATTTATTTGGTGTTAGCTGTAAAAGATAGTTTAAAGTTAACACGTGTAGATATGTGAAATATAAAAGACTAGTGAAAGATACCGAATTTTACTTGGTGGTAGGTAAAATACGTCATATGCCTATAGCATCTAAACGAGATGCGCTATTCTATTTTGACTTTGGATATCTGGAAATTCACAGACTGAAGCCGACACGTAATTAAACTTAAAATTGATTCAGAAAGCTGATTATTATTAGCCAACAAGCGCGTCATTTAGTTACGAACGTGTGTCAGATATCTGTCAAAATTGTATTATTGGAGAGAAAATTTAAAGGAACTATTGAGTGTTGTGTTTTTGTAAGCGTGTATGTAGCTCGGAGCCAGCGTGAGTCGGCAGTAGATAATGTGATTGTAATGGGCTATTTGACTTTTAAAATGTATTATTTGGTAGGGAATTATTTTTCGATTCTGATATATATTTGCTGAAGTATATATAAAATTACAAAATCCAACATTTATTTTTTAATGCAGAGAGTAGAACAGGTTACACTAGGAAACAAAGTGATTTAGCGCTGTTTATAAGAGAGTGACGTTGTCCATACACCCGACCAATCAGGAGCGTTTTGTGTCACGTGACAAATGTGCAAAAGGTCAATTTTCATTTGCGGTTTTTTATTTAAATCAATTATTATTTTAACATATGTGACTGTTTTACTACTTCTAAACTTATACTTTATACTGATAACAGTAATTGACGCTATATACTTCGCGTTGTCACTTACCGCTACATGATGGCAAGTATTTCGATCATTGATATAGATCCAAGCTCGTAGATCACCAGCGGCCTTTGGCGGCGCAGGCGCAGTGTTGCTTAGAACGCGCATCAACACGCGCCTTATCGCCGCTTCTCGCCTGATTTCAGTTTCCGTTGGTTCCCATATTGCTTCAAAATTTGCTATTAAATCGCGCACTACATACTGCTCTTTGGCTGACCACGCTGTTTGTAGCGTTTGGCTTGTCTAAAAACAATATCAACTGATTTAAAAACAATAGGTCCCCCGTGACCACGGCTGCTTCAAGGTTGTTTTAAACATCTAAAAGCTTTGTTTAGATGTTGACGATGGACAATGATAGTAATATATAATTAACAGAAAAAGTTGTAGTAACTTAATAAAGTAAATAAAACTTAAATGAGAGAAATGGGGGAAAAAGGGGGACTTTGTGCCAAAAGATATTAGGCTCAGCTTATAAAGATTTTCAGTTACTCGCTCATCAGAAATCAATAAGTAACGTGGTAAAATTTAGGACATATAAAATATACTTTAACAAGGATTGCTCTTACCAATTTAAATAAAACACTTTAACCGTTTAAAACTCGAAATATCAAAGCTGCTAAGCATCCGAAACATCGGGCCATAGTTAAAAATAATTCGGAAATAGGCGTTACTGATATATTTCGCGATAATTGAACGTTATAACATTCAATTGTTTAATTTAAATGTGTACTACTCGCGTAAACTAGTCAGTATTAGCTCTTACCAAGGCGGCCGGCATAATCGTAGGTGCCCAAATGGAAGCGAGATTCTCACAATTCATCTTGTTAGCGTGGGACATAGTGTGCAAAAAGTGCAAATGTGCGAATAGCTTGCGAGCCGTATTACAAGCGACTAGGGGTAGTCCGTTCATAATCTTTCTATATTCGGTGTTACGTTCCTTCGAGTCCTTTATATCTGCAACCAAGTAACGTAAAGCTACAAAAAACCTAATCACGTGAAAAGTATTGATATTGTATTGGGGAATCGTTCTTTTTAAACTAAACTAACACAATTATGATATGGGATATTTCCGAATATAAGAAAAACTAACGCGCTAGACTCAGCACAACTGATTTGAATAGAAAAATCATTTTGTATTTGTTAGAACATTTATCGAGGAAAGCTTTAGGCTATAAAACATTACGATGCGATACAATATGGCGGAAACGGGGAAAGGTATTCATTTAAATAAAACACTTTAACGGTTTAAAACGCGATATATTAGTTAAGCTTATTTGGAAATGATTTTTAACTTCGGCCCAACGTCCAAATAAGTTTAACTAATATATCGCGTTTTAAACCGTTAAAGTGTTTTATTTAAATGTGTACTACTCGCGTAAACAATAGACAGTATTTAAAAGTATTCATCTTTAAGGGTTTCCGTTGCGTGTGAAAATTCATGATATCAAAAAATATGTATAAAAGAATGATTACTATTGTAATGATCGAAAACAATGCGCCCGACACTTTATGTCTATCTTTTAATATGAAGTTGACGACGAGAAGCGAACGATGTCGTTGGTAACAGCTGTAATTAAAAAATAGGAGGTTTCCAAAAACAATTTCTGATACCCAAAATAACTATTCTACGCGGACGACGTTACTGACACAGCTAGTGACTGTATATACTTGTAAGGAGAGTATAAGCAAAGATTTCAATAGACACTAACCCAATGTAGATATAAGCGCCTTATGTTTGTCTTGAGGTATAAGAGACTCCGGTAGGTCCCTAAAGAATCGTTTTAGGACACCGGCGACATCGTGTTCTGAGTGCTGCCCGGGACTCAACACCACTGACCACGCGTCGCGTCGAAACCGTCCAAGTAACTCGGCAAGCACTGAACTACTACCCGCTCGACGATATATACCTTCAGAGAGACTGCCTGAAAAGAGGAAATATTTTTCATTCGAATAATCAAACAAAGTTTTCAAAGGGTAGCCCTTTTGAAAACTTTGATATTTTTCACATGTTATTGGACGTGATGGCACTATATGCATTAAAATTCGATTATATATTGAAAAAATACGACACGGGCAGGACTTGAAACCGGCATCCACAGCGTTCCGTGCTGCAATTTAGAATCGATTTTTAATTTATTCTATCCCTTTGTTATTAGCTCATTACGTATGGGCGTTACTATTTTTTTTTTTCTAATATTTTGTGACCATAATCTTGCCATTGTATGCTTTAAACTTATGTTTTCGGTGTTTTATCGACCATATGCGACTAATATGTACAAAATGACACTGAGAGGCCGCTAGAGGCAGAGTAACCTAACTGGATTTAATTATATTTTTATAGTCTAAAAATATTAATCTACAAGAGCATAGTGACCGAAACGCCACTCTGCCTCTAGCAGCCTCAATGAATTAGCGATTTTTGCATTTATTCAAGGATTACTAGCCCATCACTTTTCAACTCATTAAAATTATCATCCTATAACAAACAAAGTATAGCTTCAGTTTGAATATAATTCGTAATTAATATGACAGTATAACTAACTGGATCTACGATGGATTGGCCGTTATTATTATTTCTTACGTACCATGAGCATAAACAAAACTAATGCATTTATCCACAACAGCTGGCACATCATCCTTGGTGAGCTGCTGATGATGTAAGTAAGCGCCATTGTTGTGTGCAGCTAGTTTCACCATATACCTCCAACCCTGAACGAAATAGGTTCTATATAACTAAACACAGCATATGACATATAAATAAGTACTAAAAACAACAACTAATCATGCATTTAAATAAAACACTTTAACGGTTTAAAATACGATATCTATTATTCAAACTTATTTGGTGATTATTTTAACGACTCGACGTTTCAGATGCTTTGCAGTGGTCTCGGGTAGACCGAGGTGTCTCTAATGTCAAAATAAAAAACTGCTATGCTGTGGCCATCTGTTCCGTCGTAGTTGGGATTCGGCGAAACTGGCCAATACAATAATAACCAAATAAGTTTAACTAACATATATTGCGTTTTAAACTGTTGAAGTGATTTATTTAAATGTGTTATACTAAAATTAGACGCGAAAACTTGTGTTGTTATTCTTTTACGCCTGAACCGCTTCACCGACTTTTTAAAATTTTGTGACATTGAGTTGCTGTCATTCGTTATTTAAAAATTGAATTTAGCCCATATTTGAATGTGGTTTTTAATTTTCAAATGATGTGATACATTCAAAAATAAAATATACCTTGAGGTCTTTTTCATGTTGAAAACGTAGATATAAAGTAACGTGAGGACAGTCGAGGAGGAGGTTGGGGCTACCATCGGAAGGACATTTCTCTTTCGTTTCTTCGTCGGCATCTTGATTGACTGTAATATATTAAATGTTTTTTTTTAATAAATTAATAACGTATAAAATAGGATTATAAATAAAAAGAACTACACGGGCGTGTATGATAGGGTAGCTCAATTGGTTAGAGCAACAGCACGGAACCCTGTGGATGACGGTTTAAGTCCTGCCCGTGTGGTATTTTTTTTTAATTTACAATCGATTCTAAATGTATATAGTGCCATCATGTCCAACAATATATGAAAGTTTTCAATAACGTATAAAATTTTGTCAAAATATCCTAATGTGTCAACCATCGGCATTGTTTGGTTACTGGTTAGTCATCTATCCCCCAATTATCGAACAAAGAATGACGACATCTTATGTATTCAATGCAATACCAATGTTGTATTATACGGTAAATTTATCCATAATTGAAAATTTTTAATTACTACTGCGTTCATTCATAGCCTATTTCAGCCGTTTCCAAGACGTACGCTGCAAAAACGGTTGAAGATACCCAAAATTTTGTGTCAAATAAAGGTTTCTTTAAATAATGTAAAAAAAAGTCTACGACGCTACGGGTATATATTTTAAGATAACTTGCAAAACGAGGTAAGGATGCGACCGACGTAAACGTGGGTTAAACAGCTTAAGTTTATAAAGATGAAGGGATTTTAAAAAACGAACTTGGATAAACAAAATAACGATGCTGGCGGACAAAGTCGCTGACACAGTTAGTATTAAATAGAACGAGTCATTGTTAGTAACTCTCTAAACAAGCAAAACGCATTGATAGTGAGACATGCACTGAGTCATCAACGAACACGAGCCTATTCTAAGAAAATTCCTTTGATACAGCATCCTATGCTCACATATTAGGAAATACGAGATACGATATTATCTTTATTATGTTCGTGATCATTCTAGAATTACGTAAAAGTGATAATTTAATCATAATTACATCAATAACGAAAGCCTTTACGAAATCGTTATATAATTCAAAACGTACTTTCGAAGCGTAGAAATGATAAGATAATAATTTATGAAAGAAAATTTTTACTTTATACTGCTATCTGTCTTTTGGTCATTGGCTATATAATATGATTTTGAAGGAAGTAGATATGTATTAAAAGCAATCTTATAAAGGGTGAAGACTATTTTTTTAAGCGAGACGCGGGTAGCATTGTCCTCACACAGAACAGAGTAGCTGAAACTTTTTATTCACAATTGTGCGACTAGCCTTATCAAAATGCTCGCAGCAATTACACTTTCCGTTTCCGGATAATAAAATTATTGTTTGAACGCAAGGTCAGTTAGTTGTAGCCACGAGTAGTAAAGACCGATTATACCTTATGTAAATAAAGTCAATATGATCTCAAATTTATACTAATATATAAAGCTAAAGAGTGTGTTTGTTTGGACGCTTCAATCTTAAAAACTACTGATGAGAATAGGAGAATAGCAACCAAGAAATAGCGGGAATTGTGGAAATGAGGAAAATTTATCTTCGCGGGTTCCGTTGCGTACACTGGGAAAAGGGTTCAAGATTCCCATAGAATATGTATGAAAGAATGATTCCTTTTTAATGAACGAAAAAAAAAACGGGGGACGATAAGTGCCTTGAAGACAACTTGCAAGAGCGATGGGAGCGACGAGTCGCGGGACAGCTTAAGGCTAAAAAGTGAGAAGGAGGTTTAATCATATTTGGATGCCCAAAATGGTTTATTTAGCCTTATAAACCCTTTTTTTTACACCATTGGTATTAAACTCCAAACATGCATAAAAGGATATGCATAGCACTGAACAGCTTGGCAAAACGTTAATGAGTAGGTAATATTCTTACCAACACATCTTGCTTTTCTAAGATCCACAATGCAAAGGCTGTCAGATGCTGTGCAGTAAACCAAGACACGTCGGACTAGCATCAGCCAAGCACTACGCCACTCCCCAGTAACGCCTTCCTGCCAACAAAAGAACAGCGACCTTAAAAAATCTATATATGAGGCTGTTAGTGCAAGAGTGGCCTAATAACAAAAAAAACATGATTAACAACTAAGGCGAAAATGAATTTGTACTAAAAAGTGTGTAAGAATTATGTTAGCAATTTTAGGTCACTCTTGTAGATTAACATTTTGACTCTAAAAGTATAAATAAGTAAGGTCATAAAATTGCGGTTAGGCTACTCCGGCTCTAGCGATTTCATATTTTCTTTTAAAAACAAAAGACGAAGAAGTACATTTTAAGGTGGTGTGGGCCGTTTTTCTGTATTTTCGTTTTTCTATAGAGGTTAGAAAAATATTAACTTTGTGTTTGTGTCATAATTTCTTCTATCTTTCAAAAATTTTTGTTCTGTTTATTAATTTGCCATGTTTAAAGTAGTCAGTATGAATACCTGCTCTCATAGTTAGTTGATTTCTTAACTTTGATTTATAGAATATATTGTTTGTAAGTAATAATACTGCTCATTGCATTCCATTCTATCATATAAGTCTTGTTATTGTAATATAAATTCTTGATATAGATACCATGTACATTTAGTTTAGTCAGTCAAAAAGCGCTAAGATTTGTTTAGACCACACACCTTTTTGCTGAACAATAACATTGCATCGGTATCAATTACTTGGAATCATATATCATAACTAGGATTACTAAGAAAAGCACATTGGTCAAGCATGGATGGCAGGTATAACATATCAGCCATATAAGATGTGCTGTTGACGTATTTCGGCTTTGGATATTCGGAAATCCACAGAATAAAACCGAAACGCGACTAAACTTTACTTCAAATTGACGTGACTCAGAGGGAATTTCGATATACATATATACCACCCGATTAAATTATTAGCCAGTTCAGTTCAGTCGTCAGTTTTAGTAACAATTAATGGTAGCCAAAAGACTGATAATTCATATCTTCTATGCAATACAAAAAGAGTGTATTATTTATTTAATTAAGATTAGATAACAGTTTGAAAACATTAATATTTTTCACATGGTTATTACACATTAAGGCACTATATAATTTAAAGATCGAAAATAAATTGAAAAAATTTTCGACTCGGGCAGGACTTGAACCGGCATCGTCAGCTTTCCGCAGAGCAACAGTTTGCGGAAAGCAGACGATGCCGGTTCATCTTTAAATTAGATAATATTTTCTTTAAATACAAATACAATTACATTAAAAAAGTTTCTTATAACTCTACTAAAAAAAAAACACAAAAATTATTAAATATTATCAAAGATAAATTTTACAAATTGCAAGTATGTAAATGATTAGACACAATCACAGTGAAAGCAATCACGCTGTTCAAACCCAATTAATCTCGTTTAAAATTATGATTTAAGCCCAGATGATATAAACAATATTGTTGACACATATTTTTATGCATTATCACGAATCAACATTTTTATAAATGATAAGAGAAAGTGTTCATCAAAGTAATGATAAGGTTCATGATGTAATAACTTTAAATTGACACAATTTTTATACATCAAGAAATGTATACACATTGCCTTCTATTTATTATTTTACTCTTAAAACTAAGTAAGTAATAATTCTTACCTTCATATAACACCATCCACATCTGGTAAACTCGGATGTATATTTTGTAGGAAATCCACTACTCAAATGTTCTGCAATTTTCTGACCCCAATTTCTTCTTTCCGACGCACTACCACAACCGAAAAGCACTTTACGCGGGGAATTCTTGACTCCCATTGATATTGTCAGCTCGAAGCAGTAATAATTATTTGAGGTGCTGAAAAAATATCATTAAAGTCACAAGATCCATAGAACCTACAAGTATACTACTAATATACCAATACTAACCTAGAAGACAAAGGTAGTACAATTTGTAAAGAATTAATACTGTCAACTGTATAAACTTCTTTAACAATTGAATTAACTGCATCAGTATAACACACCAACTTCTGATCAGACAAAACACAGTATCGGCTACAAGACTGTGTATTTTTGAATAGGTCTTCAACGGTTCCTGAAGTGACTTTGCTTAATGTTCCGCTATAATATGCCACTGGTAATTGATTAATAGCTGGTCTCTCTACTGTGTCTACTTTAACGGCTGATTGCTTTGTTTTGTATAAGACATTGTCCAATTTCAGCATGTTACTGAATCTTTGCATAACTGAATTTGTGGGTTTTATGTCCTCTGTGGTAGTGATATTATTTGCATTGCAATCACTGTCAACATACCAATTAGAATTTTTTCTTTGATTTAGTGGAATGTCAGACTTTGTTTCGGATTGAGCCAGACTGTCAAATCTCTCCGGAGGTGTGGGTGGATTGAAATAGTCACTTTCAACAAAATCAAATGGTTCGTCATTGCTGACATTATTTGAGACAATTGTACCATATGTATCACCTATCAGAAATGACTCAAGTAATAGCAGTTCATTACTAACACCATCATATGTCTTGCTTGTTGGTGTGAAGTTAAGTGGGTCAAATTCATATATTGTACTCGTACTGGGCTTTTCTACAGATTCTGGATTTGTCTTAGATGTATGTGGAAGTGTCCAGTTTTCATATAATGAATTTTGTCTCATGATTTCAATTTCTCTTTTTTTTCTTCTGCCTGGTACTTCTGGAGCAGACTTGACACTGATGAAACTATTGGCTCTGGACACTCTTGGAGTATCGTATGTCATGTCCATCTCTAAATTAGAAATAGAATCATTGTGATTAAATTCTTCACTTTCAATCATGCTTACGCTGTCAGTTAAGGAGTCAGAGTTACATGAATTAAGTGAAGAGTCAGTAATATGGCAATTTTGTGAGACTAATGACTTATCCCCATCACAAAGATCCTTTGCTTCCAGTGTTTGTAACTTTTTTTGTTCCAGAAGTGGAGAGTGAAACTGAATATTGTCAAAGAATGAAACATCCACATCTGGCATCGAAATACATCTCTGTGGATCTTCATTTTGCTCTGTCTGAGATTTCCTTGCCCTGCGCATTTTCTGACCGGCAATTTTTGTACCTTCTATAACTGATTTTGTAACAGATGCCCTCACAGCTTTTGATGTGTTGATTGTTTTTTCCAAAGTGTCTCTTGCGAATTTCGATCCATCCACAATGGACTTTTCTATTCTTTCATTGGTAGATTTAGCCGAAGTTGTGACTTTTTGAGCAACGTCACCACTAAATTGTTTTGATACGGAACCTATGGATCGTAAGAGTTCAGATGCAGTTATTCTTTCACTGCTATTGGGCAGTTTAGTACGCGGTAACGGAACTGGTTTTTTCATCGGATCGCTTTGAGCAACGCCCGAGGATCGCGGCTTGGGGACGGGCGGTGTCTCCATCATTCTCGTATATAATACACTACTTAAAATTAATATCACATCACAAAGACATTCGAGTCACTATGCAACATTTCTTCATTGTTTGATGTCCACTGAGTAAATGTTAATTTTTTTATCAACTAGATTATAAAACATAGAAATAACAAAGTATCTTTCAATAATTAAATATGAAAATATTATCACACTTTGCGCAATACTATAAACCACTCTTATAAACAATACTATACTAATAAATAATTATAAAAAAATGAAAAAATTGTTAGGAAAACATGATTGGATTATTAAATTGACTATGTACATCAGTGTTTCCATTTAATAATTTCTTTTTCCCACGCCACAATTAACAAAGCGATTAGTTGTGCGCTTTTCCCCTCTAAAACTATATTACACTAACTAGTAAGATCTCTCTCAATTACATGATTTTGGGCCAAAGAATAAATAACAAATCTAAATAATAATGGTATCACTATTTTTAAATATTTACCAAAACATAGTGAGTAGGACTCCAAAAAAGAGACATTTCTTCGAATTGTGGAAACACAGCTGATCATAGACAAGACAGTTCTACAAATGCACAGATTGCTCATCATATTCACACACACATATATATTCTATCCATAGATGTAGAATTAATTTCAGTATACAAATAATTATGAGAATTATAGGGGATATATCGATATTAATCTTATAAAATATTAATATAATTAATTAAATCTTAGAAAAATAACTAACATTTTATTTTTCAATACTTACCCCATTTTTATCTGTATCTATAGGGAAAAAATAATCACGACTCACACACAACGACGATGCGTTTTGGCGCCATTTTTATAACACTAAATCTTTTTTTTTGAGAGGGGAATTTAAAAGCAACACACATTTTTAAATGTCTTTCTTTAATTATTTTATTTTTTTGTTAAGCATTGAAATACTATAAACGATATATATGATGTACATGTTCTAGGTAAAAATAAATCAAAAGATTATTCAGCTATTTCCTTTAATTATGAATACTTATCAAATAACATTGGTTTACTTATTACATTCTAAGATTAATTCTTTAAAATGATTTATTCATTTTGAGTGTTTCCCGTTTTATAATATATCAAACATACCTGCATACGTATACATTTTTGTATGATAGATACCATAGTCTCCTGAAACAGCTTGACAGAGTTTTATGAAATTTATATGCATACTAAAATAATAGGTCAGAGAATCTCCTATTTTATTTTGAAAGCAAATTTAAAAAATATATATATTTTTTTACTTGTTATTGCACATAAAGCACTTTAAAAGCAATTATTTAACACATAAAATATATTCAATGTAACATGCTAAGTTCGCTGAAGTCAAATTAGATATCAATTATCCACTTTTGTAAAGAAAGTATTTTTCATCTCAACAAACATTTAAATGATATCTTCATTGTTATAAACAACGAGCAATTAGTTGTTTAATAAAATGACAGCCGACAGCAATCATTGTTTAAATTTTTTGAAGAAATATTAGAAACTTATATTAAACATCAAATAATTGCGTTTATAATTATTTGGTTTCATCATTTTTTTAACTGATGGTGTGAATGCTATTAGCGGATATCTATTGCTCACACATTTAACTGTATAACTGTCTTAAATAAAAATAAAAAATACGAAAGATGAAATTTTATTTATTCATATTCCCAAAATTAATCACAATAATTGTAAAGCGATTACAAAGTCCTAACAGCCATGTAGTACAAACACGATTATTCTCTAGAATATCTTCGTTACAAGTTTTTGCCAAAACGTTACAATTTCGTGTGCGTATTATTACATAGTTGGAACAGAAATTGAAATTTGGAAATAACAATAAGTTGCAATCTCAACTTGTGCTGTTCTGAAGACATTTCTTTGTCGTGTTTGCCTTAATATAGTTACTGCGGGACCCTTACCTATAAATTATACATAAGTTTATTGAATATGATTATAAAGACGTTTTGTTCAATAACTTCCATTTATGTTACCACCTACTTGTATACTTACATGACTATAATTAATATATTATGTTATTGATAAAGATACATACTTTATTATAAAACAAATTAAATAATTATAAGTAATTTATTATTTTTTTCAAAACTTAATACATTTTAAACACAACTCTGGACACATCGTCAAAACAACGTTTATTATGCTAAGCAGGATTAACGTAAAATTAAATAACAAAATAATATTTACAATTTAGCAATAAATAATTACAAAATTTATAAAAGAAAGTATTTGAATCCTATTAAAACCTTATTGGAATGAAAGGTTAAACATAAATAAAAGAACTCAATATACAACATAGACTTTTTCACAACTAAAGTTTTTAATTCTCTAAAAGAAATGATATTTATTCTTTTATGAAGGCTGTTAACAGAATGGGTCACTTTTATTAAAATGTCACATATGAGTTGCCATCACTAAAAATTTAATCAAATTAATGTATAGTCTAGAGACTTTTTCGTGGTGGTCAAAATCAATGAAACTGACGTGTCAGCTTTCTGAATTGGTTTAAGTCAAAGTTAGCTTACCATACAAGGTTTGCCTTATAAAAGTGAGTCTTACAGACATAGATAAATAGAAAAATTCGAAGAGATAAAACAAAAATAAAAAAATTGAATCCGTTGGAAAGCGGTAACATACCATCTACAAAGTGTAGATGGTATGTTTAGTGTATATTTTTCGTTAATATAAATATTGCAATACACTCAGGGTCATTTTTGCTAACAACGATAGTTATTGTCTAAGATGAATAAAATAAGTCAAAATGTATAAAAAAATCATAAATGCAATTTAAAAAATACAGCTAAAATACATTAATAGTACGTGTATATGACCTAGCAGAATTCACTCGTTTTAAATAAGCACAACAGACCAACTAGACCTATTGGTTAATATGAAGAAAAATTCACCTACGACACGCGAGTTAACGTCTTATCTTAAATTGACATTACAAAATTTGTATTCAGATTTCATCAGTCTTGTGTCGAAAAGAGATTGTTTTTTCTGTTGGTTCCTATTATGACGTGAATGAATTCGAAATTGATTCTATACATCGATACAGTATTTACAAGTACATATTACGCTGCTATAATATTAAAACTGATTAAATGCTGACCATATTGTATGGAGATTTGTGCTGTTCACACAAGTATTTTTGTGATAACGACAGGTGGAATGTCACAATGCGATAGTGCGGCAAAAAAATTAACACAATTTAACGCTAGACACATTTTTATATGCAAACTATTGATAACCGATGGGGCGATAATAATTATCAATTCAATCGAATTAAAACGATATATGGCTAACTAGAGCCGGGATACACAAACAGTTCTTAATGGCAGTTTTCAAAATTACATAACTAACCTGTATGTTCCATTCATTTAACGATATCTACTTATTATTACAATTTCGTAATTATTTAATTGTCGTAGAAATTTAAACGCTCGAGGCAATATTTCGTTAGAGTGATGGGATAGTATAAAGATTTTGAACATGCGATCGTCGTCGTTTTGTCACGTCAGTTTTAATTCGATATTAGCTACTTATATCACGGTAAGTCATCACTTCGAGTATTGCCCCCCGATTGAGACGGTAAAGGGAATGAATGGAAGATACAGAATCACTTGCGTTTGACAGTACAGTACGCCTGCTTGTGTATACCGCGCTTGGGCGAATATTACATATTGTATGCGATGTAAATGGCATCTATTTGATCGGAGAGGAACCCGTCCCGGAGGTGCATCCGCTGTTTCTCGCCGCGAGAGTTTATCGGCACCACGCCCGGATCGACGACGACCACGACGCCGACGATCAAGTGGTGCTCTTCCAGGACCGTGTTGGTGACCAGCGGTACCAGGTTAAGAGCCTCGCTATCGTTGCCGTCCAGTTCCACGACGACCACGAGAAGGTTCGTCCAGGTGAATACGGCGCTGGAAATTTACAATTATTCATGAAATCCTCCATTTTTTTTTTTAGTATTGTTTCTATTTTGTAAGGGTTTTTGCGAGCACCCATATAACATATTAAAATGTAGATAAATCTTGAATTTTCTCTTCTTCTTTAAACAATACGTCTTAGCTCTTTACGTGCCTATTGTTTCCCCTTCTATGATCTATCTCTCTCCATCCCTTTCACACATACCTTCTCGCTCGTACTTTCATTTCATTTTACAATAATGTATAAATTTCATAACGAAATTGAGAAAGAAAATGGAATCGGGCAAGAAATATACACCAACACTCACATTAAAAAAAAAGATTATAAGGGTACTATAATTGTGAACTTTAAATGTATGTACATACCATTCAGCGATTTTCTTGTGGCACCTCATTACGGAGTTCTCAATGTCGATCGGGTGGTAGCGCATGCCCCGGAGCATTATCGTCTCGTCCAGGGCGCCGACGACGAAGACCGCGTCGTGCGTGTCGTGCGAGTCAGACATCAGACCACTCATACTACCGCAGGCGGACGCCAGCGATTCAGTGTCACTGTCGCGTGACATCAACGACATGTCGTCGCCACCGCCACTGGTGCTTATCTCCGTCCGCCTCAAGAAACCCAGATACCCCGTACGCGCGTACACCTCGCCCGTATTCCCGGTCACTAACTGAGCACTAAAGTGATCCGCGTAGTCACTCTCGTCCCCGTATATTGTGAAGTACCCACTCGCGTTGTGCGGCGACTGCACCCAAATCTCACCCAAATGAGAATCACCGCATTGGCCTTTCGTCTCCGGATTGGCTGTTATGACCTTCACACCAGGCAACAACTTGCCAGACTCCATGAGACACAGGGAATGCGGACTGCCGCGCTCGACCAGCGAGACGCGGTCGTTCCTTAAAGCTCGTAGATCCACGTAGACGGTGGACGGTTCGGGACTAGACGCACCTTGGAGACATATCGCGATATTGACCCTACACCCGAACGACGTTGAGACGGCCCGCGGACTCAAGCCCAGAGCAGAGAACAGTTTGGAAAAGGAATTCGTTAGGTTTATTCTAGGTCGTTCTTCCGCTACCACCACACACGTTCTGACGCAGCCCAAGTTGATACCTTTGGCTTTCAGTTGATTCACGGAGCTGCCGAGGCCTTTGGTACACAATTCCATTACGCCGTACGAACAGAAGGTATCGCGCACTTTGTACTGCGAGACAGCGCTCAGCCAGAGAGCGGGGTTGATCTCGACTTCGGAGGGGGGGATAAGAATCGAATGGTGGCCCGAATAGATGCTACTGAGACACCATAGGGCGAATCCGAGCCCGCAGTAGGGATCGAGACAGAGAGCTATATGACGCGAGGGATATAATTCACACGCGATCTTCATAGATCGGCACAGTGACGTGACGGCGGCATGAGACATTTTAATGCCAGCTAACATTCCCGTGGTGGACACGCTAAAGTCCAAATATGCTAACATTTCAGCGGTTGGCGCTCGGTAGAGTATCGGTAATTTCTTCTTGGGCATATCGTCTGTATCGAGGGTGATAGGCCAAGCTTTACTATCGATGACGTTGCTGGCTTCCTTGGAGCGAAGTAATTTTATCACAGATTGATTGGATAGGACTAGCGTAGCTTTGCTCACGTCGACGATCATTCGTACCGTGGGCAGGGTCGTGTGCAGGTTCTGGGGGTGGGGGGGACGAATAGTGACCGGCACAGCTCCCACATATAGGCAGCCGTAGAATGCACAGATGAGATCGAGGCCCGGTGGGAATATAAGTGCGACATGATCGCCGGTGTTAACTCTTCCTTTCTCCAAAAGCAAATTGCCAATTCTTTCGGCTTTCTTATGCAATTCGGCGCAAGTAAGGACTTTCGTGGCGGCGCCCTTCGAGTTCAGTAATGTGAAAATCACGTGATCAGAAGTGCTTTGTGCGCGCCATCTCAGGATTTGGGATATGAACTGATACTGAAATGAGATTACGTATTATTTAGGGTGATATTTTAAACAATATATGTGATATTAAAAACGAAGATACAGTGATATCTACCTTGCGAGCCGCGTCAGAATCGTCAGAATATCCCATATCACGACCTTGAGCTGAGGCGAGACGGTTCCCTTGAACAAGATTACCCACTATCACTGACGCTGGGCCAACGTCTGAAACACAAAGTACTATATGAATTTATAATCGTGATCGTGATTTACCATCGAAACCAGTAGTATGGCATTACAATAAAACACTTTAACGGTTAAACTTATTTGAAAATTATTTTTACGGCCCCACGTTTCAGATGGTGTGCTGCAGCCGTGGTCACGGGAAGTCTTCCACAGCTACCACTATCACAGCTGCCGCAAAAGCATCCGAAACTTCGGGCCGTAGTTATATATCGCGTTTTAAACCGATGAAGTGTTTTATTTAAATGTGTACTACTTGCGAAAACTACAGACAGTATAGTAAAAGAGCAATTCTTTTTTTTAAATTACGGGACAAAGAAAAACTAGTGCGTTTTAAATCATTTTAAGTCAGTTTTACTTTGATTACCATTTTTGTTCCAAACACCTTTTAAATTATTACGCTTTTCTAAAAGTAAGTTCTTTACTTAAAGGAACTTAAAGTGGAATGTTCACATAGTTTTTAAGAAATGTTTAAAAAAGCCGGACTGAGTTCCATGTGTTTCCTTCTCGGTAGAGGCTTTTACGGTCGTTCAGTACATCATTGTTTTTCGGGCTGTTCGGGCGAAAAATTAATTCTTTGAGCTATCGAGTGCTGTCCGCTCGTGGCGAAGCGTCGAGAACCTCTTCTCGCTCACATCGACCGAACAACCGGAAAAACAATGATATGCAGAATTAAGTATATTTTATTTTATTTTCTAGTTACCGGAATGTATCTCCCGCGGCTTCGGAAGGTTGGTGACGCAAGTGTGCGGACACATCAGCACGTTGGCCGGGTGCAAAGTGCCTTCGAGGAACCGCCGCTTGCATTCACTAAGATGGATACCGCCCAGGGGCGTCTTCGGCAGATAGTTCGGTTGCACGAGAGCCAGGCAATATATACCCACTTGGTGTATCGAATCCACGGCTTGAAGCACTCGAGACATCCATTGGAATGACTGAAATTCGTGAGATTATTTTTTAATGGTAGAGGAAGACAGCAAGCATGGGTTCAATTGTATAGTAGGTGAAATATATCCCAGCCTATAACATCTACAAGACGCGCTGTCGCCGTATTTTGGCTTTGGATTTTTGATTTGGAAACCGTAACGTGAATAAACTTTATGGCTTTTTCATCTATGGACGGTGTTTCGATATTCCTACCACCCACTTAATATCCAGATTTCCACACAAAGACCAACAAATAAAAAAAAATACATTTTGATTAGAAGAATGTTGGACCCGGTGGGAGATCGGCCCGACGACCCGTTGATTATTAGCCGTACATTGTGACTATTCACCCATTAGCCCGTCAATTTTTTTTGTAATTACATAATTATGTGACGATGTTGTTTATCTATCTAAAGTTTAATCGCTCTAAGATGTTAATACAAACTCGGTTGTTTTTTTATAAAGTGTTCGTAATTAATCTTTTCGATAAATAAATAATTCGATAAATAAGACTTACTTAAAACTGACTTAATATGTTATTGTTTTATTGACGCCGCCAAAACCACACGCCGCGGAGTGTGACAAAGCGTGACGTCATATATGGTCAATTCACGGTGCGCGGAAAATAGGTGCACTCAAGGATTGCCGACGAATGGCGCCCGCCACACACCGTGATTAGTGTTTGAGTATAGATAAAAATCGTCATAACTAACACAATGGAAAGGTATTAATTATTTAAAGTAGAAAAAAATATTTAATTAAATATCATATACCGTATATTTATTTCTTGAAACATAATAGATTTAAGATTTTTCTACAATATCCTACAGAGGACATTGACGAACATGTTGGTAGTGGGCATCAAGTCGTTTCGGTGTAACGTATATAAAAATACTAGGTACTTTTTACGTTAAGGTCTTAAGGACAATGCTTTTTCTACCAGTATCAAATTTGAGGGATCGAAATTAGTAAAGCGATCAAAAGAAAAACTACGCCCTCTACAGGGACTGGCGATGTAAAAACGTTTTTTTTTAATTATTAAAACTTACCTCTTCTTCACCACAATCCGGCCGTTGCTCTGCGACGATGCAAATTCTCTCGTCTCTCAGAACGCGAACTGAGAACACAGCTATTCTGCCCCGATATATGAACTTCATCGGCTCGACGGCTAGGACTGTCGCTATGATATCGTCCATATTATGTTTGCGGCCTGTTACGGTCATCAGGCCGTCGCGAGATCCACAGACGAACACTAAGCCTGTATGTGTATAAGTAAAAAATTGATTTTAGATTTAAAAAATTAAAACAAACGGCCACGCTTGAATCGCCATCTATACTGTTCCGAGTTGTTGCCACCCTGTCCTACACAGGTTGAAAAAAATCGAAATTTCTTCAATATGTACTTGTTCTTATTACTTTCGGTCTAAAATCGAATAGTCCAGAACCTTAGCATTAATTTCCAAATACTTATCATGCTAATCAAACATTATTTATGAAAGATTATAAAATGTATAACGATAACGAAACGAAAATAATACATGAACATGCGAAAACTAAGTTACGTTGGGATAGCAAAGTATTACTCATATTATCTGTTTACTAAACAGCGTAGATTCTCACCTCCAGGACCAAGGAAGCCCAAAAGACCGCTTCTCACATAGTGCTCTTCGCCGATCGCTTCCCCGTCAGCGTCCAAGGGTCGAACTCGGAAGACCGTGTTGGTGAGACCAGGTAGGCCCCAATAACCCGATCCTGTTGCGCCGGACAACACACATATCTCCCCGACTTCATCAGTCTTGCAGAGATACGCGGGTCCTTCCATTTTCACCACAACTATCACACCTGTACGAAAAATAATCAAGGTAATATGTATTACTTTTCCCAACGCGCTTGGAAATTTGAGCATTATTTTGACAGCATACAATTTCTTTGAGATTGATTGAATTTGCTATAGCGGCCAGTAAAAATTGTATGAAGATCCATCTGTTTAAGTTTTAAAATCATATTTGTCGTGTAATTTAAAAATGGAACAATTCTCACTTTGCAACTTGGCGACCAAAGAGGTAATTTATCAAAGGTTAAATTTAAATTTCGAACAGGCTTCCACAGAGCAAGCTGATTAGGGAAAAAATACTCAGACGCGTAAAAAACTATTGTTAGTATTATTCGTCAATTTCGTCATTGGTTGTGAAGGTCTAAATTGTACTACATACTTAGTTTTAATTTCCGCGCATTGTTTGAGAAAAGTACTATAGAGGCGTTGGCCGCATCTTGTCATTGATGGACTTACGTATATGCCGTACACACGTTCGTGCATCAATACCTATTTTGCTGGCCGCTACAGTAAAGTACTATAAATGTAAGTCTCTGAGCTGATCAGGCAATCGTAGTTCTATTGTTTGCAAGATAAATAGAGCTCTAACATATTATTATGCATTATTTCGATCTAACTTTTAGGTGTCTTAATAAAGAAATAGCGTACATACACGAAGGCATAACCTGCCCGCAGTCCTGCAGAGTTAGGGAGGTGAGCGAGTTCTCCGCATCTACTCTGACCACACCGTAGGATAACCCAGACATGGATAACACCCCCCGGCCGGCTGATGACCCTCCTCGACCAGCGCGACGGATACAAACAGACATTGACTCGCTGCTACACGCACAGGGGCATATGGCATCGCCTCGAACACCTGTGTTTCAAAAATATGAATTGATCTCGTTTTTAAATAGATTTTTTTTTTATTTACACGGGCAGGATTTCAACCGGTATCCAGCGCTCCATGCTGTTACTTTAGCCAATTGAGCTAGACGTCGTCGTCTGATTTTTCTCAAACATACAATTCAATAATATAATAATAAGAAATATTAATTTTAAACACAATAGAGGTGGGTTTAATGAAAATATTAAATGATTGACTAATTATTATGTAGGACTGTCCAGGGTCATTTCTTTTATTTTTATTATAACACTTAAGCATAATTCAATAATATAATACAAAAAAATATTTTATGACAATAGAGATGGCATGGTTGTTAATGAGAACATTTAATTATTAAGTAATTATTTTTAGGAGTTGCCACAGTCCTTTTTTTATTGTTGTATAAATATGAATAGTTAGGTAGTATTATAATTCACGTGTGTCTATTTATCTTAGTTCTTTGATAGAGCGTCGTCTTTCTCTATCTCAGAAAAACCAGGGACAAAAAATGGTCCCGGTGAACATACTATTATTATATCAGACTAACATCATACCTTTACTCTGGAAAACCGATAGGAACTGATCGCAAGACGACAAGGACCAAGGGTTCGCGCCGTCAGCGACCAGTAGAAACCGGAGTGAACTGAGTGAGATTTCTTTGTGGTCCCGCGTTGCTAGGAGGCCCCAGTGCAGGTCTCGAGACTTCACGATCGCAACTGAGGCCCTGTAGATAAATTGATTTATGCACAAATTAAGTATTTATAGTCGAAAAAAAAACACGCGAAATCAAATGTTATCCAAATATAAGGCATATCTTGTAGAAACTTATAAATACATATGGCGTATTGTTAAAATGTAACATAGTCTTTTTTTCAGAATCAATAATCTATAAATTGAATCTAAATAAAAATAGGTAAACAAACTTTTTATGTTAAACATACATTGCAATGTTTAAGATAAATGTACTAAGAACCAAAAAATAATAAAATAGATACAGTCGTGGGATTTATAAACATATGCATAGACTAGACTAAAATTAAACCGTGGGGCACGTCAATTGTCTACAAATAATCGAACTAATGTGCGATAGAAGAATCGTTTAATTCGTCGTTAGGCGGTTGAGCACTTTCATTTGATACCTATATTGATGGGATTGATAAAACCTACGTTATCCGCCATTTTGTAGCGGCCGCCATCTTGGATTTATAATGATAACGAATAAACATAATTGTATTGTCACCAAAATCCAAAACATTCAATAATTAGTTGAGAGCAGCGATGATATTTAATAACGTTGTATTAACACTCATTATAGTAAACATTATGGTGTTGGAGACCAACTGACCTGTACTTCGTGATCATATGCATCCACGACGCCGGGCTGACCTTCATGAGGGCGTAAGGAATGAAGATGACATGCATTCCGTTGAGGACGCTGGCTAACACCGCGTGCCATAATCCAGTTTCGCGCTTGAAGTCTAAGACGCACACCATGTGTTCACCTTCCGTGTAATTGCATGCGACAGACAACATCCTGCAGTGGGCCAGCATTGAAGCCCTAGGAACAAATTTCGAGTGCTTAGCAAGTTTAAATAAAACACTTTAACTATTTTTTTAACTACGTCCCGATGTTTCGCATGCTTTCCAGCAGCCGTGGTCACGGGGAGAACAAAGATGGAAGATATCTCTGACGTCAAGATAAAAAACCCATCCTTTTCATTCATTCCATTCCATTCCATCGAAGTTGGTATTCGGCGAAACTGGCCAAATACATAACTGCAAAGCATGCAAACGTCGGGCCGTAGCATTTTAAACCGTTCAAATATTTTATTTAATTGTGTATTTGTGTAAACTACAAATAGTATTTGTATATATGTATGTAGTAAACTTCCACGCTAAGCAATAAAACTAAATAAAAAACAAGGATAATTTAAAGTAAAGTATTACAAAGCTGTTTACATCTGAAATATTCTCAAAATTTTCGTTTCTCTAACTTAAATACGTTTCCAAACGAATTATTGTAGGTAACATTAGTGTTACGATTTCATTCGTCCCCATGAAACCCTCTGTTGTAAAGTATTTTAGGCTGACCTTAATTTGTGCTTTAAATTTAGACGATGAATATGCAAGCTTTTAACCTTTTAAAAGTGAGTATAGCTTCGTTAAATGGCTTTTGTTATTCCATGTTTATAATTTCTATACACGCACTAGAATGATCACGACTTGTAAGTTATATTCTTTAAGGAGATCTAAATAATGACTGTTGAAAATCATAATTTCCTTTCCCTTATGTAATGCATGTTTCATTTATATATTTTACTATCAGAGCTTTTGTATCCTGTCAATTATTTATTCACTATGTGTCTTTGGGGCCTGTCACATGTCTTAAATGTGCTGTGCTCTAGGTCTCTTATGTCTTGTGGAAAAGTGGGTTTTCAAGCAAAGACCTATCGCGTTGCTCCAGAGAACGTTGGCTAGTATTTTAAAACTACGTAAACTCAAACTAAAGTCTCGTCCGGGACAAGACTCGAACTCTGTACCTCGTGATGTTGTTAACTGTATCAACCAGTAGACAAACGAGAGAGACGCCAAACGAACAAATGCATGTTTCGAAACAAAACTTTTTCATAGACTGAAAACATCCGAAACGCGATAACAAGTAATTGTTTTCAACTCGCTTGAAAAAAGAACAACCCCAAAGTTCGCCATTCCCTTTGAAGCCCGTGCGTTCCAATTTGCAATTCAAATTACACAAGTATATCGATGGTACATTAATTAACGATCATTAACTATCGAGAATTTGCGGAATAACGTACGCATACACGAGTTAATTAGTACCTGTCGAAAAATATTGTTGCAGACCGTTGTTAACATACGAAACGAAATAATCATTAATACGTTTTTTTTTACCCACCTTAGTAAATAACCTACCCACTTAATTAATTATTTTCTATTTCCTCTCTTCTGTTATTCAGGTTGCCTGGAAGAGATCGCTACTTAGCGATAAGGCCGCCTTTATTTATAAGTTAGCACGTAAGATTTTTCCTCATTAATATGTATTTTCTGTGGTGTGTTTTATAAAATAATAAAGCAATAATAAAAATAAAAAAATGACCTAAGTAACACATAAGACACATTTTTATATCCGTTTTGTGCTAATTAATTAGAGGCTTCGAAACCAGGACCTCTCGTGTATTGATTGGTGCATTTTGTGTAACGAATACTTACCGAGTGACGATGACCCCCATAGCTGAGCCATCAACAGCGGAGGTATGTTCTATGTGCGCCGGTGTATCTTCAGCTGGTCTCGGAGGGGGGATCCAGTCGCGAGGGGGCCGGGGTAATTTTTCCGTCGACACCCAATGCAACGACGGCCAGCCCCGGAAGGAAACAACGTCACCGGAAGACGTCTTCGGTAAACCTGAAGATTTAAATTCTTATCTAGAGAAATCTCTATTAAGGTCAACCGGAAAATAAACTAGGTTATTTACTGGTTTTCATTTCAAATTTAAAAGATCCGTAATAATTTAAACTACAGTAATAAAATGATTACAATAAAAACTCCAATAACATTTTATCGTAATTATTATTGTATAACACAATCTACATCTATTTTTATTAAGGCCTTCAACGTCATCATATCAATATAATTACATCACAGATATATCTATGGATGTATTTTTAGGTTCATTGGTGTTATAGAAGCAATATATAAATACTGTCTATAGTTTACGCGAGTAGTACACATCTAAATAAAACACTTTAACGGTTTAAAACGCGATATATTAGTTAAACTTATTTGGATTTTTAACTTCGACCCGACGTTTCGGATGCTTTGCAGCAGCCGTGGTCACGGGGTCACGGGCCGAAGTTAAAAATCATTTCCAAATAAGTTTAACTAATATATCGCGTTTTAAACCGTTAAAGTGTTTTATTTAGAGAAGCAATATATTATGTCTAGTAATTAATGGGTCGTAGGATCGATTCCTACTCGGCTCCAGCATGTTTCTAATCAATTTTTAATTATTTTGAAACATGTTGGATTTCGTCTGCCAACCTGGATATTTAATGGGCGGTAGGAATACGAAAAAGCCGTTAAATGGAGTTTCACTCTCAGTCTGTGGATTTCCGAATATCCAAACAAAATAGGCTACATATCTGTTCAATATAGTCCGTTCTACTATCACCTACCAATATTTGCCTGTTAACCACTATCATAAAATGTAATACAAAAACGTTTATAAAAAACGGAACGCGATTGCGATGCTTCCGTGGTTTTTCCGTTTTCCCAAAGATTACGCTCGATAAAGTTCGATTGTTACGACCTACTGTAAACATTGTGTACAGATTAATACCGGACAAAACCATGAAACAGATTAAATTAAAAGGCTCAGACAAATTATAAAATAAATCTTGTACAAGTGAAAATCGTTATTGTACTTCTATCCTTCATTTTTACGAAGCGTCGAAATGTTGTTGCCTGATGTAAATTGAATTCTGGTTTCAATAACAGCTTTCAATTTGTCAAATAAATTGTTTTCTAGCGGCTACGCAAGCCATAGACAGATAGATCGATGTTTGCCTGTGCAACAAATTTATTACTATATCAATATAATTATCTGTTCTTTTAGGTGTTTGCTCTACAACTTTTACCTTTCCAACTCTTTAGCTAGTTCCTCTCCTATTTGTTATGTATAATTTTACGATGTACCTTTTTTTGTTTATTATTCCTTACACCTACTCACTTAATAAGCCTTTGTTCTATAATTTTTCTCCTGTAGTTCAAGTTGCCTGGAAGAGATCGCTGCTAAGCGATAAGGCCGCCTTTTATTTATAAGTTAGTATGTCAGATTTTTCCTCTTTTATGTTTTTTTTGTGTTATAGTAAGTTATAATATCTTACAGATACTTACATACATATAATTTGATTTGTTAAAGCTCAATTGTATTAACGAATCAAATTATGTGCATTATATAATTATATTTTAGACTCGACTACTACACCCACAACTACACAACCCACGGGGCTACACTGTTGCATATTTCAAACATTTTCTATTGTTATACATGGTAGAGAGAGATGCGATGTCTATATATTATAATAGCTAATCCCTTTTTACATTTGTTCTAAATTCGTCTAAATTGTCAAATAAAAAAAAAAAAACTTTTGTATTTCTAATTACGTGTATAGCGCGTTTAGCCCCAAGGTTTAAATATATTTGATCTCTAATATATGTGTGAATAATATTGTTTTTTTATTTTTGACCCAAAAAACTAAAAAAAACCGTCTCGAGTATAACTTTTTAATTTTAATAATACAGAACATCAAAACTATACACACTAAAAGAACATCACTTTTCCCACAGGAAGCAGTAAGAGCTTTATGACATCTCATACAAAACGGGATAATACAAATAGACTTCTCAATTACAAGAGCTTTAAAGCTAAGATAAGACTTTCTAAGAATTTATTGCATATTTCCGTTCGTTTGTGAAGATAAAAGTGCTCTATATATCGGCGCCGATGAAATGGTTGTTCAATACCTTTAAATGAATGCTCGAAAGAAAACTACGTACAGACTAATAAAGGAAACAAATTTTAATAAAAGGCGCACTGCATGATGGTCGTTGAATAAAGAAAAAAACATATATGTCTTTTATGATAGAGGAACAAAACAAGCATGGGGGGTTCACGTGATAGTAGATTAAATTTTCCAGATATTTTTTTTATTTATTTATTACAAAACAATTAAAACGATAGCCATTAATTGGATAGTACACAATAGAATTACATTTAATAAAAATAGGTAAAAAAACTTTTAAAGTTAAACGGTTTTATGTTAATAATTCCCACGACTGTATCTGTTTTATTATTTTTTGATTTTTAGTACATTTATCTTAAACATTGCAATGTAGGTATGTTTAACATAAAACCGTTTAACTTAAAAAGGTTTTTACCTATTTTTATTTTCTAGTTTTTAGTTTTTATTTCGCATTCTGTTTTATTCATTTAGTGTTTTTTGGGACCTTTAGTACTTGTTGAGACCTATCATTTGATACCTAACATAGGTATCAAATGATAGGTCTCAACGATGATGGGACGAAAGATGGGATTGATAAAACTTAAGTTATCCGCCATTTGTAGAGGCCGCCATTTTGGTTTTTAATTTTATATAGTACATTGTATTCTACTGGTTGAGCACTTTCATTTGATACCTATATTGATGGGATTGATAAAACCTACGTTATCCGCCATTTTGTAGCGGCCGCCATCTTGGATTTATAATGATAATGAATAAACATAATATTTGTATTGTCACCAAAATCCGAAATTTCAGATTAATCGGTTGACAGGAAGAGGGTGAAATTTTAATTACTAAATTTGACCCAAGAATAAATAAAAAAAAAACAAACGGGGTGAGCTTAATAAAATAGTTTAAAAATAGAGTATGCATCAATTACATCAGGACAAAATTTCAAAATCAGACAATTCTCTCAGTATTGATGATATATAACATCTAAACAAGATGTGCTCTCGACCTCTATCTTCGCTTGAGTTATTTAGATTTTTTAGTTATTACATAATTGCTTATTATACATAACTGTTTAAGAACTGTAATATGAAGTAACTATTTTTTTTTAAATTACTATTTTTTCTTTTTTGTAAATAATAAAGTTATCTGGTTCTGTTCGTAACTACAGGCAACTAGCCACTTCTATATTATATACTTGTATAATATGTATTATAATAAAAACGTCTCAATATATCCATAAGACTACGTTTTTATCTTGCTATTCAGAACGGCCCTATTTCAAAGTGGATCACTGAGGTAGTTCTAGAAATTTCTAGATAAACACAACTCGTTTAAGTAACCCTAACACAATTTTAGAATAATTCCTTAAATTATTACATCTGAAATTCCGTTTCCTCCCGTAAACACATTTTTGTATCAGACTTCTGTGCCCTGTAGGAAATGATTTAATTGACCACACGTACATCGCAACTTATCAATACAAACTATAAATAAAAGCTTAAATACCTTTCAAGCAGGCGTCCGACGTAAGCGCATATTGTATACCGCATGAGCCTAGAAGAAAGCCAACTTGCTGCAAACCAGCATCTCGCCTCGTCAGCGGCACCTCAATTGGAACAGGTACAACTCCCGCTTGAAGGCACCCATAGAAGGCGCACATAAAGTTGATCGGGTCATTGTTTGGGTATACTAGCGCCACCCTATCTCCAGGTTTGATATTGTTATCGCCAGTTAACGGACCGCCGCTAGTCGACTTCGAAGTAAATGTTTTATTGAGCAATGCGTAAGCGATCTTTAGTGAACGGCTGAGTAGTTTGCCTGTTGAAAGAATACACAATGTGAAAATTTACACTATGTTCTCTAATAAAGAAGGATAAGTGTTACACTTGTGATTATTATAATCGATTCTCAGTCTATTCGATTATTGAATATCGCTAATTTAGACGTTTATTAATTTTATTCTTATATAATATATGTATTTTATAATAGACTGTACTGTAAGTAGTTTGATTTAATATCAATACAGGATGGCACTATATAAAATAAAAATCAATTTATATAAAAAAAAATGTACGACACGGGCAGGACTTGAACCGACATCCACAGCGTTCTATGCTTGCTCTAATAGATTGATACCGTGTCCTACACGCCATTGTACTCTCGCGCAATGAAATACATAAAAATCGAGGATGCTGGTAAAATGCTGCCTGCGTCGTAATTTGAATTACTAGAAGATGGAAGAAAGGAATTTATTTACTACTGCAAGTCACACAATTACTAATACAAACATAGTAAGTTTAGTTTAATTTAATTGCAAGATACACTTCTAAGTTTGCCCGCAACTTGTTCCAAGGTCAATATCAGTAGACCCTAAGCTTCTCTATTGTTGATATTACATGTCGTTTCTTTATAAATACTTATTTAGTATGTCGTTATATTTTTGGGGCCAGCTTTAATATAATGCTCAAAAGCAACAGTAATAATAAATACAAGAGATGAATAAAACTAGTTGCTTTGAATAGTAATGACGAGGGTTTAAACTGAAAACAACGAACGTGAAAATACAATAACTTACCGTAAGTTAGGGAATTGCTAAGTTTGCCATTCGGATCCAGTACAGTGGCGACGTTAGCTTTAAACGAGGCGGTGCCATATCTTTGTAGAGCCGCTTCTAAATTTCTAGGCAGACCAGCTGGCACCACCAACTGGTCGCCCACGGCTGGTGTCATCGTGCCGCCTTCGGGTTTTGGTGCGTTCGGATCTTTAGGATTCGCCGCTATCTCCAACTCTATATCGTCATCCTCGTAAAACTCGGGCAGCGGTCGGCGTTTGGGCCTCTTCAGTGTGTTAAGAAGTTGTTGGATTTTGGCTGATACCTATAATAAATGTATAATTGTAGATTACTGCAATGACTTTCTCGTTGATGCTAAATCAACAAGAAAGTCATTGCCCACCCATACCCACTAGGGTAGCGCGCCCAGGCGCCCGAAGTTAAAGTGCCGAGTCGGTTGAGAATTCATTTAGAATATCGTAAGAAATCTTTCTGGCAACGTTGGAGGTTTTTATGATAGAGACGGTGAAACATTCCAGCCATATAACATGTATACAAAGCGTCGACCTATTTCGAGTGTTGATATTCGGTAATCCACGGACTCAAATCAAAACGCGATTACAATATACGGCATTTTTATCTGTGAATGTTTGGAATTTCGATAATCGGGTAGGATTCTACCGATTTAATACCCAGACGAAGTCCGACATGTTTCAGAAAAACTATACATTTATTGGACCCAGTGGGGATCGATCCCACGATCCGCTTAGCCACACATTGCTACCATCACACCAACAAGCCCATTATCATTATTATATAAAGGGTATAAGCTTTAAAAGCCTATGAGCCTCTCTCCTATGAGTGAGAAAGCCTATGCTCTGTAGCAAGGAATTAATACGTTCAAACGACTGCTGCAAACTCAAATATCACTAATCAGTCATAATTGCGTTGCAGGTAAAATTAGGCTTTACCAAGCGAACCGAACACAGCGCAATTAAATTGGAAGCTGCAAATGCATACGACATTTAATAACCAAGCTAAAAGCTAGGTGTGCAAACAGATTAACAGTTTAGCTTTATTAAACTCGGACGTGCAACCGCAAACTTGCCATGAAAATTAATTGCTTTACGATTCCTCGAAGTGAAGCATAGGGCAGATTACTGTCTCCGTTTCAATAAGGAGTGCTGTGCTCAGAAGGATCAAATTTATTTTTCCAAGTGCTTCAAACATTGAACCTCTACAATCTAACGTTTAACCACTGAGCCATGCGAGACGGTCACAATTACTAAATAGAGTTTGTGTATTGATTAGTTATTAATAACTCTTTATTACTCAGTTGTACAGAACAGTATTAAGAATTCAGAGCTTTTGTCTGTAGCTCAAGTAACAAGTTAACATTGTGACGCAACCGAGAGGCAGGTTAAAAATAGATAAAAAGGTATACTGAATGAACCTATGTTAAGCGTTGCAGAGTTGTTTTGACACACTAAGTTGCATTGAGTATCACGCATAATGGAGCACAAGAGATGATATTCAAGGAAATATTGAAAATACTTATACCGGCAGTCGTCGACTAACTAACTAAACTAGAACGTCGATTGTTACATATTTAAAAGTTGCCTTGATATAGTGTTCCTTAGTAACAACTTAATTTATAAGTATTGTATGATGGTTGTAATTACAAGGTCAGACATATAAATGTATATACCTAATCTATGTTTTAACAAAGCGCGGCCTCTGAAGGAGCCTCACAATATAAGTGTTGGGACATCAGTCCCAACGCGTAGCTGAGTGGACTCCTTTTCAGAGGCAACTATATTGTAGTATTTCAATAAAATTATAATGTATTTTATATTGTTTATTAGATTAAGTTTTAAATGTTTGTGAATAAAGTTATTCTATTCATATACGTAATTAAGTTTATATAAAAAGGTAAACACATACGTCAACATAAATATACAAAATAATATTTTTTTATTAAGGAGAGCTTTAAGAGAATCTATATTTAAAATAACATTTGTTGCATTGGAAATTTAAATTTGATACAGACATGAAATCGAATTTATGAACGACTAGCGGACCGTCCCGGCTTCGCTCGGGTAGACACATATAGGTACAAATATTTAAATTATAAGCATGCTAATTAAAACGACCATGAATCACTAAATTAGAAAAAAGTATTGCGCGTCCTAGCTGTTAACGACCGTTGTCTATCTCGCTGTGTCAGGAGCCGCTGCGAGCGTTCAGTGTTAGAGTCCCGGTAAACTAATAATAATACAAAAGAAAATATTCAAGTTCAAAGAGATAATTCCGAAAAGAACAAATATTATGCAAAGTGTGATCTCTAATACTAAACTCCTTTAATACTCCTTTCGTCGAGTTAGTTATGCGGCGTGGCGGGCCGCCGCCGGCATGTATTTTTATTTTAATTTCATGATATCTTTTGAATGGAATGTCCGATTTCAATAATTATTTGGATAAAAATATATAAATGGTATGGATAACACGGTCTAGTTTTGTTCGGCATTTCTATCAATCTGTTAGATTTAAAAACTAGTTATTTCTAAAGATTTCTATGGTAATCTAGAACTAAATATAGCCTATGTTATATAATATTAGTATAGATGAGAAATATGTCCGATCTATGTGTAATAGTTATATTACCTTCCATCTGCCAGTGCCAGTGCCGGTATCTTCGGGTTGTGAATAGCACTGCACCCTGTCTGCGATGAGCGCACCACCACGGCGGGCGCCCGCCGACGTGTGTGTTACGTCCGGTTGAATATCTGAAATGGACAGCTAATTTCAACGCAGCCAATGTAGAATGTCCATCCAATATTTAGCCTATAGGTCCCGAGATTATAATTAGCGATGGAAGAAAATTAGACTGCTGTGTTTATGGCTAATGCTTTCTAGATTGTTTATATAAGTATATAATTCCAGCTACAGTAATCAATTTACATATTTATTTCGTTTCTTATTAGAAGAGCATTCCCCCGTGACCTCAGCTGTAGCAAAGCATCCAAATATAGGGCCGTAGTTAAAATAACTTAACTTATATATTTCGCGGTTTAAGGTGTTTTGTGTTTTATCTAAATATCTACTACTTGCGTAAACTACACACATAACTTTGTCTTTTTTTGTTAGGCCAGAATCAAACATATCCCCACCTTAATAGCGCGTCATAATAAATACGAGAATAAGTATCTATGCCAAATGTGTAGTTATTTTAGGCAAATTTAACCCTCATCTATGCCGTATGATTATGATCTTAAAACTGTATTTTCTTAAATAAAGTCTGCGTTTTAAATGTGTCATATTTATAGATTATTGTAAAATTGCGAATTAACAACCTATTCAGATTAAATACAAATACGGGACGGGAATTGAACTGGCATAATGCCATCATGTGCAATAAGATGTGAAAAATTATTAAGTCTTTAATTTTACGACTTTGAATTGCTGATGGAAAGGATAAATCCTTAGAGGATCCTACTCATTAGATTACTGTCTAAATACCAAGTTAATGCGGATAAAGAGAATTATATTACAAGCAAGTGCACGACACAACTAATTGGCAAGACGAACAAGACATCCGATCCAATAGATAATGAGAGAACCGATTGATTTTGTAACAGACGTTGAAAGCAATTTAAAGAACTTTCAATATTTCAAAGTGAACCTTTTCCCGGCGCAACTTCTTCGATAAACATTGATATTGCTTCTCAATTTTACTTAGAATCTTGCAAGTTAAATAGGTTAGGTTAGGTTTCATTGCGTATGGCAAAATCAAAAGTACGTATTTTATTTCTAACCGGTGACCACATCTGCTTTGAAACATCGTGATGTGATATATTTTGCGTTTTACACCGTTAAAATTGTTTTAATTAATGATAACTTTACAACTTTGTTACGATGTTCAATATATTTATTTCGCTTTAAATTTCGTCAGAATTTGCGTAAGTAATTTTTTTATTTTTTTCCCCTATCCGCAGTATTCGAGCGAAAACATATCGGAGTGATATACACAGCGAAATTGTTTGAAAGGTAAACGTTTTCATGAAATATTGAAATGGTTTTTACAACTCTCTTATAAGAAGAATGTTTGTTTTAAGATAATGGACAAAAAGCGTTCATATTTTACTTGAAGTCCTAAGAAAGGTAAACTCAAATTAAAAGTAAGACAGTGAAAGGTTCTTTTGTTCCAATTATTTTAAGGAACATTATAATCCTAGGTACGATTAAAATTTTTGTTACGTTGCAATCCTTAGTTAATTTTAACAATCGTTATACAAAAATATGACCTTATAGACATATAAATAAAGTTAAATATATATTGTGCAGCAAACTTTTCACAGATTCACAATGAAAAACATAACAAATCGTTACTTACATGTTGGTAAATGTGTAATGTCAGATAAATCGATGTCAGTCTTATCACGAGGCGGGTGTTTCTTTTCCCTAAGATGGTGCGGTTGTGGGAGAGGGTGCGGATGCGCGCGGGGGTGAGGCGCAGCCGGTCGGCGGGAGGGGGGCGATCCCATCTCGGGAGGCGGAGGCAGCTCGGAGTCGCCGGCGCATGAGTCCTCATCGGAGCTTGACGCTAATTATTAGAAAAAGTAACAAGTCAGTACGTCAAACTACTTATTATTGATTACACATATTAACGTGCCTACCGTTTGTAGACATCTATTATCTATATTTAAATAATAGCTTGTATATTAAATAGTGTAATTTTAAAATGAAGCTACACATAAAATCGAGTTTGTGTATGGAAAAACTTGTGGGAGTTCAAGTGGAAAATGAACAATTTCACCCGTTGATCAAACATAATCTGCAGTCTGCGCTAAAAAGTCTAAGAAAATAAAACGTGCGCCGATTAAGTATCTACTGCCGCCACAAATTATACGAATAGACGAATTCTAATATTATAAAGTGCTTTAATTTTCAGCAATACTGATCATACGAGGAATCAATCCGATATTTAAACATAGTACACTTACAAAGATCATGGCGTTCTCTGTCCGGGCTTTTGGCCATCATGGAGGTCCGCTTTGATGGCATAGGAAGCGAAGGCTTAGGCCTATTCTGCATTTCAGCTAATGCTTGCTGTACTGCCTCTTGCCTCACCTCTGTAATACAGATTATCTTTACTCTGATATCAATTAAGAATATCGTGCAGATGCGCCTTAGTTAAGAGTATATATAGCATACATACATGCATTGGTTTCACTAGATGGAAGGTGAAGTGTCCCAGCCATAAAACACTCAGTGTATTTTTTCTAACTTGGCAAAAGAACACAACAAATATGGCCGATTTCAAACCATAGATGCCCTATTATATAACTAGTGATGCCCTTTTATAGAGTGGTGACGTTTACATGAGGGTTAAAGAAATATCTATTATACCACCGTACCAAACAACATCAATATTCAAAATCACTTTTATGACGACTTATTTTTTTGTCAATATTATTTAAACTTTTTTATTAATTTTAGCATGAATTTCTATTTTTATCTAATTGTTGTGGTATATAATCTAGTGGCTCAAAGTAAAATGAAATCAAGATTTATGAAAATTGTGTTTGGTTACAAAATGCCAAGTAAGAAAAAATACACTATACATTAAATCTGTCACGGTGGTGTTGTAATACACTCGACTTAAGACGACAAGGTGCGGGATTCACGAACCGGTAAAATGCTATTTTTGTAATACTCTTAGATAAGACGTTCAAAGTGTTTATTAGCAGTATTTCTGCACTTTGTAAGAAAAAGAAAACCGTGCATATATTTTAGAAGCGTTGTAATGCATGCAGTGTCTTAAGAAGATTAACGTGGCGTAATAAACCAATATCCATGTTACTTTGACATTTATGCATTTAGAGTAACCCTTACTCAGAAGAACCTCTATTCAAAAAATCTATATCACCAGTACATTTAAAATAGACTTTATCCATTACATAGTGATCCAGAGGAACACAATTTATTTAAATTATTATAGATACTCACTTTTGTAAACAATCTATACCAATTTTTATACCTAGCGATAGAGATAGTACGGCTGTACATTTAACAACAAGATCAACGTATTAAAAAATATATATTTTTTATATTCTGTAAGTTTATATTCTGTAGTCTAATCAGCTTTCTAGCGCCACCTATCTTTGCCTGACTTTAACACCCTCCATTTCCCCTCGTGCCCACGACTGCTGCAAAGCGTCCAAACGTCGGAGGGTAATTAAAATCATTTCAAATATATTTCGTGTTGTAAACCGTTTAAAATGAATTTAAAAAGAATTATCAGAATGTGTGTTTGCACACTAATCTCCAAAATTACTACACGGCACTTTACTCGGTTTTCACGAATGGATTACGCTCACTTGCCGCAACATAGAGGTTTCTTTCAATGTAAGTGAATAAGTGAAGTTACAGTCATAAAAAGATTTTTTATTGACGACGGTAAATTTTTACGTAAAACTGATTTAAGAACACATATTTAAATTAGTCAAACTTATTTTAAAATGATTTTAACTACGATCCGATGCTTTGCAACAGCCGTGGTCACAGGGAGATCTACAATAATTTTCAAATATTTTATCTGTATATGTAGGTACTACATACGTACACATATATTTCTTCTCTTTATTATTAAATTGTTTTTATTTATCATATAAAAATATCACTGTATCATTTTAGTTTTTATCATTGCCATATGAAATTAAGACGCAGTCAAAAGTTTTACCATGCCACTGTAACCAATGCGTATACAATAATAGCTAAACAGACGAAGTAACTACTTATACTTATTTATGGAATGCAAAAAATATATTGCAATTAGATTTGTGGGCCACGCGAAAACTTGAATAACTAGAATTGTTAATAGTTATAGGTCGCGGATATTATTAAGTTAAAACGTCGATAGTTCCGGTAATGAAGTTTTAATAATTAATAGAGATTCAATTAGACCGAGCGCGCCGCTCGTAAAACCATGATGTAAATAGGTTGCCGAGGAACAAACAGGTGTTATTATTGCGTACACTTGCGGTTATCGAGTATCAGGTTCATTTAAGCCGAGGCAGGGTTAGATTGTTGCATAAAGGACATGGTTATGCATTGTGTGAATAATCTTACAACAAAGAAAAGCCGTAGGCTGTAAATTCAATTGACAGAAAAGTTTTACTGTTTTCTGTAACTTCGCATAAAAATAATAAGTTTACAACAACCTTCATTTAATAATACGACAGAGTTTTATTAATAATTATTTATATGAATACGTGTGTATCTAATTGTGCACTATCTGTGCCTGTGACTTCGTCCGTCTAAAAAAGTTATGTTGGGCATCATAAACATATTGGGTACGCAACTGTAACTGTGTCTTCGCGACTGTAGTTCGCAGCCTGATGTTCTATTGCCTTAAGCCTTCCCATTTAATGGGTCCAACCATTACAATGTTTCTCAATTCGAACCATTAGTTCCTGAGATTAGCGCGTTCAAACAAACAACACACATACGTTAGAATATTAGTATAAATATATTTTAATTTATATGGATTCATGTGTACCCTTATATTTATAACGTATAGCTACATATTCCTAACTGGTTTATAGACAACTTCGTGATATATTTGAATATCGCAGCTGTTAAAATATATTTGTTAACATCGTATTGTCCCCAAATATATATATATATATATATTTATACATATATATTGTTTAAAATATACACGACAGAGAGTCTATTGAAAGTCTAATTGATTTTAATAGGACTTCTTTTTTAATGATAGACGAGGACAGACATAGCATGAAATTCACTTGATGGTATATATATGATATATGTATACTATATATTATATATATATACTCTATAGCATCAAACCAAGATGCGCTGTCGATTTTAGCTTTGGATACTCGGGAATCTGAATCTGAAACTGAAACACGATTAAGCTTCACGGCTTTTTCATCCATGGACGGTGGTTCGTTACCCGGATCGAATTTCTATATTTCTACCACTCATTGAATATCGAGATTTCCAGACGTAGTCTAGTATGTTTCATACAAAATTATAAACATGGTGGACCCAGTGGGGATCGAACTCACGACATTAGCCATACATTGCTACCATAAGACCAACAACTCCGTCAATAATAGGACTTGTTTTATAGTAACTCGGTTTGATAGCCCGTCGCAATTAAAATAGCTGTGCTAGAATCTCCCACGAAGATCGAGGTTAAGCGCTAAATCCATGCAATATCCAACAATCAAACCGCACAAATTAACTTTCGATAATAGCCCGCCCGGAGCTAACAAACACCGAGACATAAACAACGTATTTATAAACTGAACAAATTTTATACGCGGCACGATCGCTGACTACTAAATAATGCATTTCGTATACAACCTAATGTAATGGTACCGGGTACCTTAAATATTTCAGACTAGTTAATTTTATCGTACACTAGCTATGTTAGAGACTACGTCCGCGTAGAATTCTGAGCATCTAAAATTTGTTTTTGCAAACCCCCTCATCATCTTTACAGAACGACGTCCGCTTCCCGTCGTTCTTGCAAGTTTATCTTAAAAGATAGACATAGTGTCGCGGATATTTTTAAAAATCATCTTTCATACAATTTCTTGGGTATCTTGAAGCTGAAAAAATAGCTTACGTTATGAAAACCCACATGAATAATGATTTTTCCAGTTTTCTCTACATTTCCTGCTGTTTTATTCGCTCTTAAACAAACAAACATACTCTTCAGCTTTATATATCACTATACTTAACTTGAAGTCTTGATCTCGTTAGGAATTTATGCAACACCCAAACAACAAGTTCACAAATCCTGGTTCTAAATTAACATTCTCTTTCGATGCATAATCAAACGCCAGATCAACTTTGAGAAGTTGACTCTACATGATTACAAAAACAATAGACAAAATACTTACATCGGACCTACTTTTTTCTAATTACATTTTCTAAGAGATACTGGGAAAGTGATTCTAATTAAGTTACGAACCAACTTCTATACAACGATTAAAAATAAAACAAAGTGCAAATGCGTAACCGATACGAGGTCACAGCAAATTTCAAATTTGACAAACAACATTGGCATACTTTGTTACGATATTTAGCAAAAACGACAAAAAGTATAATTGATGCTATTAAAGAGATTACCATTTCGATATTCAAAATAAAATAACAAATGCGTAATGATCGTTATTTCTTGTTCGTTAGCGAAGTTTTTGGCGAACAGTGTTTGGCAAAACCGCAACATGCATAAGTGGAGATTAAACTTCACTCGCAGAAAATATTGGTCTATCAAATTTGCCGGAAGTTGAGACACGAACGGCGGAGTCTTTGAAGCCTTTTACGAAGTTGCACAGGATATCTGAAACGCCGACATCGAGGCCTTTATTGCTTAATTAACTATCCAATGCACTAGAGCTTTAGCCTCCAGGTGTTTCATTGCAACGTGAAGCTCGGAACTGACCTGTCGCTGAATTTCAGTCATAAAGCCTGTTAAACTCCAATATGTGCTCGCATCGATATTTGTTTTTAACCCCTTCACGCTCAAGGGAAATATTATTTCCTTCTACAAAAATTGTTATCGATTCTTCAATTATTATTGAATCGATATTTTTTTTAATAAAAATATAAGAAATTATACATCCTGCTATATTTTCCTAGTCTCTTACTTTATACGCAAAATATATTAAATTTTGTGTTGTATTCGCATACTTAGTCTCAGCCATCTTATGGGTAATGGTTAAGATACATGAAAATTGAATGAAACAACAGTAAAATAATACTTTTTAAAATTAATTCTATACTCTTTAGTATTGGCGTTGAAAGCAAAAAGTAGTTTGAAATTGTACGTATAAACTACACTTTGAAGTGCGCATTTCTAAGTTCTCCACATTGCACGATCTTTAATAACGTAAGCGCGTTATTAAAAAGAGAAATTATAAAATATTCCCACCTCGTTCAACCGTTTCATAATAATCGTTAACATACGTTAGTGCTTTGATACGGAAATCAGAAATACAGGCTGTAAGTAATGTAGTGGGTTGAAGTTAAACAAGGCAACATTTTCCCCGTACCTATTAAACTGCCGCCGGAATCAAGTTACATATACTATATGTAAGTACTAGTATAGCTAAGACCGGATTAGTTTTTACCATTGGAGAGACGCTAACCTCAGCAACGACATCATTTCTAAGTGTTAATATATCCCTAATTAACGGATTGAACAAATATAATCTAATGAATTTGAAGAATTCTACAAACAATAGTCTATTGTCTTTGGAAATAAGACACCATTCATGTCACATGACACCTACTAGATATATATAAGAATTCAATAGCTAGATTATAAAATATATGAATTAGATAGAGTAGATATAGAATATACAATGATGTCATAGAATGTGTTATGCGAGGTATAGGGTGTCGGATACTATTTAAAGAAAAGATTTCATGAAGCTAAACTTTGAATAAAAAATAAATTCGCGGTAGTATGAAACACAATATCGCAGTATTTCTGGAAGACGACGCGCCATTGGAAGGGACTTATTGTCTGGCTTTCCTCGTATTGGCATAAAGGACGCGAGCACTAGGCTTCTCTGTGGAATATCGGATTCTTCCACCTACGCAGGACTATAGTGAGGAAATACATCCGTGCTCACATAAAAATAAAGTGTGTTTTGTCTACAATACGCCCTTTCAAAGATTCTTAGATTTAGAATTAGAAGATTATTTTAGATTTAGAAGATTATTTTAGATTTAGAAGATTATTATAAACAATTTGTCTAAAAAAATATTCTCAAGGGGATTATTATTTTTACAAAAAGTATTATCGAATCGACTTTTTTATTTCTGTAATGAATAATTATAATAAACACATATATGACGACGTAGCAGCTTGAACTTCGTGTATACCATTCGAATGAAATGACGTGTTTTCCACTAACTTGAAACAACAAAGTAGAATTGAGGATGACAGACAGTCATACGAGTGTTAAAGGAAAAACGACTTTATTAAATCTGGCGTTAATTAATTGGTCGGTATAAATATGGGATTGGGGTCGCGTCGATATAACTTGCAGAAAACAGGCTTTGCAATTCTACTGTTACGATATTCGACCAGTACTTGTATAAATATTCAGAGTTGCAATAAACTTAACATCCAACTGGATATTTATTAAGTACTGTTGAAAGACATCTATTGATTTTAGTTGTTTAATTAGAAAAAGGACAGAATAATATAAGGTTTTTTCTCGACTGTCTCAGGTAGAGCGTACTTCTGTACCATTCCTGTATTAGCTTTCTTTAGTTTCTGTACACTTTTACATAATACTGGCTATTATAATTATACCAGTGAAAAGATACGCCAAAAATATCAATGTAACTCAACCTTACGTATACTTGCTTTTACCTTCACAGCGTAAAATTTTTGTGCGATAGGGACAATATTAAATTGTGTAAGGCTTTCACGGCCATCGTTCAGCATACAATTAATTCTTCGAGCAATCGAGGAGCTAACATCTCCTGATGATGCCGTCCACACGTGATGGCGAAACGTCGAGATCCTCTTCTCGCTCACATCGGCCGAACAGCCCGAAAGACAATATTATTTAAATTTAGCTTAAAAGTATTTAAATTATAAATACATATTCGCCGACCGATACTACTAAGATGAAATCTTCGTCCCAAGCTCCGGGGCTCCCTTCATTGCGTTACTAATATCTCTATGCACGCCGTGCTTTCCAATCTTCATCCCTGCATTTTGTAGTCTTCTTGATTACGTTGAGCAAGGGGTGCAATTCTCAATTTCGATTCAATCAGACGCGTCACTCATCGTTCTCGATAACGGTTTAGCGAACAGTTGCTGTTGTCATAAAGCTTTCTGATATGTAAAGATGGCGATGTTGTAATTCAGTTTAAAATATAAGGGCGGATTGCTTTAAATGTAGTTAACGCTCAAGTAAATGTTATATATGACATTGGTCCAAACCGTTAACGCAAACAGTCTGTTAATGTTTTAATATCGAATTGATTAAATGTAGAATAGCAAAGCAAAGATTTATGGTGAAACTTGACGTTCTATAAACGCCCTTAAAATCCGATCACAGATAGAAACAACTTGCCCTAAAATGTAAAATTGCGTATTAACAATCAGAGATTACTTAATTCCTCGATACTATTATCCTGGTGTGTAATACATTCGTAAGTTTCGTTAACGATAAGGATTTGTGAGTCATGTACTTGAAACTTGTCATGCCGGTTCTTATTTATTGTAGAGAGCGCGATAGGCCTGCGTTATTATAAACATGCGCTACAAGACGGCAATATTCAAGAAAATAGCTACACTGCGATAACTCTTCTTTCGTCGTTTCTTATGACGCGATGACTGGAGATTTATCTTGCGATTTAGGCACGTCGTGTTGACACAATATAAATATCTATGTCCTGTTACTTTTTGATGGATACATCATGCATGCAGATTTATTATTCGTCATAGCCAAATTCAATTGACGTAATAAAAATTGTCTGTACCATGTTATGAATAACAAATCTTGTATTACTTTATGAAACCTGGTATGTATGATTCATAGAGTTAAAAAGCACAACATAGAACAGGCATCGCATTAACGAAAACATGAAAATGAAATATTATATGCACTTAGTCAGAAGCTTAGATAGTTAGGTGTGTCATAGCGTGATAAATAATGCGAAATGAACAAGAGCACGACCAAGACAGGCAAGACGTATTTCATAATCGACCCGACACAAAAGGAGCCCAAGAATGACATCACACACGACCAACAGGTCTATGGGCAACGATAGCTTCTTTATATTATGACTCACCGGAGTGGTAGCGGCTCTCGTTCCGCGTAAGTCGCCTGTTGGTCCTCCCTGGCGGCGATCGGAGCGCAGCGGCCGACCGTACTGCGTCGCCATAAACAAACCACCGAACATGTTTACACACACGCGCGACATGCAGACACCACAAAGAGTAACTAACGTTTTTAGCCTTGTCACTGAGCCATTATAGACGATTATAACGTCATTTATTACCCCTTATTATTGTTACCAATAACTTTTGATCGTAGTTAAGGACCCTAGTCAATCAAACGGTAAACTTTTTATAAATTTTAATAACGATGTATAACTCACGAAAGTTATTTTACACACACTTCGCACTTTAAAAACGCTAGCAACCACACTCTATCAATAAGTTTTGTACCTGGATATATTTAATATGTAGTTGGATCTCGTTTAATATAAACTGTCTTTAATCTAAAATTGTATTCCACTTCGCGCTGTACAAATAGCATAAGGCAAAAAATAAGACGAGATGTGCCTGGTATCACCGTCAACTTAGATTGATATGTAAGTTATAGAAAATATGGTTTAGAACGATATACAGAAATATATTGCACTTAGAATGATTCATTCAATCGTTTTGATTAGATAAAGATTAATATCACCGTCATCAGACTGGATGACTGCTAGTGCGTGGCAAGTTACTACACTATAACATGTAGTTATTTAAACGTACTTACTTTACATGTATACAATATTTAAACATTTACATTTACATGTAATGTCATGTAAATGTTTAAATATTGAATACCAATGTACTTTAGATTGGATATATTCCTATTTGTATTCCATAATAATAAGTCATTCTTCCCTATAAACTTTTGTGTCCGTTTCATTCAATGCTTACAAAATGAATTTTAGGTTTTTTTTATACATATTTCAAAATTGCACTTCTAAACGTTTAATACCGACATGATCGGCTATAAGAAATAATATCATCTGTAGAGAAACCACAGATAACACTAAGTAAACCGTCAAAAGACATTCGCAATTTAAATCAATAAAGGGGAGGGCAATAATATGTAGTGTATAATGAAAGTAGAGGCGAGGCCAACTCGTTACCTGCGACAACGGACGAGCGTTATCATATTACATTGCATGTTCCCTGGGGTCACACAAACAGTATAAAACTAGCGACACCTAGCGAAAAACGGAACGCTGTATTTTTTGAAAATGGAAAATGAAAAGTCGCTACGGGATTCGGGTATCCTCGAGTCAAAAGCTTTGGAAAGCGACTTCAAATGTTTTTTTATTGTTATAATTATAATAGCCCTACATTGAATCGGGGGCAAATCCCTTAAAAGGACTGAAGGAATGTTAAATATACTTTTGCTAAAAAAAAAAAACAATTCTTTTATTCAATTTTACCGTACCTACAGTAAAACAGTTAATTATATTTTAACATTACCCTCAACTGGGTAATACAGATAGTGTTGAGCGAAAGCACCTTGATTGACGACGAATTATTGATTTTGGTGATCACAACACTAAAATTTGATAACAAGTTTCAACCTCCCACAATCGAGAGATCCTCTGAAGTCAACATTTCTCTGTGTAAAGTAATATGTATTAGTTCAATCGAACAATGTTTAATGAATTACAGATCAAAGCATGAATGGAAAAGTCTGTTCTTGGAGCACATAAATTGAAGTCATTGACATTTTAGTTTCAGCTAAGAATGTTATAGACATCGGGAACCGGGGACCACAAGGAGAGCATTGAACGGACCCATTACCCAACATAATAAGCTATACAGTAACCCTATTTAAAATATTACTAGTTAAGTTGTGCAAGACCATATGAAATTACAGTCAAATGTAAAGACAACTATAAAAACAACAATTTTATACACGTATCTTAAATAAATAGATGGGAACTTTAGTTTTAAAAAGTTTTTTTTATAATTAATATTTCTAATTATACTGCCCAATACCCAAACCAATCTATTACGATATCGTTAAAGGGATTCTTTACAAGCATTATTTCATCCGGAATAACCTTATTCTTAGGAATAAAGAAATTTAATTTAGAATTTGAGTAAAAGAAGTACTAATGATTTATGATCGTTCGAGCCAGAACCTTTTAATTCTCGCCTAACTATTATCATCATAGATATATAAAAAACGATTATAAATACCAATCGAGCAAACATTTTCCATCAATCGAGTGATCGGTTAAGCTTTTAGAAGCGTTTATAAAACTTTTTTTTCCGAAACTTCGATTGTGCCGAATGATACTTGATACTAATTGATTGGAAAACTACGTGGATAGCAGGCATCGAAAGCATTTTGCGATGGTTTCAGAATATATATGTAGGTTGTAGGCATCGAAAATGTATTTTAGATTAAAAAAAGACACGAGAGGGACTCGAATCAACGAAAACAACTAATTATGCTAGTGTATTATCGAACTCCAGATAGATTTCATTTATATACTATATATTCAATAATATGTAATGCACAATAAGGTTTCAAGGGTATCCCATTTATATTTTGATATAATAAAGGACAGACAAGGGGATCACTTACTACCCAAGCCATATAAAATCTAGACAAGATATTCGGAAATCCACAGAACCTGAAACGCGACTAAACTTGACGACTTTGTCATCTGTAGACGATGGTTAGTCCCGGATGGAATTTCGATATTACTAAAGCCCATTAAAAGTCTAGATTTCCAAACATAGTCCAAGATATTTAAAAATATATATATAACAATTTATCGACCGGTGGGGATCGAACCGACGACCCGTTGATTTTGAGCCATACAATGCATACGTTACAGTAAGCCCGTCATTTAAAGGATAATTTCCAATAATGTATCCGAGTCCATAGGGAACGTACGGAGGTGGTAACCGGTTAAATTCTGCGGATTCTGCTGCGACAATTACGTTGAGTAACGCATGAGCGACAGTTCAACTTCCAGCACATTGACATCTTTTGTGCCACTGATTTAAGAACTACCTAACCGTACAGTCATGCACAAAACATATGTCACTACTCGTTGATAATCTTAGGACTTTTATGTATTTAGAGAAACTTAAGGCTTTTAGATAATGACTTTTAGAGGAGGACAGCCAAGCATGGAGTTCAATTGTTGAGAGGTGACACACCTAGTGATAAAACATTTAAACAAGATGCGTTGTCGACCTTTTCTAGCATTTAGTTTTGTTTATTAAGTCACTAACTTCACTAAATTCCTGAACTGTTTAAAAGTAAATAGTTAGTAGTAGTAAAAAAACAATACATTAGTAATAGGAGTAATTAATGTTCTATTTACAAAACATTAACATTACTACCAAAAACACATTGTCTTTAATAACGTGACAAATAACATTAAACGTTTTTGCAGATGACTGTACATATAACATTACTACTTAGAGTTAAAATTACGAAAAAAAATTATAATTTGTATTATGTATTATATTTGTAATGTATATTGTATTATGATATGTAAAGATTTTTTTTCCTGGCATAAGAGGCCGATTAGCTCTTGTTGAAATGTGAAATATTCCAGCATTACAACATCTAATTAAGTCGACACATTTTGGCGTTGTACCCTTCGTACAGAGCCAAAATATGTCGATAAAAATTGATAACTTCATTAAGACTAACTTTATGTATTAATATATATCTCTATCATCGAAGAAAGACGAGGTAATAAAGATAAAAAAGTAGGCAAAGTAAACCATGTAGGCGGGTTCACCAAGCCTACAAAATGAGACAGATAATTGAACGCTACCGATCTTATTCTGAAGCTACACAACTAGAAAAGCATAAGAAGCTACTGTGCTTACCATGTCTTCATTTAACCATAAAAAAAGGCAATTACTAAACACTACTAAAGCGAGCAAAAACCTGCAAAAACATAAAACACTTTTAACCCCATTTCTTCCGGCACCGCATCCGAAACGTTCTCTTGTAGTTAACTATCGAGATTTAAACCGTTAAAAGTGTTTTATTTCTTACCCGCAACTTAATAACAATTACTTCAGCCCTTCGACCTTGACAACTAGAATTTCTACGACATGCTACAATGATCAACAACAAGAGAAAACCTAGGGCAAAAAGACCGCAAATATAAAAAAAAATGCCAGCAAATGAAATAACTACGTGATTCAATCGCAAACAACGTTGAAAGGGAACTGTCAAATGGGATTGTAGCCATGTCTTTTGTGTGTGTGTGTGTGTGTGTGTCAATTGTCACTAATAACACGAATGTGAAAGTTCCGTGTATTGGCGTTGCCCGTGTACATACATTGTTTCCGTTTTTACACTTATGACGCTAAAAGGAGGACCTAATAACTTTCCAATGAATTAAAAAAAACTGGTTGTGATTCATATCAATTTCATAATGAATCGTGTTCTAATCAGATAATTTTTTTGTACATAAATTATTGCCATTAGAAATAAAACACATTTCTAATATATTTACTACTGAAAGATGACCTATCATTTCTATTTTTAACAACATATTTATTTAGGAATAAGAATACAACTTTAAAATTTGTGCTCTACTATTACCCTTTATAGTTTCTTATATAAACCTTTTAAAATTTTTCCTCAGTACAGTGTGCTAATTTGGAAGAGCAGTTCTTTGTGACGAAATTAGCATTTTAGACCAAGGCTAGGCCGGGCTAGCATAATGAAGTAAAGCCTCTACTAATTCTTCAATTTCGAGGCATCGCCGTATGTTGCTATAGAAACATAAATATGTATATATAATTAAAAGGCACAGGTGCCCACTCAACATGTGCGGTTGAGCTACTTCCGCATTTAGATACAAAGGAAACAGCCGGTGTTTTGAAACCTAGGTTCGCCAACTGTACGAGTTATAACTGTTATTATGAAATAGGAGTTATGCTACTGCCATCGACACATTTCATAAAAGTCTTGAAACACCTGCCTATTATCTTTGTATGTTAAACTTCCGTTTTATGAATAAATTAATTTTATTGCATTACGCAAATTGTACTCAGTGTGTAGTACAGTCAATCCATTACTTAAGTTGGTGCATTATTTACAAAAAATAGACGTAAATTAATTTTAGTTAAAACATAAAGGTAAAAACTTTATGCGGAAGTCTAACCTACA